TAACCTATGCATAACAATGTCGTTCCTCTGGTCTCAATATTCTTGGCCTAGATTCTCTGTACTGTCCCAGCAGCTGTTTTGTGAGTGGGAAGAGCTCTGACCAGACCACATTGTCCTGTTTGAATGTCCGTGGATGTTAGCTGGAGGCTGAGCTCTCTGATGTAATGAAAAACTCCACTGGCCTCAAATGGGATTCAAAAATGGAGTATAAAACCCATCCTTGCCCTTCTCAAACCCAGATGAAAAAAGAGGAAAAAGAATTGTGTAGTATTTTGTATGTGCCCGGGTCGGCCTTTGTGTTCTGACACTTGTGTAGAGCCAAGAGCCTGGTTCCCACAGACAGGAGAATGCAGCAATGTGGTGTGTGTGTTTGTGTGTGTGTGTGTGTGTGTGTGTGCGATCGCCCCTCCCAATCTAGAATTAATTAAGATGCATGAGACGGGACAGGCCTAAATAGCACACTAGGTCCAGACTGTGAAAGCGTTTGAGGGTAAAAATCCTAAGAATGAATAGCAATGAGTAGTTTAACCTTTAAATAGCAGAAAATGTGGCTTCTGTTTGACTTTTTTGGTTTGTAAAATTCATTTGTAGTTTACTCCCTTTTTGTTTGTTTAATTTTTATTTTCAGTGTTTTAAATTGTGTTCCATTACAAAAGTAACAACAAAGGAGCATACACAAAGAAGAGCCAATTATGTGGCATGCTGGCCTAGTACAGATTCTATATTTAACTCCTATATTCAGTTATGTACACGTCATAACTGTTCCTCCACGCGCAGTCACTGAGTTCAGACTGTCTCGCTGACGTGGGCACTTTACCTTAGCTGAATACAGATGTCCTCCATGTTACTGTGGGCTCTGCTCTCTCTTGCACCGTCCCCCGTCTGAGGACAATTGGTGACCCCGTGTGTAGAGGTGTTGCTAAAATATCGGAATAGCAATATATTGTGATACTAAATTTGATACAGAATTGTTGTCATGAGCTGCTCTTTTGATATTTATGATTGTGATTATACACTTGACATATTGATTGTTTCGATTATTAAAACAGATGTATTTCATATTAACTTTGCAAAGATAGTGGTTTAACAAAGAAATATTGTTGCTAAAATGTATTTGGATCTTAAAAAGCAGCATATATCCATTATCACAGGTATTGCCATATAGTGATAATATCATATCCTGAGCCATGTATTGTGCATCGTTTCAAATCGTGAAGGACCCTGTGATTCCCAGCCCTAATCCGTATGTGTGTATTTACTCTGTGACTGGCCTTGATGCAGGTTTCTCCAGATTTTGTGCCTAGATATTGGTCTTGAGTATTAATCTTTGATAGGAAACCTACACACACACAGAAAACATACAATCTCTTCACCAAAAGTATTTTAATCCAGGTTTCACTCCTTACCACTATGCCACCATGTCAGATAATAAAAGCCTGTGACACATTTTTAGTTCAATTAGGTGAGATGTGAGTGGTGTGAATAAATGTAGAGTAAGGCTGGGTATCATTAAGAAGTTGCCGATACGATATATATCTCGATACATTGAGCTTTCGATTCGATACGGTATATTTCAAATCAATTTGATGCGATTCAATAAAAAATCAAGGGTAAATCATGGCTGTGATACTAAAAGTCTTTGTTAAACCACTTCTTGTGCAAAGTTAATATGAAGCATGCCCATTTTAATCATCAAAACTGTGAAAATTTCAAATGGATTGAATAAACGTGCTTCCTTCCTCTAAACAGGCAACAAAACTGTAGCACTGTAACAAAATAATTTATTAAAATGCACCAAAATACTCTTGGCTAAGGTTCTAATATCTGCTGATTGTAGTCTCAATGTGTGAAGTATTTGACTGGCCAAGTATATTACTACTTCTTTGTTTTTGGATTAGTTTTTTTATTTGTTTACATATTATTTACTAGATGATTTGAAATCTTATCAGAAATGGAACCATATAAGATTTGGTTTTGTCTTTTAGATATATTTAATTTCTATACTTAAAATCAGTGGATGTGAATGAAACAAGGTAAAATGTGTAACAAAACAAATCTAACCTTATAAAACCATGACTGCCAATAACTTGTATTTATGGAAGTTACTAAAAGTGACTAATTCCATAAACTAACCTGGCAGGTAGTAAAGATACTATAAAGGGATTTGGAGACATTTTATTGTCTCTAAAAAAGCTAAATGTGTTCTCGGCTGGAGATAACCATGACACGCTGACATCAAGCGCTAGCAACGTCACCAAAACCTCATTCCCATCGAGTTTCACAAATACTGCCAGTGTGTGCCACTCTAACCTGATTATTCCATCTGAATGGGAGGTGCGTCTCTTCCGGTGGCGGAGGTTAGAGAGACCATTTAGCATGAATCACTGTTCAATCAGGAATGAGTAAGCAAAGGATGTCTTAGTGCAGTCAGGCTAACGCAGGCAAAATGAGGGGCAGGCTCTCTCAGTGTGGGCTAAATGCAAGAAAAAAGTAAAAAGGTAAAGTATTTATAGTGTTGCATTTCATCCATCTTTCTGGATGGCTGTTGTAAACTGAATATTACTGGTTAATGATCATGTTATCAAAGCTATTAAATATGGTATACATAACAGTGATAAGATTTTGAACTGGATTTGAAAATGCTTCACTGTAGAATTCATTTGATTTACAGACTAATACTATGGTTGCCATTTCATTCTCATGTTGAAAATTTTAATCTATTTAATGCTGTGACATAAAAACAAAGAAATAATATTACTGTCATATAGGGATGTAACAATAACTGAAATATCATGATATCGTATTGTCAAATTACAAGTCTCTTTGCTTAAATTAAGAGTTATGGTACAGTAATAACTAAAAAAAGACCTAGGGAACTACATAGACCATGATCCTTTGCTCCATTTCAGTGTAGACTACATGAAGAAATAACAGTTGTAAGCACTTTTAAGTCTTAAATCTTTGGATTAAGTCTTGTCAAGGCATTTTAAGAGGAAAAGGTCATATTAACACTTTTTTTAGCCTCTATAAAATACAGCAATAAATATACCGTGAGATGTATATCGTGAAAATATTGTACTGAGAGATTTGGATATTGTTACATTCCTAATCGTGAGCCTCCCTACCATATCGTGAGCTTTCCCACGATATCACAATAAATATCGTACCATGAGGTTCATACCGTGATGATATCGTATCGTAAGACCTGGATATCGTTACACCTAGGGCTGGGTATCATTAAGAAGTTGCCGATACGATACATATCTTGATACACAGGCCACGGTACGATACATATCTCGATACAGTGAGCTTTTGATTCCATATATTTCAAATTGAATCAATATGGTTTAATAAAAAATAAAGGCTAAATCGTGGCTGTGACACTAAAAGTCTTTGTTAAACCACTTCTTGTGCAAAGTTCATATGAAAAACAAACATTTTAATCATCAAAACAGTGAAAATGTCAAATGTGTTGCGTATACGAGTTTCCTTTCTCTAAACAAGCAACAAAACTGTGGCACTGTAACAAAATTATTTAGTTAAATATAGAAAAGAAAAAAAATACTCTTTGCGATATATCGATACAGCAGCCCACGATATCGATACTGTATCATCATATTAAATGATACCATATATCGATATTTCAGTATTTTTGCACACCCCTAGTTACACCCCTACTGGTTACTGTAAGTCATAAAATATTTAGTATGGAGATAGGAAATATTTAGATTAAAACATTGCAGTGATTGGTATTCTGTGGATAAAAACACACTTACCCATTTCACAATACACTATAGAGAGAACATCGCCTTGAGTAAACTGTGTTCTGTTTACCATATGCTTATTTCTGGAGCACTGCCAAAGTCCTGGATGCGTCAGAGCATTTTAACATGAACCCAGCAGCTCATTGTCATCACCAAGGACTTGAAACACTATACCAGTCCTGCCAAACTCGCCTATATCTCACGACTGTACAGAGGAAATATAATTGTGTACACACTAACTGCAGAGTGCACTTTGCTCAGGGCCCTTTCCTCTTTTATTGACCACACCTGCATTAGCGACTAAATGATCTGGATCACCAAGAGAGTGGAAGGAAATCAGTTTGTAGATGGCATCAGTAAAACCACAATTGGATATGGCCTGGTTTAGTGTTCATAAAGACAGTACCTCATATTATATGGCAAAAATGTTCAATGGTCACCACAACAAATCTCCATAGTAAAAAGAAGCTGGCGAACTCTCCACCAGGCTTAGATCTGACACAGTACCGCTGCTTTAGTCTGATATGTTCAAATTGTAAAATCAATAGTTCCAACTACAGTTTTCAACAGGGAAAACTGATATATGTCCATGATACAGCACCATTCTGAAATGCTTTGTCTTCATTAGTGTATTGATTTCCTCATTCACGCTTCTTAGCCATAACAGTAGAAAGTCAACTGGATAATGGGGTTTTTCATGAGGCCCCAAAGTGACAAATTACAAATGAGAATCCAGCAAATAGCTCAGGGAACATTCATTATAAAGACACAAAACAAATTGATCTGTCAAGATTTCTCATGCTCAGGTAATAGAAAATGAACATGATTGAGGAAGAAAAAGAAGTAAATAAATAATGTACAAACAATATACTAAATGTTGGTTGTTGTAAAAAAAACAACAACAAACAAACAAACAAAAACAAATTTTAACTTCTCCTTTTGAGGTCTGTTTCAATACTGCTTTACAAGAATATGTAAACATTAATGTAGGGAATTGCTAAAATAAACAAAACACCATTGAAAACCATTTTCCAAAAAATGAGAAATCTCATTTTGATCTAGCCCAGTCCCTAAGTCGTGTGAAATACTGCTATGTATGTAACTGTTGATAGACAGATGTTGACACATTTTATTGCTCTGTTAGCGTGACCTCTCTGTGCTAGAGCTGCTACCATAACATTTCCTGTCGTCAGCTGTGCCTCGCTCTGACCTGTGTCTGTGTCCTTTTTCTTTCAGCCATCATCAACCCCAAACAGGCCAAAGACAACAAGAGCTTCAACTTTGATTACTCCTACTGGTCTCACACTACGGTAATTCTCTTCATATTAAACTATATGAAAAAGTCCAACATATTAACCAACTGCATGTCCGACTGGGTTTTCTTTTTTAATTAAAGCTCCATAAAAGCATGTTTGTATGGCTCTGAAAAACTTGTGCACTATTTGAGCAGGCTTGCATCTCCACAAACCTTACCTTTAACCTGAAGGAGGCCCTCCTCCTGCTTGTTTCCATGGAAATTATGTTACTAGTATGGTATAAAATGTTTCTGTCGCAATGGAGAATGTTCAATCTGGTGTAACTTTCTGTTTCCATGGAATCATGCAGGCGATACTAACCTGAAAGTTACACAGTGTTGCTTTATTTATAAAGCATGATTTTGAATAAACATGAGCTTTCTCTCAGTATTAACCAAGTTGCATAATTTTTTGGAACAGAATAATACCCCAAACTCTTAATATGCTCATCTCCATTCATGTAACACATTAACTTCGAAAACAAAATGTTCACTTGCGACTTTCTCATTCTGATGAAGTGAAAATCTTTGTCATTCAAATGTTTATGCTTGATCATTGCATGCTTAACTGCTCTCTTTTGTATTGCGTTTGTCAGCTTTACGACAATGGTTCAGATTTATAACGCTGATTATTGATCTGTGCCCACAGCCAGAGGACGTTAATTATGCGTCTCAGATGCTTGTGTACAAAGACATTGGGGAGGAGATGCTGCTTCATGCCTTTGAAGGATACAACGTCTGCATCTTTGCCTATGGACAGACTGGAGCTGGGAAGTCCTACACCATGATGGGCAAACAAGATGTCAAAGATCAGCAAGGAATCATCCCACTGGTAAAACTACAGAATATTGTTTTTGTTTGTAAAGGCTGGAGATTAGAGTGAAAGAACAACCAAATTATTTTTATACTTTTACCTACCAATTGATAATCTGCCAGTCCAGAAACCATCAGAAGAGCACTAATCCATACCGATTTTCTCTTTAGATGTGTGAAGATCTTTTCAGTAAAATCAATGAAAACACAGATAACAGCCTGTCTTACTCAGTTGAGGTAAGCCCACTCCCACTCTTTTTAGATCATATAACATTTGTCACCTGTGTACTGACCTTATCTAACTACGGTCAGGTAAGCTACATGGAAATCTACTGTGAGCGTGTGCGGGACCTTTTAAACCCCAAAAACAAAGGGAATCTTCGTGTCCGTGAGCACCCCCTGCTGGGACCGTATGTGGAGGACCTGTCCAAACTCGCTGTCACTTCCTACAACGACATCCAGGACCTGATGGACTCAGGCAACAAGGCCCGGTACAGAACTTTTGTCTGATATAGGCAGATTAGGCAATATCTTGACCTCACAAACACAACCTGTTGAGAAAATTGTGTTATTTTTGTATTATTTACATTGCAGAACTGTCGCGGCCACAAACATGAATGAAACCAGCAGCCGCTCACACGCTGTCTTCAATATAATCTTCACACAGAGGCGCCACGACGCTGACACCGACAATGTATCTGAAAAGGTAACAGAAAAACATATAACATACTTTAAATGGTCTAGCCTTAATATATTTTTGAGCTTTAGTCAGCATCACTTAGAGAAAACAAAACAGGGTCCGAAGCTCTCGGTCTCATTATTTTTGTGGCTGTGTTGGGAGAGAAATTTCATTTTATGTCTATTTTTACCGTGTAGGATTAAATGTCAGGTGATTAAAAGCAAAGAATATTTTTTGCAAGTCATCTCCCATTGGCCACACTCAGATGTTGCTGGTGATAAAAAATGATTCTACTTGAATGTATCTTGGAATGTGATTATAGTATGGTGATGACCATGAAGGTTCAGAAAAAAAACATATCCACATATTTTATAACACCTGAATCAAAAAGTAATAAGAGACATTTTAAAAATAGACAAAATACAATTACATTTTTATTAATGTGTTCTTGCAATCATAAGGCCTGCATTTCAATCAATCATTCAAACTGTTTTTTATAAAGCGCTTTTCATACAAAAAATGTAACACAAAGTTCTTTACAGTGATTAAAAACAATACCACCACCCACTCACCAACCCTCACAACTGCCTGACCCCACACAAACGACCCAGACAGTCGCGCACACACACGCACACACATACACAGACACACTGACATGCTAAAATACATAAAACTACATATAGTAAAAAAAAAAAAAGGCTGAATACAGGCGAATCAGTTGAGAAATTTGCATACTGTTTATTTACACTTTTTATTTAGACTTCTTTTTATATAAACTTGATAGCAGATTGAAGATATTTCTCAGTCTCTTATATATGTTTTTTGTGGATCTATTCTTATTTGATGCTGTTTTGTTTCAGGTCAGCAAAATCAGTCTGGTGGATTTGGCCGGCAGTGAGAGAGCTGACTCAACTGGAGCAAAGGGGACAAGGCTTAAGGTACAGCTTTATATTTTCTTGAGTTGAAATGATGACATTATCATATTTAATTTTTGTTATTTCATTCATAGGAAGGAGCTAATATCAACAAATCTCTCACCACCTTGGGAAAAGTCATCTCAGCATTGGCAGAAGTGGTAAGTTTGTGTCCACTTACAAAAATCTCTATATTGTAAGTAGCATATTATATCATACAGTCTATTTTATGTTTTTTAGGATTCTGGGCCAAATAAGGTAATATGATTTTACAAAGACGTATGCTCAGTGAAAAACAATACCTAATGTTTACATTGTTGTCTGCAGAATAAAAAGAAGAAGAAAGTTGAAAGTTTTATTCCTTACAGAGATTCAGTCCTAACATGGCTGCTCAGAGAAAACCTGGGTAATGATGGTCTTTTTAATCTATACATTTCTTGTTTTGGCAATGCATGGTTAGTGCTCCTTAGACTTTTGTGCTTACTATAGACAGAATACTGCACATATTTCCATTTTGCATATCTTCCAAACAACAAGTTCAGTAATAGCTTGTAGATGATAAATCACCCACCTCTGCTGTGTCTAATCAAGTATTGTGTCTAATCAAGTATTTTTGCATTTTGGCAGGTGGGAATTCTCGAACAGCGATGGTGGCAGCTCTGAGTCCTGCCGACATAAACTACGATGAAACTCTTAGCACTCTCAGGTAGAAAAAAATAACACTTTCCTCCTTGTAAAGCCTATTAATGTGTGTGCAAAAATCACACGAAGTTATGTAACAAGTGCATCTAAAGGGATTGCACAAATTCACACTTCAATCAGACTTCTGCAACTGCTGCTGTGTGTGTGGGTAGGTGGGACTAAACCAGCTATATCAGAAAAAAACATGTTAAATGATTTGAATAATGCAATATGTCTGAAGTTGTGTAATCCCCATGTGATCAAGCTGAATTGAGATACAGTATTACTAAGGGTGTAATGATATCGAAGTCTCACAATACGATATTGTCACGGTATGAACCTCACTGTACAATATTTATTGCAATAACGTGGTAAAGCTCACGATATGGTGGGGAGGCTCACGATTAGGGATGTAACGATATCCAAATCTCTCTGTAAGATATTTTCACGATATACATCTCACGGTATGATATTTATAGTGATATTTAGTGGAGGCTAACAAAACTGTTAATTGTTTTTCCTCTTAAAATTCCTTGACAAGACTTAATCCAAAGAAGTAAGACTTTAAAGTGCTTAGAACTGTTATTTTTTCTTGTAGTCTACACTGAAATGGAGCAAAGGATCATGGTCTATGTAGTTCCCTTTGGCTTTTTTTTTAGCTATTGCTGCACCATAACTCTTAATTTAAGCAAAGAGACCTGTAATTCGATATATTGTGATGGTCCACGATATTATTGTGAGAACTTTGACAATACGATATCACAATATTTTGGTTATTGTTACATCCCTAGATATTTCATTTTACACAGGCCATTGGTTAAATAAACACAAGAGGAGTGTCAGGGCTGAATACTTGAGTAAAAGAATGTTTACAGGGTTTAAACATGATTATGATAAAACCTAGTTAAGATGTTCTTTCATTACACTTTGAATTTTGGACAAATTTATGACATATACATTGCAGTAAGTTTGTGATCTTCTGTTCTCTTGTCTTAACTTTACAGGTACGCAGATCGTGCCAAACAGATCCGCTGTAATGCTGTCATCAATGAGGATCCAAACAACCGCCTGGTCCGAGAGCTGAAGGAGGAAGTGTCCCGCCTCAAAGACTTGCTCTATGCTCAGGGCCTGGGCGATATCATCGAGAGTAAGAAAATTCACATCATCACAAGTATTGTCGGTTTCATCACATTGGCAAATAAGCTATACATGACTCAGATGTAGCTATAACTGTATATCTGAAAATTGAATGGTCCAATGGTATTCAGGTTTAGTAGTATTATCTGTGATTTATTTGTGACAGATATCTATTTATGTAGTAAAGAAAGACAGCAACAAAATATGTACAAGTATGTAGTATGAGGTAGTTATACCAAACCTAGAAACTTCTGACTTTGACAAGCACATTAAAATTAATCACTGTATGCAACCTGAAAATCTAATCTACTGTAGCTCTATAGATTTTACAAAAAAAAACATATTATTAGTATCACTATCTTTCTGAATCTACCCACTGTAGACTGTGTTAAAATAGAAGAGCCACCCACTCAAGTGCTTCAGGAAAATAGCAGGACGCATCACACAAAGGAAGCCTGTTTCATGACATTTATTGGCATCTGGATGTCTCTGTCTGTCTTCCCTCCCCCTTTCTCCTCTTTTCACTCCTATTTCTCTTGACTCTTCCAGCGTTTCGAGGCTCTGGTGCTGACCTGGAGGGTTTGAAATGTGTGTTCATTTGGCTGTTTCTTGCTTTTGCGCTTGTGGCATCTGAGCAATTATTATGAGCTTATAACTGCAGCAAATTGCTTTATCTTCTCTGCAGCACCACAATATTGGTTATTATTGGTTCTCGAAAAAATATAGTTTTAAGTGAATTTAAGTTGGTCATTTGAAAGCGAAAAATTCCTGCTGTATGAAGAACAATTGCATCAGAAGTGGTAAATAATGACTACTACGTGAATCACTGATTACACTAGCTTCTATTAACATACAGTTAACACCTGAAAAAAAGTCTGTATGTTTGTGCTTTCAATGTTCTCCTTGCTACACTATGGTGCTGTCGAGATATGTGGCTTGGGAGCTTTTGCATTGAACAGTCTGCACCACCATTAGACCACTGAAATCTCTGGCATAACCTGCTCTGTCTGGCCTTATCGCCCTCTGTTGGCAGCCACAGCACCGAGCACATTAACGTGTGATGACGCAGCTTTTAGTCACTCAAAGACCTCTATTTACTCGCACATTATTGGTCGTTTGAGGTCTCATTTTTGGCATTACATTTTTACTGTCCTCCCATAACATATGACTTCATTTAGCACTCAGAGGTGGGTGTAATATTGGATCCTTTTTGACAGGCAGTAGTCCATGTAGTTGATGGATGGTGGCGATAGCATTTTCCCGTTTTATTGCACTGTGTTGCCATAGCAGCAGCTCCAGGTTTGATGAAGTACCTTTTAAGGCGTCCTGGCAAGATAAGCCTGAAACATACATGAGGGACAGTCAAAAGGGACAGTCATAAGGATGTTGTCACTGGAAAGTAAACAGTGAAATGAAACAGAAATGTGATAATGTTGAAATGTATGTCGTTTATTGATGTTGCAAGCCTTACTGTACATAATTATTGCCTTAATTTTACTCTCTATAATAGTTACTTTCTTGCATAACCTATTTGGTGATGCTGGCTTAGAATAAATATAATAAAACGTTGGTAGATAAGTCATATTTTTGTCTGTTTCAGGGGTTGTTGAGTAATGCTGAGTCATGGGTAGAGGTTGTTTCTCACTTATAGAAAAATCCTTGAAATAAATTGTTTAGAAAACTTGTAATACCACTGCATTTTGGCATTTGCTTCTTAGTCACATCGAAGATAAAGTGCATATTGATTAGGTTTTTATAAGACGCATCTGTATACATTTAAAAAACATAGTCGTAAATTACACTTCACCATACAGTAGCTCTAAGTTGCTGATGTAGAATTAGTTGAAAAGTCCTTGGAATAATTGTTCATAAATAATGCAGAAGATGAATGCACAAAACACGCTTTTATGGATTATTTCTCTAAGCTTGAATTGAATTAGAGCATAAATTGCCAAAGTTCTGTTTTGATTATACTACCATAAAAAAGCATTTTTAAAATTATTGCTTATGTCCCTACATATTATGGCATTTTGCTTGTGTTATCTGCCTTTTGCCTTGCTAAAATGGATGGCTTTGTTTTATTTTTAAGTTGGTTCTCTTTGCCTGGCTTTCTGCTGATGCCGCCCTAGCTTGTTTCCACTCAGATCAAATTTCACTCTGTCAATTAGATTTGTTTCAAGACACATATCTTCTTTCTCCCCTCTCTCCCCTTTCCTTTGACTCTTTAACTATCTTCTGTACCTTTTTTTTTTTGTTAAATTAATTTTTCCTATCCCATCATCCATCCAAATGCGCCCCCCTGTCCAGTTCGAACAGACGTGTCCGATTTCAAGAACAATAACAATAAGGGATTTTCCACAGTGACCAATGCTATGACCGGGATGAGCCCCTCGCCCTCTCTCTCTGCCCTGTCCAGTCGAGCTGGGTCCATCGCCAGCCTTCACGACCGCATCATGTTCAGCCCTGGCAGTGAGGAGGCCATTGAGAGGCTAAAGGTATAAAAAATTATGGAAAAAGTACATAAAAATACACATTGACAGTGGTTCGCAAATTATTCACAAATGCTCCGCCCTTTATAGATTTGACCCAAATCATGTAGCCCTATTAAAATAACATATGGCCACAAAAATAACTTGTTTTATATCATTTATTGCCTCACCTTTCGGTATTTTACATTTTTTATTTTGTATGCTGATATCTGACATTTTCTTCTTCTTTTCATTTAAACTCTTATATGTCATCAGGAAACAGAGAAAATCATTGCAGAACTCAATGAAACCTGGGAGGAGAAACTCCGCAGAACAGAAGCCATCAGAATGGAGCGGTAATATAAACCAGATCAATTGTTTTATAGTGCTGTCATAAAACAATGCAGTTATTACCGTAGCATGCTGCATGTGCCAATCAAAACCTTGTAACCTCACCACCAGCAGCCATACTCTTTATTTTTATCTTCTTGACATGCAATATATGTATGTAACTGTAATTTGTAAGAGCTTGGGCAAAAGAAAGGCTCACGTAAGCAAGTTGATGTACAAACATTTCTCATATTTTTTTTATACTATGTTGATTGTCTGACTGAATTAAACTCAATTTAGACTATGTAATATTCCAAACGATCTAATCCAGTCACAACATTTCATCAGTGTCAGGGAGCACCAAAAACCACACATCAAAACCCACACTAGTTACTAAATATGCGCGCAAATATACCTGTGTGTAAAATGTTTGTTCTGTTCCCTTTATGTAGAGAGGCTTTGCTGGCAGAAATGGGTGTTGCAATGCGAGAGGATGGTGGGACACTGGGAGTATTTTCACCTAAAAAGGTATGGAAATAATTGATTTGACTGTTAAAAATATTTTAACACATCTTATTTTCTTTTAATAAATATGTTTCCTAATATTTTTTAATAATTTTACCCAAAGCCATCAGATAGTCCTAGAAAACCAGAGCCTGTTTTTATCGACACAGTTGGGCTGTTTTCACCCAATGAGGTTTGTGGCTCTGAAGTGTTGTGTCCTCTCCTTCGGTGAAACATTTTATCTGGAGCTTTTCCTGATTAATCCGGGACCTCTGGGTGTATTTACTATTACTATCTTTGCACAGATTAAAATCTAGGGCATCCTCTTCTACATTATCTTTTCACTCCAGGCACCCAAGTCCCTGCTGGAGGTTTGGGTGTAATGCACTGATAACGCTTCTGTCTCTGTTTCTCAGAATATTGTTGAATTGAATTTTGTTAGTTTCACCCTTTAGTGTCTCACTGACTTAAAACACTTAGACGCAGTGGGAGGGTGAGAGATGCATGATTTTAATTATCTCTAATTGTTTGATGTTTTTCCCTTGGAAGATTTCACTTTCTTGTGCACTCATGTTTGGAGAGTCAAATGTTATATAGTTGATAACATACAGGCACATCAGAATGATCTTTATATTAGTTATAATAATTTAATGTGTGCTTTTGTCTCAGACTCCACATTTGGTGAATTTGAATGAAGACCCTCTGATGTCTGAATGCCTCCTGTACTACATTAAAGATGGAATCACCAGGTAAGACACATAAACAGATGGAGGATAGAGTCATCATCAAAGCCTGGCTCTCTTGTTATGTGATACATAAAATTTACATACATTTGTATGCATGTAGGCCATAAATTATGGCTGGTCATCAGAGATTATACATTCACACACCACATTTATACATAGGCAAGGTGAATGAAATGTTGCCAAAGGACATAAAGAGTATGCATTGGTTAGAGCTGGGATCAACCCCTCTATCACCTCATCACATTGAACAGCTTTTGGAAATGTTAACATCCATCCAACCAACATTTTAACAATTTTTCCTGCACTATATTTCACCAACTGTCATTATCATCTTGCAGAGTTGGGCGTGAAGATGCCAGCAGCCGTCAGGACATAGTTCTCAGTGGTCATTTTATCAAAGAGGAGCACTGCACCTTCACCAGTTCATCAGACGCCAATGGAGAAAGTGAGATAACCCTTCTGTGTTTTGTTATGGCACATAATGGTCCATGTGCTTGCAGACAGGAAATTAAGCCTTTACTGATGTCTGCCTCTGTCTCTGTGCAGCTGTGATACTGGAGCCGTGTGAAGGAGCAGAGACCTATGTGAACGGGAAGAGAGTCACCGAACCCACTGTTCTCAAATCAGGTCAGAGAGGGTCTATTATTATCAGTTAAGAAATATTTTATTACTATGGATATGTCATTATTCTGCCTGGAATGTTCCGCAGTATGACATTAAACAGCTCTGCCTTAGATTTATCAAATTACAGGTTTTATAGCTCAAAAATACCTAGAAAAACAGCCATTCTGACTGTGAGTGGGGTTGCTTCTCCAAAAATCTGACCCGAAACTTGGTCTGGTTTGGTCTCCATGAAGATAGAAAGGTTTAATATCATACTGTGAAACATTCCAGATGAAGCAGTAACATGTCTATGGAGAAAAGCTTTTGACAGACCAGTCACCACAATATATTTTAAATATCAATAATTAAACCTTAAAATAAAATAATTTAAATGATCAAGACTACTTCTACTATTATAGATAACCAACAATAGCTTGAATCTCTTTAGGAAACCGCATCATTCTGGGTAAGAGCCATGTTTTCCGGTTCAACCACCCGGTGCAGGCGCGGGCGGAGCGGGAAAGGACTCCCTGCGCAGAGACCCCCTCGGAGCCTGTGGACTGGGCCTTTGCTCAGAGGGAGCTGCTTGACAAACAGGGCATCGACATGAAACAAGAGATGGAGCAGAGGTATTGTACAATGGGGATATCTGTATGTTTCATTTAACCACTTTTCAGATGCACAAAAATGAAAATACATTCACAGAAAAACACAGCCTATGATTTAAAGTATCTTAATCCATTTGAAGTGTTTTAAGTTTGGTTTTGAAATCAGAAATTGGCTCTCACACACAAATGTTAACTTTAAAATCTCAGTTAAGATCTATCGGTTTTGACCTCTATTATGACCAAGCTCTGCTGGGTACAGAGGAATTAAAAAAGAAACAAGATATAAAATTTCAAAACTAAAATAATTAAACTGTAATTTATTTAAAAGGAATGTAAAGATGAAACTAACAAAAGAGAATATTTACTATACTTTACAATAGAAAGGAGGCTCTTAACAGAATAGCTAAATGTATAAACAAAAAGTGACAGAATTACGATGTACAAATTATGTTAGCCCCAAAACAACAGAAAAAGCCAGTCTCTTTAAAGTCACAAAGGACTACTAGTGTCTGAAATAACAAAGATACCACACAAGGCCAAACCAGAGACACAAAGGTGACATGCACTTCACAGACAGAAAAGCAGCTGTGAGTGGCGGGGGGGTGGGTCCTTTTATGGGTGTGGCAGCTGCAGGTGTAGGCCCAGCATTGGCCACGGCGATACACCAAACAGCCAGCTTGAGGTCTGTCAGATTGAGGCTTGCATGTACAAACAGGAATCAGCAGCAGGGACTGGGTTACAGGAGGAGCTGGAGACCTGTGGCCATAACAACATCAACTGAAATCTACTGAAATTACCAAGTGAAAAGTGTCAGAGGAAATGGCTGTGAAGTGATGCGAGGCGAGAGGAGGTCTGGAGTAAATGGGTTTTCCATGTGTTTTGTCTTCAGGCTGCAGGAGCTGGAGGACCAGTATCGCAAAGAGAGGGAAGAGGCAAACAACCTACTGGAACAACAACGTCTGGTACTTTTTCTGCAATACATTGAGTAGACCAGATTGTATTGTCAATTTGTATATATTTTTTATTTTAGTGTTCTGGAGAGTGATCACAAATGACAAGCTTTCACTGAATAACCCATCATTTATTGGGCTTCTTTTAATGGCATCTTAACATCAACAGAACTGCAACAGCTGTTAAAATATACAATACTTGTGCTACTAATTGGTGTGAAAAAAAATCGTTATTTACTTCATAAATAATTGTCACTTTTATTATTTTATGAACTGTGTAGGATTATGAAAGTAAACTAGAAGCCCTTCAAAAACAAGTGGACCGTTGCTACCCAGATGCTGTTGAGGAGGAAGAGGAGCCAGAGGAAGAAGGTATAAAACTAGGCAGTACATTTTTATTAGGGGTGTTAATTTATTGTTAATGCTAAATACATATAATGATTTTGCCTTTCAGTTCAGTGGACCGAGAGGGAGAGAGATTTGGCCCTGTGGAGTTTCCGAAAGTGGAGATCTTACCAGTTCACCTCTCTGCGTGACCTCTTATGGGGCAATGCCATTTTCCTGAAAGAGGCCAATGCTATAAGTGTGGAGCTAAAAAAGAAGGTTCGGAATCTAGTTATTCAATTTTAAGTTCTGTGTAAAATTCATAGTTCATCCGTTAATTAAAATCACTAAACATTTTGTATTGTATTACTCATCTGTTACAAAAAAAAGCCTGAATCCAGCTATTAATACGTGTTATGCATTTTTTGCTTTGTCATTTTCAGGTACAGTTTCAGTTTGTTCTGCTGACCGACTCTCTGTACTCTCCCCTGCCCCCGGACTTCTTGCCCCCGGAGGCAAATAGTGACAGAGAGAAGCACCAGTTCCCCCGCACCATTGTGGCTGTTGAGGTGCAAGACCAGAAGAACGGGGCCACACACTACTGGACCCTAGAAAAACTCAGGTACATTTACTTTGTTAATTTGGGTATAAATTATAATTGAATGTAGTTTCTTCTTTTCTAAACATGTAGTGCCCTGACTTCAACAGAATTTTTTTGATATTTCTGTAAATAGTGTCACAAAAATACATTTACACATTTCACTTTAGAGGTATAACTGAAGATATTAGGCTTCTTTTTATTCATAACAACAATGCATAGGATTAGGAATGAGTATATCAGAGGGAAAGCTCAGGTTAGATCATTTGAAGATAGAATCAGATTTACCAGGCTCAGGTTGAAGTTTATGCCTATGCGAAGAACTCAGTAGATTTACGGGTGTACTGAAAGAACACAGAGTTCATTGTGTAAGAGAAGAAAGAGGATGCAGATGGGATGGTCAGATTGACTTAAAGAACACAAGAACATTAATTATACAGCAATAACAACACTAATTAGTTTCTTTAAAATGCACAAGTGTTAATTGCTCCCTTTTATTGCAGACAAAGGCTTGATTTGATGCGGGACATGTACGATCGTGCAGCTGAAGTGCCTAACAGCTCCACTGAGGACAGTGAAAATGTGATGACCGGAGGCGACCCCTTTTACGACCGCTTCCCCTGGTTCAGGCTGGTCGGGAGGTAAATGTCACACAACAAGAAAGATAGAAAGAAATAAGGGTTTTATCAGCGTCCACAGCCCAGAGAACTCCCCATAGTTTTGAGTTAATAAACACACTAGTTTAGAGCGATAGCTTTTACTGCCATTCTGTTGGCATTCAAGTCAACAAGTGAAGTGCACAACACCAGTTATCATGTGAATTGATAGTGTACATTAAACATTGCATTACACCAACCAAACATTGCATATGGGTACAAAGGAAACTGTTACTGCTACTGGTGCATTCGATATCAAAGCACATTAACTAGGAAATAATGGTAAAAAAACCAAAACAGTATATAATACATTAAGTGTGAACTTAATATAATTACAACTTGTATTTTCAATAAATTTTTAAATAAATACGGAACATATTGTTAATATTTTCTTCACTGTAACAATGACTTATTACATTTGGTACATTACTGACAGAGAAAGAAATATTTTTAAAGGATTTCTGTTCTTGCCTCCCACTCAAAACCTGCAGATTTTTTCTTTTTCATACAAATTTTGGCATCCAGCCTCCTAATCTCTCCTACACAGTCACAAGCTGTGATTACATAACAGTAGCAGCCTGTGCGCCTTTCATTCAGCTCATTGTGATTCAGGAAGAAGTTCATTTGAAATATGCCCCTAAAATATCTCCTAACCTCCGCTCTGGCTTACTCATACGATTTAAACTAAACCTTCCAAGACCTGTGACCAAAAATAAATCATACTAACCATTAACTCTTAAATCTTAAACAGATTTTATTAGTCCATAAAGGAAATTATTTGGAAGAAGATTATAACCAGAGTGTACTAAAGTATTACATTTAAAATGCATAAACAGTAGTATGTTTGTCAAGATCATTCTCTTACAGCAATGCAGTCTAATTAGCATCAGACACTGAAACCGAAACTGACCTAGGGGAGGCGTGTGTGAGGATAAGTGTCTATGTTTAGCATACAGCTGCATTAAACAGAAGCACTCAACTCATATGGTAGTATCACCAAAAGAGTGTAATCACAGGGGAGAAATCAAAATTTTATTTTTATTTTCATATTGACCAGCCTTGAGCGCACTTACTAATGAACCAACAGTTGAAATACAAGCCTTTGTAGACATTGCCCTCTGCCGTATAACTGTGCTACATTGCCTGTCCCAAAGCTGGACGTGCTGTGAATAGCAGCACAACAAGGAGCACCTTTGCAGCTTGCTGCTTTGTGTCACGTATCGTCCATTATTAACAGACTGTCTACAGGCCTCAGCTCTGCGCCTCTGCTGCTTCTGCCTCTCACTGTACTAACCCAGTTCTGTGTGTGGCTGCACCAGAAACCCTCTGTTCAACACGTGCATGAGCGAGCGCATGAGTGACCCCACCCCGTCCCCCACCCCGTCCACATCTGAGGTCACCGAGCTGGCCGACGCGCAGCGGGACGGGCGCGGGGTGGAGGGAGAGGACGAGCTGGAGGCTCTGGATGATCTCGACCAGGATATATTTTTGGATGACTCGTGCTTGGAGCTGGATGATGATGATGATGATGAAGAGCGAGGGGTGTGCCGAGGCTCCTGCGAAGGCCTGGACCCCTTTTACGACCGCTCGCCTTTGTTCAGTGTAGTGGGCAGGTTGGTGAGGTCTCGGAGCAGGCTGAGAGGAAACTAGCTCTTTCACATCGGGAAGAAATCACAAACTTTTATCTAACATCAGATTGGTGATAAAAGTTTTTTATTTTATTCTTTTTTTTTTTCTTTTTTTCAAATTTAGCAGTGTTGTTGATGATCAGCAATTATCATGTGGTTGTTAATAAACCCACGTTGGAGTCAAAATTTACCATTGGCCTGACCAGTCTGACCTATTCACTGTGAACCTGATGCTCTTGAAGAATTAAACTTGGGAGACTGGCCAGTCTACTATTTTTGGGTTGTTATTTATTTATTTTTTTTTTACATTGTTTATTTACAATAAATGCATTTTGTCATTTTGCTCTCAAGCCCACCACTTTATTTACATCAGCACTTGTTTCCTTAAAAGTCCAAGCAATGTTGATGCTCAGCATCTGCTTGTTTTTGTGTCACAAATGTTTAACTTGTAGAGGCAGAACTATATTTAATTTAAAACCTGTTCACCAGCACTGACATGTCTTATTGATGACTACTCCTTTAAAATTATTTAAATATAAAGTTGTGTTTTTGAAGAAAAAATCTCAAGTTGAAAGAGCTGGTTTCTACTGCAGCGGTCTCTTTTAGGCATGCCAGAGCACAAGCATTTTTTATTTTTAAAATGAATTTTGGCTTCAAGTCCACAAGTTCAGTGCCCATCACGAGGAGCACCTTGATTTTGATGTGGTTTTTGTCTGGAGCTTTTGGCAGTTTTTATTACGGCTGAAACATGTGATGATTTCTGTTTCATTTGCTTATGGTTCCTTTAAGTCTAGAAGTATTCAAAGTATTTTTGTTCACATTTTTTGTCCTGAGCATGCCTTATTTGCACCTCACCAATCTTGTCATATGCCTTGTTCCCTTTTTTATACTTTTCATTTGTAATTGTTTAGTGGCTTCTACAAAATGATTGGTCCTTGAATGGTCCATGAATGATGAAGATGAAGGAATGTTGATTATATGTGGCCTGATATCAGTCTACAATTGAACAATTTTAATTTTAAAACAAAATTAATAATCACACAAAATCAGGAGCTGGTTTCTTTCCATTTAGTTCAGTAGCTCCTAGCCTCATCAGACCTTATCAGTACAATGTACATTTTTTTTAATTTGCATGTTACAATTGTCCTGATAATACAATTGACTAAACGGTGAGGAAAGACCCCATATAGTAACAATAGTAAAAGGTTTATCCATGGCCATCGCAAGAGCCGTTCCAGCTTCTATTCAGTTGCTTTGCTGCTCTATGTTCTGTTGTCCAGTCGAGTAATGATATTTTTTAATTCCACACTACTGAGTATTCATTTTGACAGCCATTTTTTATTGTATTTCCTATTTTTGTCTATGTTTTTGCAGAGCATTTGTGTATCTAAGTAACCTTCTGTACCCGGTTCCTTTGGTTCATCGCGTCGCCATTGTCAACGAGAGAGGAGAAGTCAAGGGCTTTCTGAGAGTGGCAGTGCAGGCCATATCAGGTATGGATTTAGGCTTTATGCTAATAGGCATAATATCAGACTAAACATTATGACCACCTGATTAATACACAGCCTGTTGCAATCGGCATCACCTTTCTCTCTGAGGTGGAATAGTATTTTAGTCATTTAGGTTACTGTAGTTCAGAGGTTCTTAAACTATTCACTGCAGAAAATATTTGTCACTACCTCCGGATCTAATTCAGCTGTGACACAAGACTAAACCAGGTCTAAAAAAGGACTACGCCATAGCATGCATAGTTATACACTAGGACAAAATTTACTAAATAATGCAAGAAGTGCGGATAACCTGCACTTTTCGAGACACCCTGACCCAGTTGTCAAGCCTTCACCTGCTTTTCCTCATTGATATTACTTATTTGAGAATGTGATACAGTTACTTGGCAATCAGTGGTCATATTGTTTTGGCTGTATTGTGAATATAAAGTACAGGAGGTGTGTGACTTCTTGAGAGAGTGAGGTGAAGGTGCTCTGTGTTTCCCTCCAGCCGATGAAGAGGCCCCAGACTATGGCTCAGGAGTGAGGCAGTCCGGCACTGCTAAGATCTCCTTTGAGGACCAGCAATACGAGAAGGTACATCACACAACTTTCATGTACAGTATCTATCTTTTGCTTCCAGCTAGAATTCCTATTCCTCTGAACTATGAATCAAGCAACTTTTTGGGTAATGTAGTCATACAGTTGGAGGGAATATTGCTAATCATGGGACATTTTCTTGAGCTCTGTATGGTTGGTGATTATTCTTTTCCCTTTAACAGTTCCAGTCTGAGTCGTGCTCTGTGGGGCTGTCCCGTAAGGGTGTGTCCCAGGAGGAGCTGCGTATAGTGGAGGGAGAGGGGCAGAGCACAGAGATGGGACCTTCAGCTGATGAAGTGAACAACAACACATGTGCGGGTAATTTTATTTTAGACGTGAGAGACAAGTCCAGTCTGTAAGTCTGTTTTATGTTCACTTTAAAATGAAAAACTTAGCTAGAGATAATTATTCTGTAACTGTATTTATATTTTTTGAGATTTTGATCTAGAAATAACTTGCTTTATTAAATTTAAAAAGATAATTTGAGCAGTGATATAAGCGAATACTTGAGTTTACCTTATCCTGATGGGAAAGACAACTCAATCACATCACCGAAAACAATGATTTGTAAAGTTAAATTAATGTTTTTTCTTCACAGCTGATGCAGATGACGACAATCCTGTGAAGGCTGGACTGGAAGAGGCGAACTTGGAGCATCTTCAGGTTGGAAATCTTTTCACTTTCAGAGTCACGGTGCTCCAGGCCTCCAGCATCTCTGCAGAGTATGCCGACATCTTCTGCCAATTCAAGTGAGTATTTCAACACCAAGTTAGAATTTATTGAACTTACATGTGCTGTACTGATCTAATTGTGTGTTTCTACAGTTTCATCCACCGCCATGATGAAGCTTTTTCAACTGAACCCTTAAAGAACACAGGTCGTGGTCCACCTCTCGGCTTTTACCATGTCCAGAATGTAAGACATGTATCAAAAGAACAGAAATACAGTACTTCACTCTTGTTTCCTTTTCTAAAATTGCAAATTTTCTGTAGATTGCTGTTGAAGTCACCAAATCGTTCGTGGACTACATCAAGACTCAGCCAATCGTGTTCGAGGTGTTTGGACATTATCAGAAGCAGCCTTTCCTCCCACTCTGCAAAGATGTTATGAGGTACTGATGCAACAAATCTGGTTCTATCTTCTGTCTATTAGACCAGTATTAATCATCACTGGCCTAGAGACATCAGATTATGAAAATACATGCTAATGTAATGGCTGTGACACAACCTCATAGAGTTAATATTAATAGTTAATTTAATTATTACTTGAAACACCGTAAATGAGATACATTTGGCCAAGCCAATTAGACATTTGCTGACCTATGTTTTGCTTATGTTTTAGGGGTGTTGTACTTACATAATGGACTTCTAATATTCTTCTATATTATCTTGTCCACAGCCCACTCCGACCCTGCAGGAGACAGTTCCCCCGGGTCATGCCTCTTTCTAAACCGGGTATGTCACTCCTTCCCTCTGTCTAATCCTCATTCACGTATTTAAATGTATGTCTGTGCACTGCTGTCCTGCTTCAAGTCATGTCATGCAAGCTTCGTGTTGTTGGGTGCAAGCAGCAGGCTCCGAGACCTCCCCGGACCGTGAGAAAACCCTGGACTTGATCCGATACCTGGTCCCAGATTCGTTGAATGGGGCCTTAGTGGACTCGCTGTCTGGACACGCCCTTTCAGCTGCTGGCCTCGCTGCTTCTTTCATCATAGAAGCGCAGGAACGGGCCCAACTCCCCGCTCCACCCATCTCTATCTGTTCAGTTATTAAAGCACAGACGCCCGGTTGGTTTTCATAAACAGGTCACATCCAACAGGATCCTGGGACTTACTGTCTTTTTATATCCAGCTATGATATATACATGTCTAGTTCATCATATTCATGTAAAAAAAAATGTAACTGTATTAAAAACAGTGTCATTAATCATCCGTTACTGCATCACTGCTTTGCCCCCGTCAAGCTTAAACTGTATTAGACATTGTTGTCCAAAAATGTGCTGTTGAAAAATAATATAGAAAATTGTTTTGCCTTCCCAAAACCAAGGAATAATTACTACCAGCATCAAGTCATGCACCATTTACTACACATACTACAAATGCAGCAGTGTAGTAAATCTGTGGTATAAAAAGACAAATGATCCAGGATCCTGTGTGTGGATTGACTCCAGTGTGTGACTTTCAACTTGAGTGGTGGATTCCTTGCAATTCCTTCTTTGCATTCCTCTAAACTTGAATTACTGTACAGAATATTTTCAGCAATATATACTTTTTTTTAATTTTATTTACTATGATAAGGACTATGGGTAACCTCTGGTAGCCTACATTTCATTATTCATATTGTGTACACCAATGTTTATTATAGATGAAATATTGCATTATTATATCTTATTAAATGTTTAGGGTCAGATCTACAGTATGGAGGTAAAGACTGTAGTACAATGCAAGATATTTTGTATTATTCGGCTCACCTTGAAACAGTGGCGGGGGTACGCCGTCCAACCACTTCTCCCAATGTGAGATATAAAAAAATAACAAATATAAAATAGCTACAACTTAAATATCAAACCTGAGCTACTGGCAATGGTGAAAATAACCTGCATAGGCTCATGATATCTCCAGTACTGTCCTATAGTGACCTGCGACATGAGGGACCAGGACTGAACCAGGACGAAAACAGGACTGAAGCAGGACTAATCCAGGACTAAAACAGGACTGAACCAGGACTAAAACAGGTCTAAACCAGGTCTAAACCAGGATTAAACCAGAACTAAACCAGGACTGAGTGTGGGGACAGGCTCGGAGGTGCACCCGCATGGACTGTCGGGTGGCGGCAGGCGAAAAGACCTGCACAGAGGTCCACGCCTCATGGAGCTAACAGCAGCCTGGTTCAGTCCTGATTTAGTCCTCCTGGTTCAGTCACGAACCAGTCACTTAAAAATCCCCACTACACCACTGCCTTGAAGCTTTACAGCATAGTTTTGTTACTGCAAGATAAACCACCTGCTATATAACATATGTTTGCATTCCTACCCAAAACTACACAGTAGATCTGGCCCTAAGTTTGAACCACAGCACCTCTTCTCCTTTTATTACAAACTTGGTGACATGATGGGGTTCTTTTGTGTCCTTTTACAGCCCTCTTTTCTTCCCTCCATCTCTCCTTTGTAGGCTAGACCAGGTCTCTCATCCTGTCGTTGGCTTGAATTTCTCACATTTTCTGACAGCTTTGTCCTTGTTTCATTTCAGTCCCGGCCACAAAACTGTCTGCACTCACGCGACCGCAGGCTGGACCTTGTCACAGCAAATACGACCTTATGGTTTTCTTTGAGATCTGTGAACTAGAGGCAAATGGAGAGTGAGTATCAAGTTAAAGACTAAGCCGCCTATAGAGTTGAGTTGCCTGTACAAATGTGTTTTCAAGGTTGGCCTAATGTGCCTAATGTCTCTGTTTATAGACTTACATTTGATTTTATGAGGCAAATATATTTTTTATACCTTTTTAGTTTCTTGATACTACCACTTAGGACAACTAACCTAACATTTTAACTGCAGCATTATTAAATCTGGTAATATTTAAATGTATAGTTAAAAAGTATGGCAAACTTGATTTATGTGTTTTCAAACATTTTTATATACATTTTACACACAACTTTAGGCTTCATCTGATTAATATCTTCTCCATAGCTACATCCCTGCAGTGGTGGATCACAGAGGAGGGATGCCCTGCCATGGCACTTTCCTTCTTCACCAGGTACTGTCTGTCTCATGCTGGAAATAGACTTGTTGCATTAAATATTCATTAAAAACATTGGTTTCTCTTCTTACTTGTGTTTTTCCACTACTTTCAGGGCCTCCAGAGAAGAATCGCTGTCACTATAGTACATGAATCTACAGGGGACATTGAATGGAGAGATATCAGAGAACTTGTAGTAGGTGAGCTAAGGTTTAAGCATTTTAGCAGTGTTGTTTTATTTGTTTGCAGCTGCCTGTATGATTTATAACCAAAATACCAACTAAAATGGGGTTATGAGACATTACTTACATAGAGACATTAATAGAGTGGTGTTGTAACAATACAAACATTCCAAACTTAATTTTGAATAGGAACAGGAATTTGATACTCAATAATGATTATAATACCACAAAAACACTCAATTCAATGACATTTTCAACATTAAATCATAGTACTTTCTTTTATATTACCATCTTGCCTTATATCTGTTTAAACCCTCAATTGTCCAGCTAGGTTCCATAGTGGTCCATGGGAGTATACTTGTCTATGTGCTCTTATACTTGTTCTAATACAGCACGAGATCATTCTAAAGCTGTTCTGGAAAGGTTAATTTTTACATTTGACAACCCTACAAAGGACCATTTTGACAAACTCAGGTGAGATTTTTTTCAGTTGTAAAGTATGTCTTGATTGTTTTGCAGGACGTCTCCGCACAACCCCAGAATCAGACGAGACAATCATAGACCCCAATATTTTGTCCTTGAACATTTTGTCTGCAGGATATGTCCGACCTTTGCCGGAAGACAGGTATGCAACGCTCACTGATTTCTCTTTACAGTAATACAGACCAATTTATGGTATATATATTTAATAACTAGACCTACATGTTTTATTACAGTACATTCTTCATGTTTAGGGATTTATATAGATGACGATTTATTGATGTTATGGGTATAACTAAACATTGCGCTTAACCATATGCTGTAAAATCATACAATTTGATCTGTGCTATATGGACAAACTGATTTAAATTACATTGTCCATTCACTCCCCACAACCAACAGAAGTAAGTAAGAGCACAGATATATTGCTGCAAATCTGCACCAGTGGTGTTCAACCTCCTCCAATCACTCAGTTACACACCACATTAACACAGGTGAGGTGGGTGAAGTGACTGGCTGTTTACAGGTAAAAGTTGACCTTCAGGAAAATATTCTGATGTAATTTTATTTTGTTTACTTGGGTCTTAGAATTGAGAAGATACAGCTTTGATTAAAAATACTTTTGAATTAATTGCTGGCTGAACGACCCTCCTTAATGTTCATGGCTTTGAATGTTGTCATTGTTATGTCTCAATTGCATCCTCATATTTCATTTCATAATAATACATGTATGTTCGGTGATTTAATCTCATTGCTGCTAACACCCCACTCTGCTCATTTAATAATCTATTTAAGAGATAATAGTATACCATAAATACTCCACTAATAATTGCTATATTTTTATTTCATGAGTCACTAAATTGAATTAAATGTTTAAATGCTTATTAACCATAATATAATATTATGTCAGGCAAGGCATAATATTGTTGTTATTCATTTACATATTACTATCATATTTATCTCTATATGTAATTTACATCCCACCAAATGAACAATATATTTGTGGCTCATGTACGTATATTGTAATTCTGTTGTCAGCCAGTTGAGGGCAGTGTTGTTTCAGGTATATGACTTGTTATTCCTAATGAATAAATTCAATTGCATAAGGCACTATATGTACAATCAATGCATTGTCCATGTTATTACTAAATATTTTAAGTTTATAACTTTGTATGTACTGGACTGATTTATCTGCATTCATCTGAAACCTTTGTAAAAACACCACACCAACCATCTTCATGTTCCTGTGAAGAAATTTGGTACCACATTTCCTGGAAAAATGCAACAATCTGAACTTTTTGACAAAAGTACGCTGCCAATTGTCAATTGTTTTGAAGCTTGCTGTTGCCCACACCCGCAATCCCCTAACCTTGAAAATATTAAAAGATCCTTATAATGAGTTACTAACTGAATGTTGTTTTTGCTTTTGCAGACAGTTTCTTGATTCGGACATGCCTAGGTATTTTATTTTGCCTCCCTGGGCTCTTCAAATGCATACTAACTCCATCTTGTTACCATGCTGTATCCATTTTCCCCTCTCTCCTGCTCTTTTTGTACCATTTTGTTGTGTGTTTTGTGTGCCCGTCATCAGAAGTGAGAGCTGTGGTTTTGCATGTTCTTTGCTGCTGTCCTGCTGTTTGACTCTGTCTACACTGTTTGTCTGACTTAAAGGTTATAAAGAGTATCTGACAGACAAGGGCGTGCATGGCTGGCTTCATGTGCAGCTTTTTGGTTGCGGAGGTGTCGTGGAGCCAGTCCCACAGTCTAGTACAAAAATAATGATCTTTAGCCTCTAAATACTCCAAAGAAACACTGAAAAAATCTAATTAGATTGTTTTGGGCATACGTCTGTATAATATATGACCACTAGAGGGAGATAATTCTCTGTCAGAGGAGATTATAATATGTTTTTTTGTTACAGAATTTGTAATGGAAACGGAATATTACTTTTAAAGAGTTGGAAGAGACAGTTTAGTATCTTTAATATTGTATTTTTATTTATAAATATTGCATTTGATTGAGTTAAAACACAGTTAGGTTTATATTATAACTCTTTGTTGTGTAACTTTAGGCCGAATAAAGATATATTTTAATGATATTATTTAACAGCATTCACAGTTTACTTTTTATGTTCCACATCTTGTTGTAAGAAACAGTTTTCTATTAGCAGCCGCTGCTTATTAACAGAAACACTCAACTCAACAGCTCGCATCATTTACAGTACAGCCCTGGCACTAGTTTCAAATACTGCTATTAAAAACTAATCCAGGGGTGCATTACCTCACCAGTAGCACCCTGTGTCAAATTGCTGCGATGTTGTGAATATTTTTAAGTCTTTCTTGTCCCACCCTGAAGTGTTGCCAAACTCCAGAAACAAATGTCCCGTTACATGTGGTGCCAGTGACATGACTTCAGTCCTGGCTCTGAGATTTAAGGAGGCAGTAAAACACAAAGTGGCAAATGTAGATGTAACACTAGGGAATAGTTTCCTTTTTACAAATGTTTAATGCATCAGTTCGTGTTATAAAACCGCAGGTGTTCTTGTTATGTGCTCTTGATGATTTGAAGTTTGATTTTTTTACTCTTTTCAGTTTTTTGGTTAGGTTACTCACAGGTCAGTTTAGCTCAAAACCAATAACACACACAAAATAGATGAATGCAAGTAATTCTACAAACTGTACCTCTGTTTTATTCTTCACCAAAAGTGCTTGACGTTGGTTGGTTTGTATGAAAATGAAATGATGATGCAATTTAGATTTTTTTCTTTTAATAGATAGATAGACAGACAGACATTTTAAACGTTATTGTCCCAGAAGAAAAATTCCATGCCGGTTGTTGACTTTCACACCATAAGCATATCACACAATAGACAATTAACAAAAACTTTAAGTATTAAGATGTTGGACAACTAAATTGCAACACAACTTTGAAAAAATATGATTACTTTTTATGTTAAAGTTACATAATCGGTTGGTGCCTCGGGTCAGTAGTATATCTTATGGAATTACTCAATTTGTCTCTTTATCTATGCCAACCACTCAAAGCTGACCAAATGAGCTGAATTACAGGGCTGAGTAAAACTTTCCGAACAGTGCATGACCACAACTCACTTCTTGACTCTTTTATTCTTTCACTGATCTCGTCTTCTACAGTATCGTCTTGGAGAGGGACCATAGGTATTTCACTGTCCCAGCTCTCTACCCTGCTGTTCCTTCGTCCCATTTATTTCTGGTTCATCTCTCTCCATCTAATCATTTGCATGCAAAACTATTACTATTAATGTTAAATCTTTGGAAGAACTTTACAATGACGCACCAACAATAGAGAGTTTAATGCATGTACGTGTACGTTAAATGTTTCGCCAGGGAGGGCATCTGGTGTAATTCTTGTGCTAAAGCAATATATAAACAACCAAACACAATGATGCTGTGAACAGTTGCTGAAATAATATATGCTTTTTGAAGTGGTGCCTTGTTGTAAAGAGAAAATTATGTCCAAAACATCAACTTAATTTGAGAATGACTGTATGAATTTTTTGTGTTCATCACATAATACTACTTTATTTTAGTAAGTTGCTTACTCAAATGTATGGCTGTGTAAAGCATGGGATTTATCTGAGTTTAGAATCTATATTTTGGATTATTAAATTGTATTTCTTCAACCATCACAGGACGTTTTATCGCTTTGAGGCAGCGTGGGACAGCTCAATGCACAACTCTTTGTTATTGAACCGAGTGACTCCAAATGGGGAGAAGATCTACATGACACTATCAGCCTATTTAGAGGTAAAGTTTTTCAATTAATCACATACTGATTTAGTTTAGATTAGGTTCACTACTGATCTTACCAGTACTGACACTGATCACTGTGTACAAGGAACCCACAAAGCCACACATGTTGGAGATTATTGGACTTGACATCACTGCTTAGTCCTTACCAAACCTTCTGAAACTGTAAAAGCTGCTCATTATCCTGCTTTCCAGACAGAAGAAGACTGGAATAGCCTTTCAGTGGTCTTAAGGTTTTGGCTGATAATATGTGATGTGATTATATGTATAAGTAATTATTATCTATGTCTTCCTGTTCCTGTATATTTCAGATGGAGAACTGCTCTCAGCCCGCAGTCATTACCAAAGACATCTGTATGGTCTTCTACTCCCGGGACACTAAGCTCTCGGCCTCACGCTCCATCCGTAATCTCTTTGGGACGGGCAGTCTCAGAGCAGCAGATGGGTGTGTTGAAAATATTATATTATGTATATGTTTTCATAGTTTTATATTCCGGTAGTGGAATATATTTAACAACTATTGCATTCTTTCATAGGAACCGAATAACAGGAGTCTATGAAGCCAGTCTTTGTAACTTGGCAGATATAGGAAGCCCAGGTAATTTTAATTTGATATTTTTAGTTTTAGATTGTCACATGGGCAGTATGATCTTAAAATAAAAGCACAAGAAAACTTTTGTAACAGTTGTAAGATGGTGTGAAATTAGTAATGCAACTTAAAGTGAGTAAAGTTCGCTTGTAACTGAAGTCCTGTCCCTGTGCAGGTATGCAGAGGAGGCGGAGGCGGGTGTTGGACACCTCGGTGGCGTACGTCCGTGGAGAGGAGAACCTGGCTGGGTGGAGACCACGCAGTGACAGCCTCATCCTGGAGCATCAGTGGGAGCTAGAGAAACTCAGCCTCCTACAAGATGTATGTGCACAATTGTTTACTGAGATACTAGAATTGTCTTGTGATGTGCTTGAAAATTGGGAAGAAATTTTATATTATGCTCTGTGTATTTTAGCCTCGTGATTTATATTCATCCAAGAAATTTTAAGTGCAGTGTTACCTTTTGTTTTGTTCATTATTGGTTACTGCCTACTATTATTTACCACACATTATATTTTGGTGGCCTCCCCCAGCTTTTTCTTAAATTAAAAGCATTACCTTTTTTGTTCATGTATGCAATCTATATTTTTCTGCTCCTCAGGTGGAGAAGACAAAGCACTTCCTTCTGTTACGAGAGAAGCTGGAGTCGAGTCTCGTGTCAGGACCAGACCCAGTTCAGTCCTGTTTGACCGAGGACCTGACAGAGACTCCTCAGACCTCAGAGGACCATGAGGCTGCCCCCTGCTCTGAAATCATCACAGAGAGGCAGAGGGAGCTCGCAGAGAGGGTCAGTAATTTTTCCCATTTTCCATTTTCCCACTAGTAGAGACAAAAGTAGTGGCCTTGCTTCTTTAGTGACAAACATAAAAGTGTATTGTTCAGAAAAGAACTGCTCAGTAACTTTAATTTCCTCCCAAAATGTGAATTACACAAAATGTTCTGAAAAAGGATCACCTGCACCACCTTAACTCTAAAACAGACACCCTCCACATACTGTCAAACTATTGATAGTAAATACATTTTATCTTAATAGTTTAACAGCTTTGGTATTAATATTTATCTCTTTATCTCTTCAGTGTTTACGGCTGCTCATGCATTCCTTCAACAGAGAGTACAGCCATGTTTGTATCAGCGCCAGTGAGAGCAAGGTAAGGTTTGAAGACTGTATAATCTGTTATATTTTCATACATACATAAATAGTACTGACTGTTGTGTTGATATTTGTGTGTTTCAGATCTCTGAGATGTCAGTTACAACTCTCAAAGACTCCCCTTCAGTGTCCACATTTAACACGATCGCTCCCTCCACAACTTGCCCTTCACTGGTGGAGGGCTGCTATGTGCCCGCTGATCTCAGGTTTCCCATTCTTCTCTGTCTACCTATTAAATTTAAAGAATACAAGTAACAGTGAAAACGATGAACAAACCAATTTTGCAAACATTTTTTGTATTTACCTTTTTTATAGTAAATACAATTAAAAGTAATTTTTTCTCAAACAAGTCCAATCTGTCTTTGCAAATAAATAATTTTTGCCAGACCATTAAAAATTATATATGTTTTTTTTAACTTTCAAATTAATAAAAAAAATACTGACTGAGTTACATTACCCATGTATCATGATCATGATATGTTGTAAATCAGCGCTGTGTATATGGAAAGAATGTTTTCGATAGTCAAATTTCTTTACTTTCAGACCCCCCACGCCTCACTCTGGTGCGGTCAGTCCCAGTCCAGACTCACATCCTGAGCCAGAGGAAAAGAAGCCCCACAGCGCCCCCTCTGACACAAAACCACGCAGCAGAAGATTTGTTCCTGACATCCAGGAGATCAGAGTCAGGTTTGTTACCAATTTAATACAATTATGACAAACATTTCCTGTATCTTAACCATCTTTGTTAGCTAGTTTGGGTTAAATGTGGTCTAAAAATGTGCGTGAAAGGGAATATACCTAAAACAGCCCTTGTCTTCTTGTTTCAGTCCCATAGTATCAAAGAAGGGTTACTTGAACTTCCTGGAGCCTCACACAAACGGGTGGATAAAGCGTTTTGTGGTGGTGCGGAGGCCTTACGTCTACATCTACAACTCAGACAGAGACGGGGTGGAGCGAGCCATCCTCAACCTCTCCTCTGCTCAGGTGGAGTACAGCGAGGACCAGCAAGCCATGCTCAAGGTACACCCAGTCCCATAACGCACTGTGCTTTTTTTTAGACATGGAAATACTCAATTGAGTTATTTAGTTAGTTCAGAAAAGGTTCACTATGTAAGTTTTCTGGTGGAGGGTCACTCACATCCTCCACAGAGATATTGTTTTGCCTAGAATATTCCACAGTATTGCATTGACATGTCTATTTATTCAATTACATGGGTTTAGTTTCTTAAACAAGTGGGGTTACCTCTCAACAAACCTGACCTTAGCTCTATGACTTCACATGCTTGTCTCCACAGAGAGCAATAAGCTTAATATCACACTGTGGAACATTACAGGCAAAGCAATAACATCTACATGGAGACGAGCAGATGGCAGATCCTACCCTGAAAAATTTCAACTTAAATAACTTCTTGGGTTCTTTTCTGAAGACACTACAGTAAAGTATTTACCCTGTTGACATGACTTGTTGGTGTTGACGTGTCGTATATCAGCTGTTGTTACTTCCGATAACAACAACCAGAACACTAACAGATAAAGGAAAACCTAAAATCAGAGCACTGTAAAAGAAATAACCACATTATGGATTGGGACAGGGCACTGGTCATTGCATCGTAAAACAACAAGTTCAAACGCTGGATCAGGATCAGCATTAACTGTGATGACGGAGCGTTCCTCCTTTCACACACTTGGCACACCGTCCTCCAGAGAACACCAGGGGACAGGAGGCATAGTCAGTCTGAGCAACTTGCCAGATCAATCAGGTTGACCACAGCTACAGCAAAGTAACAACAGCTGATATATGATACGTCACCAACAACACCGGTGACTAGCAGCTGATACATGCCAAAACATGTCAGTAAGATAAATACACTTTACTGTAGTGTCTTTAGAAAAGAAACCAAAGAAGACATAAGAAGACAAAATAAATATCTTTGGTTAAACCTAAATAAAGCAACAAAAACGAGTCAATCAAATGTGCTAAAATAAGCTTTGGTTTCTCCACAGACTCCAAACACATTCGCCGTGTGCACAGAACATCGCGGAATCTTGCTTCAAGCCAACAGTGAAAAGGACATGCATGACTGGCTCTATGCGTTCAACCCTCTTCTCGCAGGAACTATCAGGTACTGCATCTGAGTACTGCATCTGAGTACTGCATCTGAGTCCTGCAGCTGAGGCTAAACTTCTCAAAAACGCCACACTGACTCTGCTTTGTCTTTCAGATCAAAACTGTCAAGAAGAAGAGTTGGACAGATGAGGATGTGAAACTGGAAAATCACAAAGACTTGATGTACATAAATCTGTGTCTTCTTTTTGTGCTGAGCTGCGTCCTCTTCATCACCAACCACCTTCTTCATCATCAACAAACAAACAAACAAACAACTTTACTACCATCTTTTTACTTTGTCCGCCGTATCCTCAGCAACACCTATCCGTATCCGCCCTTTGCTGCGCTGTGAGTCTCGCTGTCACTGTTCCGTACTGGAGGTTATTTATAAATGGACAAATGGAAAAAAGAAAATATGGAAGCAGTAGCATCTCAAAAGTCAAAATTACTCATGTATGTTAATGTGCTGTAGTCGTAATTGTCAGTGAGCCTTTTACATTGACTCTTCAAATGCAGAGATAGTTAGCTTTCACTTACAGCTGCCATGTTATCAAGAAAATAAGAAAATTCTACAGCTAAAAAATATTCACCGGTTTGCATAACGCATACAGCTTGACAATAACTACAAGAAAAATAATATTGAGGCTATCTCTGAAGCTATTTCTGAATATTTTCTATGGTCTGTGAATCTAATGTAATTTGCTTCATATTAAGAAAACAAAGTAAACAGTATTGGTATCGCACTTGATGTCCATGAAGGTCAATCATCCAACATTATAAATCAAAGGGTTAAAAGAACAGAACGCCTTTGTTTAAGAGTAACTCACCCCTATCCTCCTTTAGAAGTCTTGTTTATTAAGAATGGAATAAAAATATGAATAAAATAAAATAAAAATGTGGCCACGTAACACTCTGGCTGCTAGAAGACAAGTATAAAAAGCATGTTCAAAATACAATCATGTACTAAAACAAGCGCTTATGTCCCAGCTGCCAATCAAAGTTTTACCCCCCGTGCTTAACCTCGCTCCTACCAAAGTTTCGGCAGTGAGCTAGGGCTGAGTTACTCTTAAAGTTTTTGATATGTCATCTAAAACCCATATCACTCAAACTTTCCTCTTCCATGTTTTCGCTAATCACTTATCAAAGCTCCCCTCTTCCTCTCATTTTCCTTTGTTTAAAATGTGATATTGTTAGATTTTTAATAACAACTTTAGTATTTATTATTTCTGCATGTATTTATTTTCAAAGACATCTATATTTCTATTGTAGAACACAGTGCAATTTCTGCACACTGCACTTTTTAATATGTTCTCGAGAATGGTACCACCTCTTCCCTTCTTCTCCTACTATACAACTTAGCCTCTATTGTTAATATTGGACAGTTTCTTTTGACTGAAAATTACTTGAAATACAACTACTACTAATGTTAAAAGAGAAGAAAATAATTGATAGTTGAAATGACGAGTGCCCCAAATAATATAATTTACTTTGAACTGACAGAAAACTGGTTTTATGAATGATACTAATTAAAAAGTAGTGCCTATCTTTTACTCATATTGTACATGTTAAAATCTACAACCTTTGCTTTAAACAGCTCCCATTTGCTGCTGCGATGAAACTACTCTGCTAATGAGACCACGTATTTCTATTTTCAACAACATAATCAGGTGCACAGTTATGAATGTGTAATCACTATCTGTCATTTTTCCATTGATATAATTGATCATATTTTACATCTACGAAATGTGAATGACCAAATGCGTGAAAGGAAACATAATATAATAATTATATTGTTTTATTTCATATTAAATTGTGCAATAAATGTATAAATATCCCTAAAACTTAAGTGAAATGACGGGCGAAGTTGTTGATTTTGAAGCAAGCCAAAGGTCAGCCAGCCTTGAGAGCAATTTCAAAGTCAACACGTACTTCACTTTAAACATAACTCTCGGAATAAAAAAATTATTCCGTAACATCTAATGACAAAGTGTTTATGCTCCAGCCTCTGTTAGGTGGTTGTGGGTTAAATTCTGTTATCCATGAATGTTGAATTAGTAAATCTAAAAAGCATCTTATGAATAAATGTGAGAAAGAATGACAATGTCAATATGTTTTAGCCCTGTAATCCTTGACCCTGACTAATTAACTTTTGATTTTATGCATACTGTTTTTCTTTATTTTGTCTCTGTCACTTCTGAACAAACCTGTCAACAAGTCAAACACTGAATGTAAACTGTATTTTCTATATTACGTTTACAAATTTTTAAATGTTACACTGGTTCAAAATTGATTGTACTTTGTTATTAATATCAGGGAGTCATAAATAGCTCATAAATGGCCCACTTAGGCTTATCTTGTACAGATAAGATTGTAGAGGTTACTTACCAATCACACTTCACTCGTTTCAATATCAATACACCTATATTCACTTATCATTTTCTATGCTACCCCTCTCAAAGTTTTGTGCTTCCATGAGTAATCTTTTTGGCACTGTCAGATTGTAACATTTTGCTGTTTTTGTTTATTTGAAATTATTTTGCATTGTATATAAACATGATTGCTGTGACATGTGTATTATAAAGGGACCCATTTGCAGATAAGGTGAAAATGGGCTGTAGTTGTGTCTCTGAGTGTTGAGGTTTTGCGTCAGATGTTTGTGTACACTGGACACATTGTCATATAATAAATAAACATGAAATTTATTCAGCCGTGGGGGATCTTACTTGAGCACACACTCATTTTAAGGAAACTGTAGAAGAGTATTTCTGTGTTTAGTTTAAGTTTTGTGCAATAGAAAGTTTATTGGATAAATAATAAACAACATAAGCTATAGTAAATGTAAAAACATACTCATCATTAGTCATAAGAGATTGAGTATGTTGCACAGTGTAGTGGACAAAAGCAGAAAGGCCTAATGTTTGATTGGATTAGATCGTAAAACAATACTCATTTTAACTTTATATTTACATTTTAAAGATAAAAATGTATGTATTAATTAATTGGAAGATACATTTATTTAATACCATGCTGTGAAACATTACAGGCAATGCAATAACATCTCCATGGAGATGAACAGGTGGCTTAGCCCACACCAGGAAAGTTGCATAGTGCACCTTTATGGTTTTCAATTTGAGAATGCCAACTGTGTTGCCAGTTGTGTGGATGAGTCAGCCCGAATGTTATATTAAGCATAGCCTACTTCATATTTATTGATCTTTTTTATATAATTGTTTTTAAACTAGCTTGACCAGATATTCAAAATCAAAAACTGGGACATTCCTGGTTTGGGATGGTTGGTAATAATAAAATTGTGTAACGCGTGCGTAAATAAGGAAAATTGTTACGCACTCGGCAATAATGTGAGTCAGCATAGTCACATCTTCTTTGTGTTTTTGTCATTTTTAAGCAGCTTTTCTGTATTTTACCTAAACAAATGACAATTTATCAGATTGGTCAAAAATAGGGACGGACTGTCCCGGGTAAGTAGGGACGCCTGGTCACCCCGTTTTAATCCCAATTTAGTCTGTAGTGTGTTTTACTGAAGAATAATCTAAACAAACCTGGAGATCTTTCTGTATTATCTGGCAACACAGGCAGATCCACCGGCCCCGGCACGTGGACCCCGGAAGCAGCGTGTGGTGGTTGTAAACCTCGGGCATAAGCCTGTGAAGCAACAGCAGCCAATGATTGACACTGAAAGACAGTAATAAAGTTTAAAGGACTGCTGCTACTGTCACCGTGCATCGCTTCTCAAGGTCAGAAAGACCTTCATGTAGCATGTAGCCCATAGCAGCGGAAGAGTTTGGAGAAGAGCTGACAGCTAGTGTTAGCTAAACAAACTCTACAGGACAGACAGCTTTTTGCTAACGCTGTGTTTATGTTTACTGTGTTTGTTTGATTAATCCGCAAAATCCAAATGGTTATCACCTCGATCAAGACTATCAGTCCATAATCTTCTGATTATCTAATCACTGGTTACGGTGCGGTTATTACGACCAAACTAAACTCAAAACGAGTGAATTCAAATCATGATTTCAGTCTGATTGCAGTGATGAGCTTTTTGATTCTTATGGACAGAGTTCTCATTTAATAAATAAATTAAACAAACGTTACCCCCCTTTAAGTTAATTTACTTTAGTAATATTACAGACGTACTAACACTGAATCAGTAATTGAATGTCGTTGTACAAATTATAACTACTCTGTTATATGTTAACAGCAGAGACCAACTTCCCAGAAAACATGAGTCAAAATAGGTAACTAATTAACTAACCCACGATAAATGTAATACAGCACATTTATCAAAAATGTCATGTTGTTTGTGGTTTAGGATATACATGGACTACAATGCCACTACCCCGCTGGATCCACAGGTGATCCAGGCCATCACTGAGGCTCTTCATGACGCCTGGGGAAACCCAAGCAGCACGTACGCTGCAGGTGGGAGACGCCAAAGAAAACTCAAATATATATTCATGCAAACTTTTGAGTTTATCTTTATCTTTATGACCAGGTGTCAAAGCCAAAGCCATTATCAATGAGTCCAGAGAAAATGTGGCGAGGATGGTTGGAGGAAAAGCAGAGGACATCATATTTACTTCAGGTGGAACTGAGGTAATAAGCTCAAATGATTAATACAGTTCCCAAAACATTTAATCATGGCTGTAGGATCTTTAAAAAAAGATCTAAATAAGAAAAGAAAAAGACAGTATAATGTGCAGATTATGCTATATCACTTATGTTTTATTTTTGAATTTTAGGCCAATAACATGGTCATCCATTCTGCAGTAGTACTTCAAAAGGAGCTGTGATGCTGCTGAACAAAATACAGACAATTGCAATGGATGCCGGGGCCTCCCACACATTGTCACCTCAAATGTGGAGCATGACTCAGTGAAACTAGTGCTGGAGCATCTGCAGAGGGAGGGCAAGGCAGGTTTGTATAAAAATGCAGTTTCTTTCATCAATAATGTATTAGCCTTACGTAATGCTTTACAATTGTTTGTGTTATTAATCACATAACTTTATTTTTAATTAATTATTTAGTTTTACAATTTTCATTTCAGTTGGGATGGGATGAGATCTCACAAAATTAAATTGCCACAAGAGTGCAAGTGTGTGCACAAATGAAAAATGACACACCATGCGTGTTAGAGCAGGAACAGTGGGGGAGAGAGAGGAGAGGAGCTGGAGTGACAGAGCAGCAGATACAGTTTTGTCTAATTATTTGAATAATAAAAAACAAGTGTAATAGACATATTGTGTATTTAGTATATTGTAATAATCAATAGTGATGCATGTGTGGGTTTATACTGCAGAACTGGTGTTTTAAACATAAAGGTAGTTTAATGCATCAGGTAATTAAAACGTATCATGTGACCAGTTGTGAACTGATTTTAAAATACTTCAAAATCTCATCTCGTCTTGATCTCATGGACCTTATTTCTTGTCTTGTCCCACCCCTAGACTTTAGTCATTTAGACCTGCTTAAAAGTTGGGGCTTGTCCTGTTTTACACCCAGTATACTGGTAATTAAATTCAGGTGTTCAAATTCAATGTTTATTAGTCCACTGCTGTGGTACCAATTACCAATTAGACCACTACATGAAGGCATACCTTACTGAAATAGGTTTATGTAATCTAGTGTCGTGTTGTTGTTTTTTTTCCATAGATGTTACCTTTGTTCCGGTGTCTAAAGTAACAGGGCGTGTGGAGGTGGTAAATGTCCTCAGCGCACTGCGTCCCAACACCTGTCTGGTTTCCATTATGTTAGCCAACAATGAGACGGGGGTCATCATGGTGAGAGGAGATAATGACTTGTAAAGCTCTTTTATGTTCACGCTCAGTCAGTTCCTCTCTAACTGAAACCTTAGTGCGCATCATGTGTTAGATTTTTCCTAAACATGTCCCTGGGGCTCTAGATGTTGTAGTAAATATTTTCTGTTCTGTGATTTTATAGGGAAACCTCACTAAGTTGGTATTTTAAGACATTTATAGGTCAAGGTTGAAGAAGATTTGTTCATCTGGACAAGATGTTTTAGTTCCATTTATGTCACCTCTTTATTGCAAAATTATTTTACAAAACTTAAATGAAAGTCTAACGTGTAACATAGCTCCAGACAGTGCCTCCAATTGTTGATGGTCTAAATTGGTATAAATCACAATAAATACAATTACATTCATGCAAAATCTGATATTTCAAATACACTATATTTATTTTTATCTAATCCTTCTGAGCATAATGTCAGCAGTACTACTGACTGCACGTTAAAATGTTTAAACGTCACTTTTCTGACTGCTTTCCATGAAGATGTTGTTGCTTTTCCTATAATATTCAGTACAGTGTGGCACTGAACTTGTCTATCGCCATGGAGACAAGCAGGTGACTCCAGGTCAGATCTGTGGAGAGGTGAGCCTGTTCACACTAAGAATGTGTGTTTTAGAAGTAATAAAAACAGGTGTAATGAAATAAACGCCTGATGGATAAATAATGCCACACTGAGGAATATTCCAGGTAAAGCAGTGACATCTCCATGGAGACAGGCAGCTGGCAGACCCCCCATCAGAATAGTTACGTACTATTAAATGTCAACTTCATTACCCCATTGCCATTTGGTATTTATAACAGCTTGTTTTCTCGACAGCCCATCAAAGAAATCTTTCAGACAATCAGAGCAAAGATTAATCAGCCTCCACAGCGGCGGATCCTGCTGCACACAGACGCCGCTCAGGGTTTGGGCAAAATCAAAGTGGAAGCTCAGTCACTTGGAGTGGATTATCTCACTATCGTCGGACACAAGGTTAACAGTTTGTTTTGTAAAATGTGTGAATTATACGATAATACTGCATTTAAAGCTATTGAAAACACATATTACGAGAATTGACCTCATAATATTTACATTACACATAGTCTTGATTAATTTTACATTTTATATATGATACTGATGAAATCTTGAGAATACATATAGATTTATTTTTTTTATTATAATTATTATAAATTACTATTAAATAATATAAATAAAATTGTGTATGTACAATGTATACTCTTGTAGACTTTAAATATTTGGTTGAATTTGCAGTTTTATGCTCCTCGGATCGGAGCCCTGTATGTGAATACTGCAGATAAAGCACCTTTATATCCAATGCTCTTTGGAGGAGGACAGGAGAGAAACTTCAGACCTGGGTAAAAAAAATGTGCTTTTACATAAAATACCTTTAGGATCATGTTATAAATCTAAAATCTAAATATGCTGATTTACTTTTGCAGGACAGAAAACACACCAATGATTGCAGGATTAGGAAAGGTAAATATTTTAAAATATCAGGATATTTGCATCAGTCATTAAATTAGTCTCTTGTCACACTTGCTCAGTTAAGTTCAATTGGCAGTCAAAATACACTTCTCCTCAGTGAACTATTTCTATATAATTTTGTCTAAAGATTTTACTGAGTGCCAACAATTGATTTAAAAAAAATAAAAGGTTTCCTGTTTTCATCCATATTTCACTATCTATTAAAAACTGTATTCTGTCCATAGGGGTTTACACAGTTGTCATAGCAATTAGCAATCCAAAACTAAATATTATGTCTTTTTAATGGTAAAGAGTAGTTAAAAGGGAACCAATAATCAGAAATCTCAAACCCATGGATGGGCCATCTCATGTAATCCCTGTAGTAAATGCCATCAGATATTTTTCCCTGACTGTGGAAAAGGTTGTTTCCCATCTGTTGGACACTGGAAACTAACATAATACTTTCACAACTTGTAGCAAACACGATTATTAATTTACAGTGTTTCTGTTAGGCTGCAGATCTAGTGACATCTAATTTGTCTGAGTACGAGAGTCATATGCGAACAGTCAAACTTTACTTGGAGGAACAACTTAAGGTATTTAGACAATGTTGTCAATATGTCTTTTTTGGCTGTTGGTCTGCCTATAATTTTATTCTAGTTATATGTAAATAACAAATGGACTTTTACTCCTCAGCTCGCCTTCAAGGAAAAACTCCATTTCAACAACCATTTTGACGACTCTGAGGTCCTTCCCAACACATGTAACGTGTCCATCCGGGGTCCACAATTACAAGGTGCTCCCTCTGTCTCCTGACTGTTCTGCCCCTCTGACCTGACCCATGTTCAGTAGTTAGTTCATGACCCACGCTGCTGGGTCATTTGTAAACATCACAAACTTTTAAATCATTCATTCCCCTCCACACAAAGAGGAGGAGGGGTCTGTGGTGACGTGTAAACTACTATTCAACAGTATAGTAATAATATAGACATAACAGTGTAAAATTCATGATTACTCTGAAATAGTAAGCATTTTATTACTTTCAGAAATTGTGTCATGATTTCTCATCTATTACAGAAAAAAAACAGTAGTAATAGACTCAACCACAACTTTTCAAATTGATATGTGTTTATTACACATATCATTACATCACATTCCATTAACACAACAAGTTTTTGCTAAATAAATGTGTAGCTTCATATGTACTGTATGGTACCTCACGTTACCTTAATGGTACCTCACGTTACCTAACAAGAGTCAATAAAATGTTTTTGTCAGAAAATATGCTCTTTCTGCTCTGCAGCAAAAGTTGTGCGGACTTGATCTGATCAGTTAGCTGTACAAGATGGATTCTTGTGAGTTAGAAAGTCCAAACTTCTCAACGATCCATCTTGCAGCACAAGGTTAGAAATCTATGCAAGATCACACACTAAGAGGATTGAATTGTTATTTATACCAAAACTTTTTTTTTTTAACCAAAGTTGAGTGTTTATGTTAGTTTAGTTCACAAAGTTACAGCATTTTAAAGTCAGTCTTGTCTATACTCCGCCTACTCTTAGGCTGGAAAATCCTGTCCAGGTGTGAACGTCTTTTGGCCAGCGTTGGTGCAGCTTGTCACTCAGACAGAGGAGACAGGTAAAATGTATTTTGTTTGACAATTAATGATGAAGAAAAAGTGTTTTATTTATTTATTTTTCCTCTATTCAGGCCATCCCATATCCTGCTGAACTGTGGTGTTCCAGAGAACGTGGCAGTGAATGCGTTGAGGATAAGCGTGGGAAGAGGAACAACACAAGAAGACGTGGATGCAGTAGTGGAGGATCTGAGGAAAGTGGTGGAACTCTTAGAACAAACGGACTAAAAATGTGAAAGTGTGGGGGGGTCAGTGTTATATAATATAAATATAGATTTTACTCACATAATTCGCACAATTTGGCACATCTGTATCACAGACAGAACTGGGTAATTCATCATATGAAAATTACAGTTAAATTATGCAAATGTTGGTCCAGGACACCTTAGTACTTTATCATTACTTTCTACATTTAATTACATCATGTAAATTCATAAAATATTTCTCAAGAATAATAAAAGGCCATGACTTTGGAGTGACCTGGAGGCTTTCATGAGGTTGTTTTTCCATTGGGTCATGTTTGTAATCAGCTAAATGCATTATGAAACCAGATCCAGACACACACTTTCCCTGATGAGCTGCAGACACTGGACTTCTCAAATATAAACCAGATGAGTGGTCACTCATGGTAGGGCACCGTTTAGTAAAATTACTAAAACTTTTGTCTCCTTGTAGCGCTGTGTGCCTCAACTCTCTCAGTGCTTAAGTTTCCCAGCTCCAGTGAAGCATGCACAGTGCTAGCAGATGGTTAGTGCCTCAAAGACTCAGCACACGTGTTTCATTACCTTCATTCTCTGTGGGCTTTCATTACTTGCTCCTCAACATCTATGGAAAACAATAAGTGTATTTCAAATGTACAAATGTTGTGGTAATTTTTTATTACTGCTATCAAGAGACTACCATGAGGGAGTCTTTCATGGTATTGTATGGTATCCTTAGATTTTGCTGTATGTTTTGTAAATATAATTATGGAAAAAAATAAATAAATAGATTGACACTTTATTTTTATAGCATCTAGTTGACTGTACAAGCCAGATAAAAATCACATCTTCACGAAACTGTCACCAAACATTTTTTAAAGAATATGCTTGGCAATGATAAAGACAATGTAAAAAAAAAAAAAAGTGCAAATATATTCTTGTTTTTATAGCTCGTTAAGGTGCATTTGACCCATTTTTCACCATGTGTGCCTCTACTCAGTGATCTTCTCCAGATCTTTAGCCAGCAAAACATTTTTTCACCAACTAAAAAGATTGACTTGGAAGTTCTCCAAACGAGCAGCATATGGTACCCGAACAGACCTGAAGTACTTCTCCTATCTCACTACCTTCACCCCCTCCTCTCCGCTCAGCAGGCCTGCCATCTGCCTCCCTCTCTGGTGTCGCTTTCCCTTTGGCCCTGGGTGAGTTTTTTATTATTGTATGAGATGGTCACGTCTTTGAAGCTTTCATGGAGCTTGTTTTGATGCATGCCATAGTTTGCTTGTAGTCTCCAGTTATGGTGCTACACAGAGCTATCCAGGCAGCCCGAAGTGGGGAACTTTCAACCTTGAAGGAACTTGCATCGTCTGGACATCTTTCCGCTGCCGTTGTAGATGCACAAGGAGCTGGGCCGGTCCACCACGCTGCAAGATGTGGACAGCTTGAGTGTGTTCAGTATCTTGTCAGGGAGTTTGGTCTTCAAGGAGATGCCCGGGCTTTAAATCTCGCCACGCCAGCTCATGATGCGGCCGCAACTGGACATGCAAGAGAGATACAGTGGCTAATAGAACAAGCAGGATGTAAGGTAGAGGTAAGGAGGGCACCTTTTCAGCTTAATTGCCTCAGGAAAAAGCTGCCTGCCACATGACCTTCGTTTCTTTATCCTTTGAGATTCGGTTTAGGCCCTGGCTTAAGGGTCATTTGAAGTGATGCCTCAGAGAAATTAAGTAGTAGAAGGCACTACACCCATTTTTTTTTACACGTGACTGGGTCAGTGCGTTACATAGAATTGCCCGTTGGCGACGTGTGTAGTTCTGTGTAATTATGTCCAGATGCTAAATGAGTTGTAGTTTCTCACCTCATTTTAATTTAAGTTTTCAGTTTCAGCATTTTTCTTAGATTTCCGTACTTACTTTAAATAAAAAGTGCTTAACATATTGAACTTACATGTATTGCACAATTTCAAATAATCATGTATAATACAGAATAACAGATTGTGATTTAGCCTCTTGCCTTTGTCCTTTCTAATATTTCTGCATTCACTATAGAAAACCTTTTTGATGATACTGCCATGTTAAATTAAAACTACCCTGTAACTTGACTTGTAAATGTATGTTTCATCCCATCTGTAGTTCTAATTTTGAATCTTTTTGCAGACCTAATTACTTATAGTACTTTCCAAAGTGATGCTTTTTCAGAAGTGGGTAGTACTCATATTTACTCAGTTACATTTATGTGAGAAACTAGTTTAAGAAATTGTACTTTTCAGAATACTTTTCTTGCAACATAATTTTACTTCTACTTCAGTAATGTTCAGTAAAGTTTGGGTTACTCTTCCCACTGTGAGTAATTCTACAAGTGACAAAAGCTTTATGAAGACAATATGAAGAGATTTGAACATACATGTTTCTTACATTGCTCCTTCAGACATGATTTAGTTTGTCAAATAGATTTTCTCTCTTACCAGATTTTGTGCATTATTTGGTAATCTTATATGAGTACCAAGTAATTGCACCTATCCACCTCTGCTTTTTTATTTTAATCTCTTATATCTAACCCCTTACAGGACAGAGATGCAGCAGGTGCGTCTGCCCTGCACTTGTCTGCTCGGTTTGGGTGTGTGGATGTGACCCAGTGGCTCCTGTCGGCAGGTGCAGCAGCTGAGGCAGAGACCCACTGTGGGGCTTTACCTGCTCACTACGCTGCAGCCAAGGGAGACCTGACCAGTTTAAAACTACTTATTCAAAAGGCACCCAGGTCAGTGTTTATTAATCACACCAACTATTTCACGCAACATGTCTTAAGTGGAGGAATAGAAAAGCAACAGGAGAAAAACATGCATAATTATTTATTAAACATTGGGTAAATACAATGTAAAACAACTATACACATCTTTACATTGCCAGGCACTTAATTTTACACGTTCAGTTTTTCATTTTGGTTTTGGCAAATACAGTACTTAATCCAGTACAATATAATACTTCTTATATTCCTGTTTGGTATTTGTAAACATTTTTCATATTTTACAATTAATTTATATTTAATTTAAGAATCATATGGAAGAATTCTTGAACTTGTCATTCTGGATTGCGTCTACTGCCACTTTTCACTTTACGCTTGGTTTGCAGTGAGGTCAGTGCATGGTGCCAGCTTGGAATGGCTGTAAACTCACATTTAATTACACTTTAGGCTTAGATCATACGAACGACAAGTGAAATCTAAAACCCTCACCAGGCTCTTTAAATGTGTTTTACAATTCTACATGATGCTTTAGATGTAGAGAGTAAAGTTGATGTTGGGGCATGTATTTCCTTTTGGCACATGTTTAGGTCAGTGAATCACATGTGACCATCAGCCCATACTGTAAATAATGTATAAACACAAGCCAGGTTGATCACATGGCAGCCTTTTTAGTCTCGACTATTGTACTACGTCAGGCACTATGTCAAGTTCACCACATCAACAGAGCATTTGAGGAAAGTGGCACACTGTACTTTTGACTCCTTACAAACCAGTATAAAATATTAACCTTATTTTCTACCAGTCATATTATAATGGCGGCTGGTTGTTTTTTGTGCCCCATATACTTTTTACAAGTTGTTCTGTTAGTTACATATGCTTATAGATTTTGTTATTTGTACTAGAGTATTACTTGAAGGTGAGACGCTTTAAAATGTTATGATTATTAAATTATAAAAGGTTTAAAAACTATTAACAGTGTGTGAGAATGGGCATGAGTAGGACTTAACCATACTATACAATCTCATATCTCATATTTATCAATCACAGTTCGTGTTTCTTTTTCTTTTTTATTAATTAAACTTTTTTTTTTCCCCCAGGACAGTGAATTATCAGACAGGGCTGGGTGCCACTCCCCTGTACTTGGCCTGTCAGGAGGGACACCAGCCTGTGGTTCAGTTCCTGGTGGAGGAGTGTGGAGCGGACGTGAACCTCAGGGCCTATGATGGGATGAGCTGCCTGCACGCTGCTGCTCACCTGGGGCACCATGACATCGTGTTGTGGCTGGTTAGTAGGGTCTCTCGTGGTGGTTTTCACATTTTAGATTGGGATGATTATGTTGCCCTGCTCTCAGGTGGGAGCATGGAAACAGGAAACAGGGTCAGGGTTGATGATGTGGTATTTTTAGACTGAAAAATCCACACATTTCATGCCATTAACTTGCTGTCTAAACACACTGCAAATTTAGTTAACAGTAATAATGTCATGGATCTGTATATAGTAGCTTTCATTTTCATTGCATTATTTTTTTGTTACCATATTTTCTTCATGCCCACATCTCACTTTAACACTATAGACCTATAGGATGTAATGTCATCTGAAACCCACCACAAGCTCCTGTTTCATGATTGTCTGTAGGTGACGTGCACCAATGTGGACCTCTGTGCTCAGGACAGAGAAGGTGCCACTGCCCTACATTTTGCTGCCAGCAGGGGGCACTATTGTATCTTGGAGAGACTGCTACACGTGGGCTCAAAGGTCATGAAAGATTACTGGGGAGGGACTCCACTGCACGATGCTGCAGAGAATGGAGAGCTTGAGGTAAACATTGTAATACTTTTAACCAGTACAAATAAGGATCTGGAAAACAAATATATTTTCGTTGTTTGGTAACATTTCTTGTGAATCCAGACCATGCAATAAGAAAAATCTATTACTGTGTTGTCAGTTGTTTTATTTTATGTGAATTTATTATGCTTTTTATGACCAGAATGCATGTATACAGTGGGTCAAACATAAAGGACAAAACAAAAACATGAATGATGCTTTTCTGATGAATGATGCAGAAACATGTTCCCTTTTTCTGACAGTGCTGTAAGCTGCTGCTGGCCCATAGAGCAGAGCCCACAGAGAAGGATGTAGATGGCTTCACGGCTGCAGACCTGGCAGAGTACAACGGGCACAGTGAATGTGCCAGATATCTGCGATCCATGGAGAGAAATGTAAGTGTCTGCACTGGTACACTGCTTTTTACTCAAGTCAAGTCAATTTTCACCAAGACAATATGTTTGTGAATCTTTGATGGGTTGGCTTGGTGTGTTTTATTGTGGAGAGACTAATCAAAATGTGTTCTTGACAAGTTCTTTACCATTCTGTAGAACGTATTTAATATTTAACTAAATGTTAATTAATTTCCTAATTACAGCCTTTTATTTCTTCTTAATCATATTTGTGCATGTTGATATGATACTGTGTTTAGTAGTCCATTACAGCTGATGAGGCCGGACGATTCTTCTCAGTTTCTTTTGAGGACTCTCAGCAATTGACTCTTTTGTTCCTTAAGCACGACATGTCTTAATGTGATCAATGAATATTTCAGTGTTATCCCCGTTTGTGCTGTTTGTGTCAGGGTCACAACAGGACACAGGGAAGACAAATAATCTACTGCTTTAATGGTTATAATGAGGCTATGAAGTTTCTAATGGAGATTGGTCATTTGTCTGCAAGACACTAATCATTCTGAAAAAGCAATTTGCATTTAGAATTCACTTTACTTAAACTATAGAGCTCCTGCACCACATGACTAAATCTGATAGGATCGCCATGTTGGCAGTGGTGAATTAGCCGTAATGAATGGCACAGAGTCGTTTTTTTTGTCTTTAAATTAAATTGCAGACAATGCTTTATCTTTATCTTTAAACTAATCAAATTAAACATTAGTGACCCTGGCATGGGTATGATTTTAAGTGTGTGAGTATTGGTCATATAGATTTAGCCTTAACTCTACAATATCTGGACAAATGATTTACTTTTCATCTTCTTATATCCTCAGAAAAGGTCCCTGGAGATGTTTGTGAAGAATATACTTTATTATAAAGCCATGTACTTATAACATTTACTGATACTGATAAAATAGCCAAAACACACAGTGCTCTAACTAATGTGTATATGTTGTAAGCTGCGCAGCAGGCTAAATCACTCATGTCAATGTAATAAACACACCAAAACCTTAAGTTTTTGAATCATTACGAGACCATGGTTGAATCATACATTTATAGTTTAAAGTATGGCTTGAAGAGCACCTAGCCCATTTAGCTGAAATCCACTACTGTCAATCTGAGGTTTTGGTAATCCAGTGAAAGGCTCAGTCATCCAGCTGTGCAACAGTAATCCACAATCTCTGAAACTTTGATCAAGATCCATGTACTTAAACTGTGCATGGGCATTTTATCTTTGATCTATCGATAAAATGATTACAGCCACAGACACAGCCACAAGTCATTTTAACCTTTAATGTTACACTATTTTTTTAATCTGTATTATATAACATACCTGGTGTTTTGTTTCATTCACATGTGTTTAACACACAAATCCTGCTTAATTTATCCTGTGTACTTCTCTCAAACTGAAAACACCTGGTTTCACTTTGTGATGTCATGTGGTAATACAAGAAGTGCTCCACTGTGTTTTTAAACTCCGTACACTTTCACTAGAGTCATTTGGATAATTTCAGCCCTGGCATTGCCCATCTCTACTAAATAATGTAAAAAGTAGCTGCTAACCTACCACTTCATGACATCACAAGGTGGAACAGAGCATTTTGAGCTTTGGAGATATAGACAGAGACTACATCTCCAAATTCAAATCAAAAGATTACTTAAACATGTGAGAATGAAAAAAACACAACTCTGGGTATGTTTTTGATGAAGTTTGATGAGGTAACATTTTAATATGGCTTAAAGCTCACGATAGTCAATTTTGCATAATGTAGGAATAAATGTACAACTGTTTTAGACTTGTCTCTTCTCAAAATATAGCATCTTAGCATTTACACATACTGTTGTTGTCCCTTTCAAGGGACCAGCTTGTGAATGGAAAGTCTATTGGGGACACTCTGTCAGCAGAGCTGTTGAAGCATTCCCATATGACACTTCAGTCATCACCTGTGGCAGCCCAGACCAATAGACATTAATATTCACTAAACTAATGAAAGGTGTCTGCCAGAAGCAAAGCATGAATAAGTTACAGAGGGATGTGCATTCACAAAGATATAATGATCGGAAGCTGCAAATATAATCAACCTTCGACAATGAGAGCTAATCAGTCACAGGTCCGGGTGCTCGCCAAAGCTACGGCCCTATCGGTTACCCCTCTCAGGTGGAAGTCCCGCGCCTGAGTTCGTTATGGGATCCACAAGCTTATGTTTCACAGTTTTCACCGTTTCGATGCCTGGAACTGGCAACCCAATACATGGAGGATTTGGAGAGCAGGATGTCAGTGCCTTCACTTTGATTGTGTGTCATGTTTTTTTTCCACTGAGAACTGGAAGTGCAATGATTGCCACTCATCGTAGACAGTTAGAGCAGCAGAGGGCGAGAAAACATGTTATGCAATAACCAGTAAGGTTTACTGTGGTGTGGTAATAAGGTAACACTTGAGAAATCAAGACTCTAGCTTCCTTTTCCACTTGTTCTTTTAACCAAGCCAAGTTGTCATTTAAGCTCCTATTGATGACTTTTTGGACAGTCTTTTCCAGTGCCTTATGTTACTGTGTACTCATGGGATATGCACATATGCAGTTGTTGATAGGAGTAAATAGACATAATGTTATTGGTGTTGTGTTCTGGTTTCCTCATAGCTAATTTTATCCATGTTTTTTACAAGTCAGTTTCTTTGCGTAATGCCTTGTGCCTGTGTTTTAGTACAACACATTGAGATTGAAGGCTAATGGCATCACATACTATTGTTGTGCTCTTCATCCTCTTGTATGAAAATAAATGGTCAAAACCACTAGTGGCAGAATATCATTCGCATATCCACTTGTCTGCCTCAGGGCGACTAAGGCTATAGAAGCTTACCTTCACAGAAAATCATTTTCACACACATAGCTTATTTCCCCAACAAAATACCCATTTCAAAGTTCCAACCCAATTGTTTTCACCCCAGCTAATCTTTTGCACCTTATTCTTTCAACACCATTTTAATTACATTTGTTTGACACTACTCTGCAGTACTCTCTTGATCACAAGTTTCCAGTGTCAGATTGACTCATCTCCGGACATTGACCTAAAAGCATTGTGCACTACTCTGACCCAAGTTTGTGTTTTTTGGCTCTTTTCCAAATCTCTCGATCTCTCACAAACAGGTCACTGGCTCACGCGCTCTTTGTGTATCTTGTATTTCCGAAAACAGCTGCAAACAAATCCACAGCATCCTGGTGTTCGATGTGCTTTTTGCTCTGGGCTGAGACAGGAGAGGACACTGTGCTATTTTTAGAAACACATGCATCAGTGTGTTACTGGGACACACGGACCATATTTCCTCTTTCTGACGCAAAACTAGAAAACATTTTATTTAATGAATCACTTTTGGGTTACAAGGCTTCAACAGACAACTAAACTAGTCAACAGATTTAATAATTGAATACTATTGGAGTGGCATTTGGTTTTCTTGATAGCATCTTTAGTGTTTGTCTAAAGGTTCATTCTTTCCATTCAATCATAAATATTGTTTTTGTAGATGTTTGTCCAATCTAATTTGTGTTACTCACAACAGTGCTTCCAAAAATGTGGACCAGTGCCCAAACGTGAGCCAGTTACCAATTATCCAATTCTCATGCCTTAGAATTTTGAGAATTTAGCTTATATTGGTGGTACAAAATACAGTATTATTGCGTGTTTGTATTTTTTTAAGTAAGAATAGAATTTGAGTTATAGAAAATCAAATAAAAATTGAGAAAATGTCCATTCAGTTTTCACCCAATATATAATCTTTCCTTCCCAGTTTCACCTTTTCAAACTCTTCAATTTAATGCATTTAACAATTGGATGTCCTCTTGCTCCAAATGGAAAATGGAACATGCCACAGTTGGATAAAATGTCTCTTTTCCAGGTGCTTTGACAAGTCTTCCGCTGATACCTCTCCTTCGTGCCTCGACATGGCAATTGGTTTGTTCATCCATGCATTAGTGACATTAGCGGGCCACCCAATCCCCCATACTAAATAATTCAGGGCATTCTCCTATCTGAGTTTATTGTTTATTGCGCAGCGGCCCTTAGACACAGGCGGAGATGAGCAGGATGGTGTCAAACGAGTGGTCGGCGATTGCGAGATAGTGTCGAGTTTTGCTGTACTGGTTGTCCCTTCTCTGGATACCTGGTTAGGTTTGAACTGGTCACTGGTTTGGATAGACGGAGCGGCCTGGGACTGTTGCAGTGAGTTTGAGCTGTTTTTAAAGTTGTGGTTGTGGTTATTACATTTGTATTTTTAGTAAATGGTGTAATTTCTTGCAGATCTCTTTTAAGCCCTGGTGATGCTTTGCCATCGTTAATTGTGTTGTATGCTAGGACATTTGCAGCTACATTAGCATGGCAGCATTATGTTCTGGTTTGGTTTGTGGTTTGTTATGGGAAATTGTCATACACTGTATACACTTAATAATGTAAATTAAATTTGAGTAACTCTTTGTGACACTTTCGGGAACTCGGGCTAGGTAATTATTGTTCTAAGTAAAAGTTTCCTGTAACATCGGCAGATGTTTTTGGGTAATTTGACCTATTTTTGATTGCTTTTTACAGTTAACAGTGACTAATTCTCCACCACATTCTCGACAATATGAGCTCTTGTTATTTTGTCAGTGAAGAAGTATTTACTAACTCTGTTTTATTGCAACAGCAACGTTGTTTTTGTCAGTTGGTGTGATGGTAACATATAAAAACATGTTATTTTGTAGGTTCCTAATTTAATGTTGGTGTTTATTTTACTATATATTTGTCTTCAGACTGTATGGATTTGTGATAATGTTCCAAAAAAAAGAATAATAATGTTATTTTTATTCCACAATTACTCAAAATGTCACTTTTACGTGCACAGCAAATCTGGTGAGGACCACAAATTTTATAAACCTTTACCTCTTGACTCATGAAGTCATTCTAAACTCTGCAGTGTACTGTTGGTAAGACTTGAGTAAATGCAACTACTTTACTTTAGGGTTTTAGTAAGACCTTGACCACCTAAAATAAATCAATCCCCCTAACTTCCCCTCTCCCATGTTTATGTTTTCTGGATTGCTCAACTTCTGTGAACTCCTCCCTGTGCCTCTCTTTTGTTGATCAGTGTCCCAGTATCTTAGCATCAGTTTGGCTTCAAAGTGCCGTGAGAGAAAACAGCGGGGGCTACCTCGTTGACACACAACTCTCTAGTGCAGAACAGCACTGCTTTAAACGATCTTTGAAGTTTGGATTTTACTAATAATGTCCTCTGAGGCCTAACTTTCATATGCATTTATTGTGGAAGGAGTTACAATAATGCAGGTTTTTACAGGGGATTTAAATTGTTCCATACGTATAACTTTCTCCTCCTGTGTGAAAACCAGCCAGCGTACACAGCTGCCTGCTTTTGTTTCGGAAGTGATCACATTGCTCTGGTTGCCACAGTAACATGTTCACTTCTGTTATGAATAGGTCTAAAATGGAACATATTTTTTTGTTTTATGCTTTATTTTATGGCATAAGTTGAGATAAAGATTTTTTAATTACTTCTGCTGACATGTTAACTACCTCAAAACATTTTCTTCACCTTAACTTGTCAGCTTGTTTTTAAACTTACTTAACCCAACCCTAATCTTTACCATTTCCCTAACCATAACCTAACCCTCCTAACTTAAAAAAATAACCCTGTTCAAACCAATCACAGCAGACCTTCCCTCTTGACCTTGATGAATTGTGTCACTGACTAGATATTGAATGTTACCTACTACTGTTAACATTGAAATAGCAGAGCATTCTTCTAACCTTTAAAATGCAGAGCTCAAGACAAGCTTTAACTGGTCCCACTTATTTTGTACATTTGATTTAATGTATGATTACGTAATTATTTCAGTATGCGTTTCTGTGGGACATTGAAAATCATAACATGACAGGAATATGGAAAACAGAATTACAGCAATTTGCATGTAACACAAATACAGTAATCTTTTGTTGATGTGTTTTTTCAGGTCTCGTGCGCTGATAAACCCACTGAGGTCAGTGCTCCATCGGAAGAGGAAGTGAAGTCCAAGCCAGTTTCGGTGCAGCGAAGCAAAGCGGACTACTACGGCTACCTCGGAAACACATGTGGCAACAATAACACCAACAACAAATCCATGGATAGTTTAAAGGTAACTTTTTAGAATGGTTTGGTTGAATTTTGGGTTTTTTTGCAAACAAATCAAAATTTAAGGATTTAATTTATTTATTTTCTACTGTGTGATGATTTTGCCTATTGTCTAACTGTTATAAACTACATCTCTGTCACTGTTGCAATATATAAATTTTTTTTTTTTACTTGGCCAACACTGCTTTTGTAAGTCATGTACCTTTACTTACCTCTTCCCCAAGTGGTTTATATCATTAGACAAATAACTAGGTGTCAATATAATACACTTATAATACACTTTTATTTTCATGGCTATTATTGGAATGTTGGACCCATTGCATCAATTCAAACTTTATTTATAACAATCTTTCACACATAGCCTATAACTGAAAGTGCTTTAAAAAGACAATTAAAATCATTCCCCCATGGCCGCACGTTCAACTCCTCCTCAGTCACATGTACCCACCCAAACTCTCTCAAACATACACACACTAAAATGATGCATATTAGGCTGAGTGCAGAAGAATCAGTTGAAGAAGTTGAGAATATTTGTAATTTATTCCAGCAACCTGAGAGTGAGGACTCTCCCCAGGCCAGGTATCCTATGTCCTCAGACAGTTCTGCTCAGTCTGGGGGCGTTGTTCTTGAGAAGGCCTTTTCCAACAAAATTGAGCAGATTCAAGTCTCCACAGCTGGTGAGTGAACTCCACTATAACTTTTACTAAACAGAAACAATAACTATATAGTTTGAAGGAAACATTTGTGTGCAGTGGTGGCCTTTAAAATGTGACCGGTTATGATTTGTGTTGCAGTTATTAAAGGTTTTAATCAGCCCAAAAGTGGTGGGAGTGAGAAGTCTGTTCTGGATGATAAGGGCCCTGATGCGTGCCTTCTGGGGGGAAACAAACTCCTTGGAAAGTCCATCACTTCCCTCAAGCAATCTGGGTTATCAGGAGCCTTCACTGGACAAGCTGTAAGTAAAAGAACTGTGCCACAAGATAAGCAAGCCTCAATGCATTTTAGAAGGGCTTTAAAACTGCCTCCCAGATATATTTCATGAATTTTATATTTCTTATGAATCGAAAAGATACGTTTGGAACATAGCGCAATGCAATTATTCAGTCATTCCGCTTTGATAACATATTTGTTCACTAAACTTACCTGTAGAATATAATACCAAAACAAAATAACAACTAAATGTAATTAATTAACTATACCATATCATTTATTCTGATCTAGAATAAAATGGTAGTCCTGCCCACCGAGGAAGCGAACCTGTCTGATATCGACTACCTGGTGCCCACCCATGATGAGAGGGGGCGTCCCATTGCGGAGTGGAAGAGACAAGTGATGGTTCGGCAGCTTCAGGCGAGACTGCTTGATGAGGAGGACCAGAGGAGGAAGGTAAGGTTCAAACACTTAAACTTGAGAAATGCTGTTTTCTTTTCAGTTTCTTTATCTAAATGTTATTAATCTGTCACAAATGTTAACATAAGTGTCCAAAATTACTATGTGAGTTGCTTATTACATTGAAATATCTTCTGGAAAGTACCCAATAAGCAAGAGCATATAGTAGGATCAGCCAAAATGCGAATAGGGAGGCAGATATTAGTAACTCAAGAAATATGTCCACCAGATGATAAGACCCCAATAAACACTGTTGTGCAGTGACTGAATGTAATAAACATACATATTGTAGCTTCGGCTTAGTTCTGTGGAAGTAGACTGACGGCCACCCAACAATAGTGAAGGGAAACAGCAGTGGAGCAATGTGGTTGGTAACCTTGTAACTTAAAACCAAAGAGACCTACAGGTATTAGTAAACCAAGTTCCTTTTTTTAATGCCAACTCTTTATATGTTTTATAAAAAAAACTGAAAAAATATAAATAGTTATAGGATTGATATTAAGTGTGTCAAGCTTATCTTTAATGCTGCTTGAATCATATTGTATTTGTTATTTATTTATTGGTGGTAAGCCAGGATTCTATTAGCCTGATTCATCAGCCAGTTTCACTTCATGGAAACTGTCTGACCTCGCAGCATTAGGATTTGTTCGCTCGACAGTAGGCTGGTACTTTTTTTATTTAACCAATCGCTGCTATTTGGTCATTACTTCTGTAATGCGCCAAATCCTCAATCCCGGAATAAATTCTCGATCCCAGGAATCGTTGCCAACACAGAATGTATGGCTTCATCTACATCCATCTTGACCGATTTGTTTACTGTTGTGCTGTACCACAAAATGGACCCACACAGGTGCTTGAGTTTGAGGTCATGGCTTCACAGCTCTTCACTGATTTGCCGATGCGCGGTCTACAACTTCCGGGGTTCTTGCAAATCGTCTAGTGTATTCCGATTCCTGACCTAGTTGCTGGAGAGAAATGAAATTGAGTGGAGGCACTAGGATTCTATGCCCTGTTGCTGAGATACTTTTTTCCATCAATTTTATGCTATTTTGTTTATATATTAATACCAAGTTACTCAAGATTTACAAGATTAGGTTATCCAAATATGCATTATTTAACTAATTTGCTTTATCATCTCACTATATCCTCTCCTTCAGGAAAACGGGAACAAATATGCCAAAGTGAGCTGGAGGTACTCTCAAGCCCACAATGCCATCCTGGGTCCCTCTGGTGAACTGCTGACTGAGGATGACCTTATTTATCTGGAACAACAAATTGCCAATGTCTCGATGCAAAGGAACTGTGCCGGCTATGAACTGGAGCTAGCCCGTCTGGCGGAAGAGCTACGTCACATTTTGCCTGCCCCTATCGTCAACATCACCGTCAACACTCAATTCAGAAACTTCCCCAGTCAAGTCCCCTTACCTGTGTGGTGCGGCCGCATTTCTGGCATTGTCCAAAGCATGTCCCTTCTTATGACCAATTTAACAGACCAGCCTTACTGCAAAATGCCCAATACTGAACTTACCACAGTCTTCTCCCAGACGCCAGATAGGCAAACCTTCACAAGGGGGCGACGAGAGAGCAGGGAGAGGGTTGAAGGTGAAATTCAACAATTTGGCGTCTCTGTGAGGAACCTAAAGTCAAATTTTGAGACGCAAACAAAAATTGACAAGGTGATAACAGAAAATACGGATCAACAGGAGCAACAAGAGCAGCAAGAGCAACATGAGCAACAGGAGCAACGGGAGCAACAGGAGCAACGGGAGCATCGGCCTTTAATAGGAACTGGCTCACTACTTCAAGCGTCTCAATTCAAAATGCTTCCAAAAGCTCTTAGTGCTTGTCCCGAAATGGACCAAAACAGTGACTCAGGCATTGACCAAGACGACAATCTCTCTGACGTGCAAGAAACAAATAGTCTGAGAAAGGAGCGTATTGTAGTGCTGTTCTTGGGGCACTGGAAGAAGTCGGCCTACACGATTACAGAGAAAAACAAGGATACAGAGGAGAGGAAGAACAGCGCAGGGAACTTGACCATCGATGATAAAACTTCTCTGAGTCGCAGGGGAAGCATGGAGAACACAAAGATGATGAACAGTTCACTCGGACACTTCTTCCAGCAGAGGAGAGCCGTCAACAAGATGCTCGGGAGCTGGAGGAACATGATCTCTAGCGTCCCCTCCAGGCAGATACGCAGGTGAGCCGTGGTCACAGAGGTTGTCATATAAAAAATGTCTCTAATCAGGCTTTTGTGTGTGAAATATATTGATAATTTGCCCATCAGAGATAAATACGTTTTGATTCATTGATGAGTCTACAAAAAATAAACACTTCAAATGCTGATTAATATAAGTTTAAAAGAAAGAGAAAGGTGGTTGGCAGGCAAAGAAAAAGATGAGCTTATAATGAATTAATCAGAATTCTTTCTATTGTGGTTTGTATTGATAACATAATTTCAGTCTTTTATAATGACACAATAAAAAATATTGTATTGTGTTGCCAACATTAATTTAGTAAATAACATTGAAACTTCCATATTTTGATTGTCTTCCATAGACTTCACAAGCAGCAGGCCCTGTACTCTCCAGAACAGTTCTTGCCCCGAGTGGACGGCGTTCCTGTGGAGTACGACAAACTGACCCTTGACCTCTTCATGCTGGGATACTTCCACATCCTGGAGCTGGAGCTACCTGTGGACGAGCGCAAAATGAGGCACCTTCTCTGCTTCGAAGTGTTTGATCATGTGGGCAGTTTTCCCTGGGAGACTGTCCGGGACTTCCACAAGGCTGTCATTCAGGAGATAGAGGCCGGGAACAGGGAATGGAAAGACGGATTTGAGGACATTAAAGTCAAGTTCTTTGGAAACACAGTGAGTCCATCTGAAAACAACACAGAGGTGGTCAAACATACTCTTCCAGAAGTTAGACAGGTACCAAAAGTCATTGTCCAAACTCCAACACCAGACGAATCAATGCTCTATAGAGGGACTGACATCTCCAGTTTCAGCAATGAGGAGATTTGTAAATACATTGACCGCAGTTTTGCTTTTTGGAAAGAGAGAGAGGCAGAGATTTTTGATTTTGAGTAGATTTCTTTTTGATATTCTTGCTGAACAACTTAAGGGCTGGGCATCAAACAAGTCATTTATGTATTTATGAAAGTTGACAATGAATGTTTGGCCAAAATCTGGCTTTGTTTACTTGTTTATAATTCCAGAACTTTGTTATGATTTTTGAGGATTTTTTCACAAAGAATTGCATTTAACTGTGATGGAACTCAGGTTTACATTGGCACTAATATTGAGTACTTCCAAAATTCCCAGCCCTTTTTCTAACGCCAGAGTGTATTTGATTATAAATGAGTGTATGTGTGCTGTTCTGTTCATTATTATGTTTGAGTACATTAATGACACCTGTACTTCCCAAAACAAGATCAAGTTTCAAAATAAACTTTGCACTTATATGGCATGTTCTGACCTCTTAGCATTTATTTATTTATTTATTTTACTCGTTGAACAGCTAGAGCTAATTGTGCATTTACTTTGATAAAATCTAAATGTTTTTAGAATGATTATTTATTTTTATTGTTATTGTTTGTTTATTTCTTTTACCTCAAATACAATCTTAAATTAGTCTGGCATGGACCTGGCCACCCCTTGAGGCTTGACAATTATAAACATGACCTTCTACAATGTTATGCGTTATACTGTACGTTAATTTTTTGTTAACACATAGTCCAAGGATGTTAAACAGTGAGTGGCTTATCGTTTAAATTGATTAATGTATTTAAAGTACATTTGCGTGAGCAGTCCCATTACTATGTGAAGCATGTGCCTGTAACAGCAGCTGCGGCCTCCATGGTGGTTGTTTGGAGCCAAGCCTCAGCTCAGCGTCACACTCAGGGCTAAAAATACCAGAGTGAGCAACAGCGGGACGTCCCAGTGACTTGGCAGGAGTTGGTTCGCCATGCTGCCCCATTCTCCCCAGTCTCCCCAGTCTGTCTGATCAGCTGCTACAATATACACTGTGGAAGCAACAATGAAGAGTTTTCTCATTTATCTCTGTTAGTGGTGAGTGTTTTGAGCTATTATTTTATTACATGTTTATATTTGTTTGGATTGTTTGTGTGGGGTTGAGCAGAATGGGTAAGTGTACATAAGTAGAGTTGTTCTTTCACTGACCACGAGTGACCTAAAAAACATAACTAATGTAGAGTGATTTTAATAAAAACAACATAATACACAAATTACTTTTTAGTTTAATATAAGAGAGGAGCAACTGATTTCAATATCATATTCTAATGTAACGATTATTCAATTCAATTCAAGTTTATTTATTTAGTACATTTAAAGCAACTTCAGCTGACGAAAGTTCTTCACATACAAGTCAACAAAAACAGAAGAAGCAGTTACATATACAGATAACATGTGAAAACAACTATAAAACACCAAGATAGCCTGACTAGCTAGTACTAAATGCCAGGGAAAAGAGGTGAGTTTTTAGTCTAGTCTTAAACTGCATTACTGACTGAGAGGATTACACCATAGAACACAAATAAGGCTTGCTGTAATTGAGTTAGAAAGCTCTCATAAACTAGTAGTTAATAGTAGCCACATTTTTTCATATCTCAGACTTACTGACAAAATATTTACATAACAGTGTAAATATATAAAGTTATTTTCTGTGATTCCGACATTGAAGATAGAAGGTTGTGGGTTCGATCCCCGGGTCACTCAGGCCTTTCTGTGTGGAGTTTGTATATTTCTCCCTGTATCTAGTTGGGTTTCCTTTGGGCACTCCGGTTTCCTCCATCAACCTAAAACATGTTACATAGGTCTCCAGGAAAAACAACTGATAGCTAAGGTCAATTAAATACAATCAGTCAATTAACCTGAGCAGGGACTACTAGTACAATGCATCTCTCCTGTTAAGGTTAATGTATACTGTGCAATTTCCCTGTCTCATTAAATAAATAAACTAAACTAAGACCTACAACTGAATATATAGACTGAATCTTGCTTGCTTATATCATAAAAATGTCTTCTTTTTTGCAGATTAACTTCCCTTTGTCTGTCCTTGCTAAACTTCTACAATGGTGCGCAATGTGGATGACCTGGACTTCTGTCTCTCCTCTCATCCCCAGAGCATTTTGGAGGGCCTACGCTCCCTCTGCTCTCACCCCAAACTCATCGACGTCACTCTGGTCGCAGGTGGCCGGGACTTCCCCTGTCACCGGGGGGTCCTGGCTCTGTGCAGCACCTACTTTCGCTGCATGTTTTCTGGGGACTTTGTCGAAAGCATTGCCGCCCGAGTGGAGCTCCATGATGTAGACCCAGACATCCTCAGCCATCTTCTTGATTTTGCCTATTCTGGGAAACTCACCATTAACCAAAGTAATGTCGAAGGGTTAATTTGTACATCCAGCCAGTTACAGTTTCAGACAGTGAGAGCGGTGTGTAGCAGATACTTACAACACCAAATCGATGCAACCAATTGTCTTGGTATTTTAGAGTTTGGTGAGATCCACGGTTGTCCTGAAGTAGTAGCCAAAGCGTGGGCGTTCCTGTTGGAGAATTTTGAAGCAGTGCAACACGGTGAAGAGTTCCTCACATTAGCGAAAGACAAGCTCACCAAATGCTTTTCAAATGACGGACTGCAAACACGGTCAGAGTGCACCCGCGTGGAGGCCATCTTGAAATGGGTGGGACATTGCAGAGAGTCTAGGCTTTGTCATCTTCATGAACTGCTAACCCTGTGCAGGCTCTCCCTACTTAGTGTGGACTATCTAAATGACAAGCTGCTGAAGGACAGTTTGGTGCAGGCCTCTACCATCTGCAGAGAAGCTGTGGAAAGTATTCTCAGAGAGGTCAGTGAGTGCAAACTTTAGCCTTTTCCTAACCCGGGACACATTTCTCTTTCTAGCCTAGTTTTGATCATTGTGGTGAAATAGAGGTCAGACCCTAAGTATGATGGATAAAGGGTTCAAAAAAGGTCCCTGGACATGGTTATATGGATGACTGAGAACCACAAACATTTATTGTCTGCTTTTCAGTGGCTTTTAGCACAGTGACTTTATGTGCTCTCTCCAGTTAATCCAAACATATTTTAGATGAGTATTGTTCTCCAACCTTTCATTGACGTTAGCCACACATAGTCATTCAGCTGTCATCTAATCTGTCTACATAATTCGGCAGCTTCTGTTTTGGCCATTGAAAATACTACACATTGTGTAACTCAAATACAACACTACATAGCCAGTAGCCTTGTTTATACTTTGAGTAAACCCGAGGATTCTCATTAATTATTGCCATAGTATTTATCTCTTATATGTAAACACTTTTAACATTAAAGATAATAACAAATCACACACAAAAGCCATAGCTCTTGCACTGCCTGTATTTCTTAAATCTGAAAATTATTTATCCCATTTCCTTCCAAAACAGAAAATGAGCCTGGCTCCAGAGTTCATGGATAGGGCCAGTTCTCGCAGTCCTCACCAGAACCTTCAGGAGGTGCTGTTCGTGATGGGAGGCCGCGCGCTGGACGACTCTGATGATGAAGAAGACTCGGACGAAGAAGACCGTGACCCGAGACTTGAGCGACTTCCACCAAAAAACTGTGCCTTTTACGACACAAAAACAAGTAACATTGCAATACTGTAATACTTTCCAAAGCTATTGGGCAGGTGGGAATCACTGTTAGCCAGTAGCGTGGGTTTAACACTCAATAAAGGACAATTCTCAGTTATATTGTGGATCAAATCTGTTTGATCTATGAGTACTATGAAATGTGGAACTCAGATATTAAATCAATTATATGGCTGACTGGAAATCGCACTCATCCCAAAATTACTGGATGGTTTGATTTTGTCTTCCAGTCTGGGCACCATTTTCTAGATCAGCTATTGCAACGCAGGGTCAGTGCCTTGGCAGGGGTCTGTCTTTACAGATGGCTCCAAGTTAACATTTCCTTTTTGTTGTTGTAAAGCCTTAGAAACCAGCCTAACACATTTGCACAAAACCGTACATGTGGGCTATATCTTACATTACATATTTGTTGAGCAATATTCCTGTGATTCCCTAAAACAGATTGTGGGTGTTTTTGGATGTTGTGTCGACCATTAAATGCAGCGTTGACAGAAAAACAGCTTTTTGAGGAATGTGGTCTGGATGTGACAAAACTGGACCATCTTCTCCCATCTTAAATGAGCATTTTATTGCACAGAGCTGGAAGAAGCCATCCATGTCCACAGTTTTATTATGGAACGAATTGTTGTAACTTACTCAAAGATTCTGTGGGGTTTTTATGTCAGCGCTTAACATGCTTGGCTGCAGTGTTGAGAAGTTCTGCCACATTGCTTTGCTGTTTTAGGCCAGTCATCTTTACCAACACTATATTTTCTTCTTTCTTTCCTGACAGAGCAGTGGCACCAGCTTCCCAATTTTCCCAATCCAAACAAGTGGGGCTACTCCATGGTCTCTTTAAACAATGACGTTTATGTTACCGGTGAGTTTAAACTGTTTTGTGTGAACCCTTCTCTTCACTTGCATCAACTAACTTAAAGGTGAACTATGTAACTTTTCTGGTGCATGGTCCACCACCTCCCTGTCTCTATGGAGCAGTTATGGCAATTTTTGCAATCGTCACCTGCTTGTGTCCTTGGATATACATTTAATTTTGAGTTTAATGCCACAATCTTCATGGAGACAAGCAGTTGGCATACACACTACTAGAAGAGTTACTAAGAGTGCACCTTTAACATTCATTTTATCTTAGGAAAACAGAATTTCAAAATCAAAAACAGAGACACTCTCGATTTTGGGTGGTTGGCAATAATAAAATTGTGAAACGAGTGCCGTAATTAAGGAGAATTGTTCTGCACTTGACTCATTTATGACTAACATGAGTCAATATAGTCACTTTTTCTTTCTGTTTTGGTCATTTTTAAGCAGATTTTCTGTATTTTGCCTCAACAAATGTCAATTTATGCCTCTCTTTACTGTCAGCAAGTTTTAAATTGGTCCAAAATAAGGAAACCTGGGACATTTCTTGTATAAAACTGGGACAAATTAGTGGTTTTGGATAAATCTGCTGGGACAGGGAACACAGGACTCAAAACTGAGCCTGTCCCGGGAAAATAGGAACGTCTGGTCACCTTATTTTAGCTCCTTTTTGGTCTAAATTCATCTTAATTCTACTCATACAGTATACACTATTTTCCAACATGCTCAATCCATTTTAATCTGACCTTCCTGATCTTATTACTGTAACATATATTCTACTCTGTACACTATTCCATTCACTTCAAACAAGTGTGGACAGACGAGCAAAAACTGTATTTTGTTTCTCTTTTAGGGGGCTCAAGAGGTTCAAATACCAACACCTGGTCGACCACAGAGACCTGGAAGTACATCACAAGAGAAGCAAAGTGGGTTACTGTGGCACCAATGCTCCGGCCTCGAACCAACCATACCTCAGCAACACTCAATGGAGAGATCTATGTCATTGGAGGTTAGAAGAGCTTCAAAATAAATTAAATGAATAAATACATTTAGTGAACTACTTGATCACTTCCACCATGTCAAGATGCTTCATTCTCACGTTTTGCCAGTAAAATGAATATATCTCCCATTTATTCAGTTATTCACATGTGTGTTTTTATTGCTCAAAAACCACAGATCTGACCAGTAATTTGGCCTCTCCTGCTTGTTTTCTTGGAGATAGATTAGTTTAATTCCATTCTTTGAAAAACTTCAGTCAAAGTATTAACATCTTCATGGAGACACCAGCTTTTCCACCAGAAAAGCTACATGATGCACTTTAAAGAAATGTATTTTTGCAATGTATGTTTAATAGATTTTTTTGTGTTATCATTGCAGGAACAACCTTAGATCGTGTTGAAGTGGAACATTACGACCCATACACCGACTCCTGGGCACTGACTTGTCCAGCGTTGAAATATGTCACTAATTTCACTGCCACAGCTTGTCAAGGGAAGCTCTATGTGATCGGCTCATGTGCAGTCAAGTACAATGCTCTGACTATGCAGTGCTACAACCCCGTCATAGGTAAGAATGCATCTCATTACAGCAACTTAAATGGAACATAAGAAAGCGCCAACTTAAAGGGGATTTAAGGGATTACACTGGACCACTACAGGCTGATCTCGACATAAATTAAAGTATATTTAAAGATGACCTCATGACATTTAAAATACAGTTTTAATTGACATAACATGGTAAATGGTGTTTTTAACATTCCAAGTTACACAGACAGTAAAGAACCTGGTTTTGAACCTCAACTGTGCCTGTGTCTCTGAGTAAATATTAGTATTTGGCTATTTGGAATTGTGGTATTTTGTTATTATTATCAAGAACGTTTATTTATCAGGGTTGATTTGGAGTATTACTAGTATTTTAAGGTTGAGCTTACTTACTGATTTGGAATAAATGAAATGCTTCTATTTATACTACTACTTAAAAATGTGCTATTCATTATTCATTTAAAGTCTTTATTTATCAATAAGCTGTTAAATATGTTACACAGCAGCAGGGTTGTCTTGTATAAGAGTATAAGTTACAGTCAAGATTGTTTTGCAGTCATAATTCACATTAAAAATATGAAACAAAACAAAATAAATAAATGCAATGAACTGTGTTTTAATAATAATGTTGTCCTTACAGATAGTTGGATCAATGTATGTTCTCCCTTCATCCCAAAGTACCTCTCATCTCCTCGCTCTGTGTGTATGGATGGAGTTATTTATCTGGTCGCTGACAACACCAAGAAAGTCTACTCCTACGACCCTGAAGAAAACATCTGGCAGAAGGTGAGAAATGCTCTTTAAAATGTCCACACACACACACACAAGCACAAAAATCCCTAAATATCTGCAAAAGTAAATCTGAGGTTTATTTGTTTTACAGTGATCTTATAAACAATTCCCTAACATTTAAATGAAAAAAAAAACAACAACAAATGACTGCATTTGGAGATTGCATGTGCTCCTTTGGTGAGTTTCTGCTAGTATTCCTATTTCCAGCCATCCACCTGAACATCTAAGATTGGCTATTCCCAAACTTTTCAGGCAAGGACCCCCAACAACTGACCTCAATCTCTCAAACTGCAAAATAGAAATGTTATCTTTAATCATTTCAAGTTGCAAAACATTTTAAATCAGGTTTAATTGTATTTATTTGAGTAGATCTAATTTCACAAAAATGTCCAAGTGATTTTGCGACCCCCAGCTTGGTACCTCACGACCCCCACTTTGGGAACCACTGGGCTATAAAATCCTGACCAAGATTCTGGCTCAGGGTCAGGAGAATGGGTTTCAAATGATGATCTAATGTGGTCCCCCGCTTCTGCTGATAGTTTCAAGTTTGAAGAATAGGTCAGATGAGTAAAAATTCTTGAACCTGTCTGTTGTACTTTCTTCCTTGTGTACAGGTCCAACTCCTCCAAATGCTCCACGAGAACGGTGGAATGGTGGCACTGGATGGTAAACTCTATGTAACAGGGGGGCATTGGAAGGGCATGGAAGGAGACTATGGGGTGGAAGTAGAGGTGTACAGCCGAACCTCAAACTCCTGGGACATAGAGTGCACCCTCCCCCGAATGTGGTTCTACACTGGACTCAGCACCATCTTCTTAGACCCTTCCCTATGGCCTGATACCTTCCCTGTAGAAGGAACATAGTGTCTTCTTCATTCAGATTGAATTTAGAACGAGTTTAATATTACCTTTGAGTAATGCAAAAGGTATGTTTATCCCTGGATTTCACTGTGTCCAAGAATAGCGTCACATGATCCTTGGGTATTCCTGATTGTGTGGGAGAGAAATTAATTTAGCAGCTCGGTGTGTCTTTGTTTATACTTTGTACAACCATGTTTTTTTTAGATGGAATCAATTATGTACTCAAACTGTGAAATAGTAAATGTTTGTGGAAATTCTTGTAGACTGAGTTGATGTTCTACTCTGCTATTTTGTTTGTTTGTTTGTTTTGTAAAAGGAAATACTTTCTGGAAGGGAAAAGATCTCAAACTGCTCTTAGGCCTACAGTGTTGCTTTCATTTGTGAAAATTAAGTTAGTACATTTATTTTTGATAGGATTTGTCCAGATTTATTTCTTTTACCATAGACCAACTGTGAAATTGTGAGACTGTGACACCCCAAATGACAACTAATAAATTTGCTAGGTCACTGTCTTTTTATTATTATTATTATTTTTATTAATGGATTTGTACAAGCCATTACATTGGAAGCACACATTGTTGAGAAAAATAGAGCACTTTTTGTACAAACACAGGAGTTAACAAATACACAAAAGAACCAAAAAAAGTGAAAACAATTTTTTTTAAAACCCTTGTCTCCTCTCCTTACTTCCTTTCTGTTAGACAACTAATTCACACAAAATCGGGTCTCAAAACAGTTATATATTGGATCCACTTCTGCCAAAACACATGAAATTTTTCCTTTTGAAGTCTCAGTGACTTTGTAAGTCTTTCCATCTGAAATATTTCATAAACAGTATTGTACAACTCTTCCATTACTGGCACCTCAGTTTGAAGCTATTTTCTTGTCAATGTTTTCTTTGCTGATAATAAAATAATTCTTAATAGGTATTTGTCTGCTACCGTACCTGGCCTAAGTATATATATATATATATATATATATATATATATATATATATATATATATATATATATATATTACTTGGCTATGCAATATAGTCTCTACACTGTGAGGGTATTTAGTTAATGTAGTAAAGTGATGGCTTTAGTAGAAGGTTCATCTCCTCGGATCATTAACCCGTAGATGCATGGTCGCAATCCACAGGCCTCAGTGAAGTTTGCGTGTCCATGGCAACGGGCACGCCAGCATTCTGTTTCCAAGACAACAAACCCCGGAAGCGCGTGGTCGCCTTGGCAACGTGCACTGGGACCACAGAGATCTGCACTGCTTTATAAAGTTTGCCACTTCTAAACTTTTTATCAAGACTTAAGGGAATTTTCTGTTTTCTTTTACGCAATTAAATCTTCTTTTATCCTAAAACTTTGGTGAACTAAAATGCATAATTAGGTGTTTATGGCACACGTTTTTACAAGCTAATTACGCACCCTAACTGCTAGCGTTAACTTGGTATGCCGTAATTTAGCTGAATTGGTCATTACGCGCCTTTTTTGCAATGGATTCTCAGCGGGAACAAAATTCAGATTCACCTCGACTGGAAGCTGTGATTCAGGTTAGTACCGTTTTAGTTCTTTGTGCACAGTCATCTGTTGATCAACTTGTGATCTTAGCTAAGTTGCATTATTGTAGCTAACGTTAAAAATAAAGACGGCAGAAATGGGCTTTCAGACTTCAAACTAATCTTAAATAGTGCAAAAAATATTTACTTGTTGATGTGCTCTATGAAATGTCGAGCTGTTTTACTTCAAGGGTGAAACTGCATTGCATCGATGCTAGTGTTGACTAAAGAAGCTTCACACATTGGGACTGTATGTTAATTTGTATTGTACTGTACAGAATTATAGCCTGCTAGTGTAACAAAATACTAAAGATGGGATATTAAATTCACTGGGTTCATAACTTGTACGAGTTTTAATTACATTCAGTCACAATGGAATGTAGCTCTTCAGGAGTATTGAGTGACTTTCTGCAGTGCCATAATGTCACTTAAACCTACAAAGGACAATACCCATTGAAGACTGCTTCCAGGCAGCTAAATACTCACTCATTATGGATAATTTCCAATAAGTCATTCATTGTTAAAAAGTACTGATCTTTTCATTAATGTGTTAGAAACTGGAGGAGTCAATTCTCTCAGAGGGCAGTTCTCGAGAGGGGGCTTTGACACTTCGAGGAGTTGACCTGGAATCCACAATGTCACCTATCCCTGTGTCCAATCGCATCCGTCAGATCATCACCCAGAGCCTGTCTGAGGAGCCCAGCTCTCACACAGAGTCAGCCCCACACACCTCTGGTACTATCCCCATCAGCTGTGCATGTGTGTAACCTGGTAGCAGTGTCACTTCCATATGCATGATCTGTTTTCAAATCTCAGGTGGCAGCTGTGAGGTCAGTGAGCTGGAGGATTGCAGGGCCCTGAGGGAGCAGTTTTGTTTGAGCTCTCCAGACTGTGACCAGCCGTTAGTCAAGACGAGCCCCACAAACAAGGTATGAGTGACATATACCGTACAGGTGTACAGGTACACTCACTTTGAAGGTCAAGCAACAATGGAAGAATGCCAAAATTTTAGTTCTATTATTGTGAAAGACCTGTGACATTTGAGTATAAATAAGTTTGTAATGGTAAGACTTATATATAGGCAAGATCAGCTTTGTTGTGTTTTCTTACAGCAAAGAGAAAGTTTCATACACACCAATGTATCTTCTCTGCTAAGTATTAAGGGAGCTTGTTTTTATTATTTATTTTTAAAGCACATTCAAGTTTATGGTGCTGCATGAGTTAGTTTTGTATTAAGTTTCTCATAATTTTTAGATCATAAACATTTATTATGACTAATAATGTTGCTGGTGAAGTTTTGATTGGAGATGAGATCAAGGCTGCGCACAGTGGAGCATTTACTTTAAGACAGGGCAGCACGTGTTTAAAGTAGAACATGCTTACAGTAAACATAAGTAGGGAAAGCAAGGAAAACCTTCTGGGTCTGAACAAACAAATTATAAGGGATCAGAAATGCAATTCAATAGAAATAGTGCCCTGAGTGAGTATATCTCATTAGTTGTATGTACTGTAACTTAGATTTAAAGGTCCTATATTACACCAAATGGATTCATTTGCATTTTAGGCCATGTTAAAATGTTGTTACCTCATCAAAAACATACCTGGAGTTGTGTTTTGTTTCATGTTTGAGTAACCCTTTGCTATTAGTCTGTCCATATTTCAAAGCTCAGAACAGCAGTGTTTTACCTTTTGTTCAAAAGAGTTGGGCAATTCCAGAGCTGAAATTATTCAAATGACTCTGTATTGCCACATGTCACAAGGTGGAACAGTGTTTTCTGTTTGAGAAGAACTCAGACTAAACATTAACACATGTGAAGCAAAATAAGACTCCAGGTATGTTTTTAATCAGGGAACATACAACAGATCAGAAAATATGGGCCCTTCAAGTTAATGTGTCCTGAAGTTTAGGTTACACTTTACAGTAAGTAGTGAATTTTAGGCCTGCATTGTGGAGTCCTCTTGATCCATGTGAGTTTGTTGTTGGCATAAATAAGAGTCAGGATTACTGAAGGGTTGCCTTGTGGTGGGTCGGTTCAGGCCCTGTGCCCCCCATGGCTGCTCCTTCATGTAGCAGCCGCTGTTTTTTGGGGAAAACGCGAAGGTCACCGACCTCCTCTCTCGAGACTGTAGAACAAGCTGGTTTTTCAGGACGCACAAAGCCGCTATTTGTGATAACACTGCTCTCATTCTGCCCCCGAAGTCCAGTGATTCCCTCAGCTTGGCTTTTCCCTCAAACTTAATTTAACACCACAACTAAAAATATGACTAAATTAGCTTTGGAGTTAAATATAGCATATTTATTTTGGTGATATTTTTAGATGTGTGAAAGCCACTAAACAGAAAAAAATATTGGTCTAGCAAACATCTAAGGGTTCTACCTGAGTGGTGGAGAATGATGCAGGCGCTTTGATGAGCTAATTTGGGTTACCTTGATGTTCAGAACATATATAAACAAAATATAACAAAAATATAACAAATTAATTAACATTATTAAATGATGAAAAATGTTGTTATAAATAAGTTGACATGAAATGACACACATTGGCAGAATTAAAGTAGTGTAAAGTGTTAGGTACCAATTGATTCTTTACAGTGACTTCACACTCGGGGATGTATTTCTGTGATGAAATGTTCAGCAGTTACCATGGAGACGCAATGGACACATTAGCAAACACAGCCAAAATTTTTTTTATATATTTTGAAAACTAAAAAACATGGATTTACCAGTAGCGACCTAGCAGCATATTGGGCTGTTTCATGGCTTTTTTATTTACATTTTACATAGTTTTTGCTAATGTGTCCCTATAGTATGCAGTTTTTAACCAGCGTTTGACCCTGAGCTTTTATGAGAGTTTTTTGGTTCTGATGGAGTTGTGTTTCTTGCATAAAAAAAACTTTGTAAATGTTTGTGAGTATTGCTTTCTCTTTCTGGATATTACATTTTGTCAAATAAGGTAGTTTCACCTACATGTAGTGTAGTAGTGTGTGGATATTACATGTCATTTAATCCCTAAATTAGTGTTTCTCTAAATCCACGGGAGGCTTATAATGTCAGCCCAGCCACAGAAAGTGTGACAGCTCCATGGTTATCCCAAATCCCCTATTTTCTCTGACACGACTTCAGCTGCTTTGTCCTGACAGACACTGTTACTGTTGAAGCCTGTGGTCTGCTCCGTCACTCAGGGTGCTCTCTGGCGCTGACCCCAGTAAATTACACCTGAACCGGGATAAACCCTGACCCGGTTTGTGTTTGGGACGGCCTCACCATTTGGACGCCATGTTGGGGTGAATTCTGGACCTTGTGTGTTGCCTTTGGAGCTCTGCCAGTGTACGCTTTCTCAGACATAGACACCCATAGTCCGCTGCCTACACCAGTGACTGCACAATACAGCAGTGTGGCAGGCCACTCCATAAAGATAAACTTGTGTTGAATGATTTCTGACACCAGCTGCATTTGCCAGTGGCCTCTGTAATCTTAAGTCCCCACGGTCTCTGCATTGGGAGCCTGATAAAGTCTGTTAGAAAGGATTGTATTTCTGTCCCTCGGTACAACCCTCTGTTTTTAGACTTTTTTTCCGCCTGGCATTGGCCCATTCATGCTATACTACAGAGTGCTGTTTAATTGGAGCACCGCCAGAAAGTCTGACTCCCTCAACTATCATGAAATTGTAAAAATTAATTGCCTTCCCCAAGGAATATATGGGCTCCGATTTTTGATGAAAGTTTCCCATTAAACCTTTTGACATCTGACATTGGGCTGCTCAAGTTACCTGACTTTAAAGCCCAACATTAAGCCCAGCTCTTTTTCAGATGGCACCAGTGTGTAATTCAAAGTGAAGTTTTACATCAAGTTGGGGATGTATGTGTGTAGGCCTGCCCTGTATTGGAAAAACATGATCTTTGTGGACTAAAGTATGTTGAATATTGAGATAAAAGATAGAGTGACTGTATGATGTTATTGTTTCTGTATTTCAACATTAATCGAATTAAATATGGCGTAAGTTCCACAGGAGTATTCACTTACAAAATAGGACTATTAAAAAAACAAACACAATTTTATTTTCTAATTCAAATAAGCATATCATATCTAAAACTCTGGTTAAGAATTGAAAAAAGAAACTGAAATTGAATAAAGAATAATATAATTAACAGTGTTACAGTTTTTTTTACAGTGGGGGTCTCAGGTTGTTTGGGGTCTCTGCAGTATGAAGAGTTTGAGAAAGTCTGTTCCAGAGAAGACCTGCCTGTATTAGCTGGGGTTATTGTACTAAGCTCTGCAAGGCTGCAGTCACATTTTACACATTAACTTGTGATGCTGTGTGGTTTATCACTCATTATTTGGCCTCACAGCAGCTGTCCTCAGAATCAGAGTAGATCCCCCACCGCACCCCCTTCTAACTGTCCCCATTTTCTCATCCCACATTGTGTAGTTACAACTGTGATGATACAAACAGAGCTTTCACAATCAGCTGGGGCTCTTTCACAGAGTCAGCAGGGCTCGGGGGGTAACATGGGGGAGAGGGCTGTGGAAGCAGGATTCAGGATAGTAAGTTTGGCGCAGCTTGGGGGCGATGGACATCCGCTCCAGCTGTGTTTAGGAATCTGACAGATAGTGCACTCCATTAATTCCCTTTATTAAGCCTCTGGGTCCAGGCCAAAGCCAGGGAAAATGTTTGCAGCTGTAACCCTTCACATGCTGGCTGGACCGTGCACTCATGGCCAGATGTCACATGAGAACAACAATAGTAACTTTTTTACATTTAATGAATGCAGGTGATGAACAATGCAGAATGTGTGTATGTCTTAATATGTGCTACATTGTGACAGTTTGGGATGATATTTGCAATCATAACTTTGCGATATGGACTAGATTTTGATAAACCACATGAGTGAGGCAGCAAGTGCTGGCCCAGACTCCAAAGTACTGCACTTGAGCCTTGAAAACTATTCTCTTGTTGCTCATTGGCAGTTAAATCAAAGCAAGGATTATCCCTTGATGTTGTTTGAAATATTTATCAAAAGAGACAATACGAGGAGTGGCACAAATCATAAATATCAAGAAATATAAAAAGTTAATTTGAAGCACATTTATAAAAGGGTCGAGTAAGTATTTCACTTTGGAAACACAAACTGAGCTCAAGAAACGGATACGTGGGAATAAAAAAGGGAAACAGTCCTAGTCACCATATGGAGGCATAAAACATACCCTGAGGTTTTCTCTTTACTAATGTCATCTTGAAGATTATTGCAAAATTGCAGTGGATGACCTCAGTCACACTGAGATTGGACAAAGGCTCATTTAGAGGAGAGTGATTGTGCTGAGGCCCCTCGTAAACACAGGGGTGTACAGTGAGCACAGCGAGGCTCATAAGCCTCTGTAAGCCCCAAAGTCAGGCCAGAGACCGGCCTGGGATTACATTGGGTTTGGCTTTGAGCTGTCACCACTGAAGGCTGGGTGAAGATCACTACAATGGCATTTCATGATGCAGACTGGTGCAACAACTTTTAAAAATCATAATCCAAAAATACCTTTTTGACCCAGAACCTCTTTCCCAAAGCTTTCATCTCATGTTTAGTGCAAGTTAAGGTCATTTTAATTTGTTATTCTCTAAATATGTTAATAGATGAATAAAGTAGAGATGGTTTCAATGGTGTTTTTTTTTTTTTTTTGTGATGAAGACATTCAAGATGTACTTTGAACCATCCTGAACAAACTAGAGAATACAACATCTAATAGATAAATAGATTTTTTTTTTTAAACATAGGAAAAATGCCTTAAATCATATGATGCAAATCATGAAGCTGAACAGATCTGAATTTGCGTGGGGACCTCCACATGTGATGGTTGTGTCGCCCTCTTGGGAGTGACCAGCATGAAGCATGGCTAATCCAGAGCAGCCTGAGGGCTGATGCTTTAGAGCTGACTGCGCGAAAGTGTAAATGCATGCTCTCTGGAGTGAGTGGAGTGGGCCATGCTGTGGTTCTGAGTTACACACTACTTTTGAAAAGGTGCAAACTACAGTTCCCATGGGGCCAGGGGGCACACTTTTAGCATATGCCAGCAACGCCTGGTTAGTGAGTGTGCCATGAGGAATGACCATTACTGAAGTTGTGAGAGCATCCTGTGGAAAATATTAGAAAGGTGCAGAACATGTATCATGTACAGTTAATACATTCAAAATACTTTCAAATCTTCAGGTAATTTTGTACATCTTTTAGCCCAAAAAGACCACACACATTTGTTTAAAACAAGTTACAGAAAATGCTCCCTAGATTCCACAAAGATCCATGTTATATAAATTGTTTCTCTTTTATTGTCAAAGACATGTGGATTTCTGAATAGATTTTCATAAATATTTGTACAGCAGATATGTTGGCATAAGTGAAATGGATTCAGAGCATGTTGAAAACATGTCACACTGGGGGTGTTCTACATGTATCTCTATTGGCAGAATGTTAACCAGTTACCATAGTGACACAATGCACACATTAGCAAACACAGACAAAAACGTTTTAAGATCATCTGATAACTCAGGAAAAAACGGGATAAAGAGGATTTAAACAGCATATTTTCAGGAGCCTTTGATCAATACAAACATTCATGGTTCTGTTTAGGTGTTTGATTTTCAACAAAAAGGTGAGCGTGACTAACTGAAAAACTGTTGGCTAATGCTTGCTAGCATGTGTGACTGAATGAGAGACTTGTTTAAGAGTTCAGATCAGCTCACCTTTCTAGTCAGATTGTGTTAAAGCAAAACTCAGATTGAATAACAGAGCAGACCCTCCAGTTATCATCACACCTCAGAGAATGTTGATGGCATCAGCTGTGAAGTATCAATAGCACAGCTGGACAAAAAAAACTTAAAAATCTAATTTCATAACTTTTGCTCACTGTTTTTTGTGGCCTGAAAGATGAAGTGGAATTTAGTCATGCTTATAACCTCTTAATAATTCTATCAGTGTCTCATTATTCCAATGTCCTCTTTTTGACAGTATTTATGCAATACATACTTGTACATGAGTCACTGTTTTGCTGTAGTTTTTCCAAAATACTTGATGCATAATAACTAAGGTAGTACATGCAGATGTTTCCAGGAGCCCTTCAAACACAGCTGCTGAGACTCTGTTTGGACGGCTCCTCCCTCTTGGTCCCTAAAGCTGTCACCTCAACAACAGTTCCACCGCTCCACACCACCAACTCTGAGCCAGCTCTTTGATGCTCGCTGATGTTTGTAGTATAAAACTCTGAAAAGGCCATTTGAAAATGTGTTAATAATGGTGGCAAAGTGGCCCAGTCCAGCGCCGAACAGTGGGACTATTGTCTTGGCCCCGCTGGAGCCTGCTGCAGAGATTAAGCACCCAGTGAGGAGATGAGGTACAGGGAGAGGGAGGGGCTGGGTCGCAGGGTTGATTTGAAGTGCTTGGATGGTGGTTTTCAGTGCGCTTCAGGGAAGGGGGCTGCCGCACTCGCACTCTCTTCCTCTCTTTTAAATGAGAAGTCAGCAAGGGCAGCTGGAGGCTGGAGGCACGCAGCGTTGTAGTGCAGCGCAGGGCCATGTGGTTTGTATTAGAGAGGACAGAGAGTCTGGCACCAGCACAGAGAGAACGAGAGAGAGGGATGGAGAGAGAGATGGAGAGAGCGAGGGTGGTGCATAGGGAGTGGAGGTTGTGTGAAGTTGAGAGGTTACAGGACATTTGGATTTCTGATATGAGACCTAATCAAAATATTTAAATGACCTGTATGCCTTTGCTTGTTTTAAACAGTGTTTAGTTCGTTGACTAAAATATTTTGTCATAGTTTTCTTTCTTTATTGTCATATTTTTGCTGACTAAATAAAATTGTGTCTTATAACTCAAACAATGAATAGTAGATATTTAATTTTTTTTATTAAAGTACTGATATTTTCCTTGAATACAAAAAACTAAACTAATCCATCCCAGATCCCCAAAATGTCACAAACTAAAACAAAATTAAAATTTCTTGTCAAAGTTCTCGCTAGTTTCAGATGCACTATGCCCATAGAGATGCCAATACACAAGTAAACATAATAAGCCCCATGATAAATTAAAGAAATATGTATTGATATTTACAGGATGAAGTGTCATTTCCAGTCAAACTTCTTTTTTGTTTATTGCACCAGCTTGACCAGGTGCTCCGATTGCACTCATCGGCGGAGTCTGACCAAGACAGCTCATCAGGAAATCTACATGTGCAAAGCCAGGAGAGGACTTACTGGCAAAAACTGCAGCTGTACCAGGAAGCTCAGCAGAGGCAAGCACAGCTCGTTCAGAAACTTCAGGCCAAGGTAACGCTACACCAAATCAAGAATTTTTGTATTTTTGAGAATCATAATTACATATGGTTGGTGCTTTTTGAATACCAGGTTCTTCAGTACAAAAAACGATGTGGGGATCTTGAAGTGCAGGTCCTGGAGAAGACTTCAGAATCAGAAAAAATGAGACTGTTGGTATGGAATATAGTTATCAACACGCTAACATAAAACAAAAATTCCAACTTTGTTAATCCAATACAACATTGTTTATTTTCTTATGAAAATGAAAATAAACCAATTTACTTTACAGCATAAAGGAAATAGGTTTCATTGCAAATTGTACAAATTGCTTTTGCATGGCACAATTATTGGTTACAACAAAAATATGACAACATACTTATGAGAACAACTTACTCATTGAAAAGTTTTTTTTATTTACTGGCTATAAACAAAATGTCAGTGTGGTCAAAATTAAGCTTGTGGTTGAATGAAGATTTGAAAAGATATAGCTGATTAATGTTAGCCTTTGCAGTCCCACAAACAGCGTGTTGTCGTGGAACAGAAAAGATGGTTAATGAAGGGAAAGTCCAGGAGCAACATATTCCATAGGCTTTACATAAAAACTCCTCTATCCTTAAGTTAACTTGGTCACACGCTCTTGTGGTCACATTTGTCACAGTCTTTCATCCATCTTGTAAATTTAAGGCACTGAGGAGCAGCCACATGTTGAGCATCTGTGCATTTGTGACCCGGCTGTGGGCTTAGATACATGTATGTTGTGGATATAAAGAAAACATTGTCCCAATATGTTTTATGAGGCTATTTGAAGTTTATTACTACAGGATTTTTACTAGCTATTTTCAGAAATAGTCAAAAATGGCCATACTCACCTGCTTTAGTGATGTTAAAATGGCACTAGTTTTGGGTCATGTTTATCTGTAAACTTTGACCCCTGTTCAAAGTACAAAGCATTTCAGATCTTCTTACATTAATTGAAGCCAAAAAGTAAAATAAAAGCATAATATAGTTTAGGTTACAGCATACATTACTGTATTTGTTGAAAATATAGTGTTATAACTACATGTTTACAGTTTCAATTTCAACTTTTGATGCTCAGCAAGATTTGCGCTTATATTGATTCAATCAAATATTATTTTGGGCTGAACTTTGCCCACAGAGTCTGAATTAGCAGATTTTCACTGTAATTATGAAGGTTTGTAAATATTAGGCTACTGCTTTACACAGTACTGCTCCCAGGGTAAAGTTTTATTGGGATGCCTGTAGTGATGGTGTGTGTGTTCAGCTGCAGAGCCACTTGGACTCAGCCCAGCGACAGCAGCACACAGAGGACGAGCTCAGCCTCCTGATCCAGAGGAAGGCCGCTCAGCTGGAGGAGGAGCAGAAGAAGTGAGTCAAAGTCAACTTGGGTTAAATATAATCAAATGATTGAGAATACAGAATATTTGATGATTAAGCTACTTTTAATGATAATATTAATAATGTATTCCATTAGTACTTTATTAAGGATTTATATAGGCAACCAAAATTAGGGCCTAATACAAATAAAATGTCCCCTGTGTTCAGTACCAAAGTTTGGTATTGAAAACTGGTTCAAAGAAATGTACCTAGGTCTACGCAAAGCATGTTATAGTTGTATGTAACAAGTTGTATGTTATGTATAACTAATACTTTGCTCCTCAGTTGTAAGCAGGCGCTGCTGTGTCAACATACAAATAGTTGCTGTCATGCTACATAAACTTTGTTCATAAAAGCAAGGTGAATAAAGTGTCTTCCTGAGTAGTTAGTAGGTGAATGCCCCAATAAACCTTCCTTACATTACATTTACAGTAAATGTGTGAACTTCCAAGTGTTGTTAATGGTTAATAACAGACTTTAGCAAAAGCACAGAAATGCATTTAACTAACACTGTAATACTGAGTTGTAACCACTTATTGTAAGTAATGTAGAGATTATGTTTTCAACATTTTGCTTATTACTTTTAAATTCATTCCATAACCTCTTACATGGGTTTGGCCTCTTGTCAAACACGCTTACAGTAACAGGGTGTGTGTTCAGGGTAAGAATGATATAAACATTTTGGTAAATTGCTGTACAGTACAAGCAAATCTGGATGGAATTAAAACTAAGTTGTGACAGGTTTTATAAAACTGTCACACATGTTCACGCTGTGTGGCTGGTGAGGGTGGATCTACATCAGAGAAAGAAGTGATGCCAAGTAGAGTTTGGGCGGGCGCTGTTTTTGTGACATTTGTCTGTCAGCCAAAAAATGCCAAATGATCCCGAATACTCAAAAGACTTGTTATTGCCAGGTGTGCCAGTCTCAGCCAAGTCAACTCTGTGCTTAGAGACCAACTGGAGCAGGCTGGCATTGCGAACCAGGGCCTCACGGAGAGTCTACTGAAGGCTCGGACAGATCTGGAGCTGTATGAGACACAGATGAGAAAAGAGCAAGAGGTGAGGACACAAACTGCACAGATCACATGAGGCTACGCTAAAAGTTATTGAATCTACTGAAATTGCACAATTAAACTTGTGTAGAGTTCACTAGAGGTTGGAATTCCATTCATAGCCAGTTTCATCAATTCATCCCCATTCCCTGTTCCCTTTCTTGCTATGATTTCTGAGTTGTTGTTTCCTGTGAAAACATTCCAACTGCTGAAGGGGAAGAAAAATTTGTCCAAACAATCTTTCGTTCGTGTTGTAAAACAGCCACATCTGTTGATTCAGGGAAATCCAATTATTTGCGAGAGGCCAGTACTCAGCAGTTCCAGTATTGCATCTGTTTGGTATCACTGTAAAAGGAGAGGTGCAGTGTTGTAAGCAACCCCCTACCACCCAGTCCCATCACATTGTGCTCTTGTGTGTAGACCAGCGCCTCCCGCCTCAGCCGTGAGCAGGCCCGTGTCAGGGCTCTGTGGCGCCAGGCTGCCTCCCTGCGAAGCACTTTCACGCAGCTAAGGACTTTCACTGACAGGTGAGTGTGGTGCTCTGCCAGAACCCCTCCGGCGGTCCACGATTGCACAAGAAACCCCTCCTCTCCTCCTGTATCTCTCTCATACATAAAACTACAATCCATCTCCTAGCCAGGGATCAAAAAGGAACAGGTCATTGAGGGCAGCACACCACACCGCTTCATTGTTACCTCACTGGGGGGACAAGAGGTGTTGAAATCATCTGTCAGGACGGCCCTTGAGCCTTTTTAAGACTTGGCTGCGGTCATGTTAAGCCACTGTAAGCACTGATGAAAAGTAATTTGCTTGAACTTTGATAGCTCATCCCATCTCATCTTCTGATGATAATAGAGTGAGGCCAGACACAAGAACGAGTTCAAGTCCAGACATCCATCCAATTACGAACACAAACACACTGGGTTTCAACAGACTAATGACTTTGTACACCTTGAGTGAAACCAGATTATCTTTAACCTGTATGAATCTATGTCCTATTTGTGATTGTTTTGATCAGAACCCTTTCAGAGCTGCGCGGGGAGTGTGTAGCTGTCAGCAGAGAGCTGCATGGAGTCTGCAAGAGCCTAGAGGCCAGAGTCACACGGGAGAGTGCCCCTTGTGGAGAGGAATCAGAAGTGGAGGGACAACTGAGGGACAAACTGAAAGAAGCCATGCAGTTGCAGGGTCGATGGGACGCAGAGAAAGTGGAGTTGAATTCAAGGTATACAATTAATAAAAAATTCATATTTTTTATATTGTGTTTCTTTAAAGCATATCTTAAAGATGCAATGTGTAACTTCTCTGGTGGGAGGTCTGCCATCTATGACTCTCTACTGCTTTATCTACTGTCTCAATGGAGGCAACCCGTGGCAGACAAAACTGCATTGTTATAAACAAATTAAATTCAAGGGGCTCTCCTTATAAAGAATCCCATCACTATTATTCAACTAATCTTTTGTGTAAACTCAGAGCTGAAATATAAGCTTAGACATCAAAGTTCAAGAAGATCAATTACAAACTCCACATTCCTGTCAGGAGCGAATTTTGATCACTACAGCTCTGTTCATCTTCCCATTTAAATACTGCTGATGTGGTTCAACACAAAAGGATCAGGGCTTTTCAAACATGAAATCTGATTACCTTTATCTCCTTTGATCATAACTCCCATGTCAGAGGGTTATTGTTCCGATTGTGTCCAGGGAAAATGATAGTGTAGGTCTTTGGAGCTGAAACATTAGGTTAGAGCCTAAGTGGTAATTGATGGACTTTTATGTTGGGGTTAAAGGATACAAATGCATATTATATGATGCTACTTCATTCATTCAGCCTCCAAAAATGTGTAAATTTCCAAAGAAGAACACAAAAAATGTGATTAAATTATAATAAAAAATTGTACACGTAATCAAGTTTAAACAAATGCTATTACTATGCATTAATTATGTTAAATCGTGTAATCACTCCTATTCCTGCCATTGTTTTGCTTGTTCTGTAAAATTGTTAATTACATTGAATATTTCAGAATGTTGGAGTTGAGTGACACAGTCAAACATCTACAAACCCAGAGCAGTGTGAAGGACGCCAGCCTGGACACCATGCAGATCAGCCTGCACAGGATGGTAATCAGGGCAGGGAGGTGCCAGATAAACTATTGCTAAAAAGGGGTCAGATTTGGCTCTGGTCTGTTACTTTGGGTTTTAGTTTGATAAAGTCCATAACTTCCTTGTCTCAAGAGCTGCCAGCTGGACAATGTCAGGAGCGTTGTATGTGTGCTTATCTGACCTTATTGGTTTCCTGTTCAGGAGATGAGGAGAGCAGAGGATAAAGCAGAGATGGAGGCACTACAAACAGAAAACCAAGCTCTGCAGAAGGTCATACACCACATACACCAGGTCAGACATGAGCTGACTTAACATGGCTGTGTTTGTTAAGTTTGATGTCACCTGGAGTTTGTGTCTAACAATATGTTTATAAGCCAATGATTCCTTAGATTTCTTTATATATTTGTACAATATCTCCAGATGGTGATTAGTGAAAATGATAATGGCAGCCCTGACAGCCCATCCAGCTTCCTTCATCATGGCTCGTCTCCCCAAAGAAACCCCACGTTGATAGCTGTTCAGAGCGCTCTTTCTAAACAACAGAAGCATGCACAGGCAAGCCTTATGTATTGTTTTAAGGAAGTATAGAACATCATCAAATTCAATATTCAAAATATAACTTCCTTTTTAAGGACCTACGCGGATGTCTGGATGATGTTTTGGAGCAGGTCAGCACACTGCGTACCAGACTGCAGGTGAATGAAGCTGAGAGGAAAGAGTTGCAGCAAAAGATACAGGAGGCTCAGAGAGAAAGTCAAGAGGCACGAACAGCTCTGGAGGCAAATCTCAGGGAATCCCAGAGCTCACTAGAACTCATCTCCAGGTGCGTATCATTCTTAGTTCACTGTACATTAGAACATTTGAACAATGTGAAGTTTAAATGCTTTCATAACAGTTTGTTAACAGTGTCTTTTATTGTTTCTAGTGAGAAGAGCAGCCTGGAGAGGCTGGTGTCAGGACTGCAGCAGGAGATGGATTCCCAGCGGATGGAGCTGGACAGACTGAGGGGCTCATCACAGGAGCTGCAGAGACAGAGGGACGTCCTGAGGCAGCATAGAGAGGACCTCCAGCTGCAGCTCACACGTCAGCACACAGAGGCCCAAAGGAGGTAGCAATGCACTCTGCACTGTCACCAACCATTGTCCTCAAACTCTGTTTGTTTACACCACAGATCAGGAACACATGTCACTGGTCTGCCACACAACCACTCTGGATTCAAACGTAAATCATTTACATTACATTACTGCAGTCATGCAAGAAAGATGTTTTTTCATCTCAGGTTTCATTTGAAAAAAATGATTAGTGGGAAATTGAATATGCACATGTAAGCCAACCAACAAACTTTGGGGCAAGAGATTGGTAAATATTTTTGTGTTTTCAGTGAGAGGAGTCTTGAGGAGCTTGAATCTAAGCACTCTGATGTACGTAAGGAGCTGGTGATGGTTAAAGAAGCATTGAGTCAAATGACTCTTCAAAAAGAGCTGCTGGAAGATGACAAGGCTAGTCTTTCTCTGGCTCTCAGTAAGGTAAACAAAATACTTTTTGGCTCCTTCTTTTCATTTATTTCACCTTGTAATGACGTTTCATCAATAACATTTTCAGATTGAGTCCCAGTGCACCACACAGGAGCTCTCTCTTGCCAAAATGCAGAATCAGGAGGCTGCACTGAAAGACTCTCTGTCCAAGATGGCGACTCTAAGTGAAGGCTTAGCCAAAGACAAGGTGGAACTCAGCCGGGTTTTGCTGCAGGTCAGTCACTCAACTGTTTTAGAGAGTAAAAATACACAAAAAACAATGTTGTTTTTTCTCCTTTACAGACAGAGAGTGAGAAGGCTGAACTTGGAGAGCGCAGGCGTGAAGCTGAGGTGGAGCGCGCTGTAGCCAGAGAGGAGGCTGTGAGGCTGCAGCAGGACATGATAGATCTGCTGGCAGAGAAACAGAGTCTGGAGAAGTCCCTGAGCCACACGCAGCGAGTGCTCCAGGAGCTGGAGTCTGAGCTCAGGCTGCTGCACACAGAGAACACACAGGCCACAGAGCAGCTCTCTCAGGTCTGCCGCAGCCCTTCACACCTGGGACAGCTAACCCAATGTTATGAATCTCTTTCAACACGTTTGTGGGGCCTGTTGTCATGTTAAAATGAATTGCACACATAGGACACATCTGCATTGTCTTTTGTGTTTCCAGGGATATGAAGATCATTTGTATCCTCACTAAGTGCTTTATGGGCAACTTGGGACCTAACAAGCAAGGGATTTACATGAACAAATGTGAACTGGAGAAGATAAATACAAAGACATATAATATCTTGAGGCATTCAGTGTAACACTATGAACTGAACACCCAAAGTACTTCCTTAACACATCCAGATTTACCTACCCTGACTTTCAAAGAATGAGAAGAATCTAATGTTTTATTATCTGTTCTCAATGTGAAGCTGGGATACCCACATTTCTCCCAGCTCAGAATATTACAAACGTAAACAATTTGACAAATTCCACCTAAACATTTTAGATAAGATATCTGCAAAAATAAATCTACTGTGCCAGAGACAAGCCCTGGGGTGGCCTCTGTTGCACTATGCACATGTTTCATCATATTATTATATTATTGAACACTACTCACATAAAATAACAATGAACTGTTCTTTATCCTCCTTGCTATGTACTGAGGACAAAGTATTTAATGTGGACTAAGTCACTGTGAAGTAACAGTTTGTTAAAGTGAGTTCATTTTTCTACATTAAAATGACTTTGAAACACATTGCAATGATATATTGTAAACCTAATCGTTTTGTAGTTATACACAAACTAGCCGCAAAACCTCAAGTGCAGGTTTATTTTCACAGAAAATAGTTTGAGGTCAGTTAGTTTTAATTGCTTCACAGTTATTATGAGTTAAGTGCCAACATTCTCCGTGCAGTTCACATGAATTACACATGTGCAGAGTTGTTTTATTTTACTTTCCAAATATAGGTTCTGGGCTTTAAGCTGTAGTTGGAAAGATAAATTGCACCCCACCAATCATTTTTGTTTCGCTTGAGGCTGTCCATTTGTAATGGTTTTGCTGTTCCTTTAGGTTGCCTTGTATTTTGTTTAATTAATGGTACATAAATAATATGCATGGCATTGGTATACAAAGTTCCTCTTGCATAAATAAAGGGTACATGGCATTACTTTATCCAATGTACACTGATGACGCAATTATAGCTGCTATATTCCCCTTGTAATGTAAATAGTTTTATTTGAGTTCAAAATCCATGCTAATGATTAGACAGAAAGAAATGTCTTTCCATTGGTTGTTATGGTGCTGCCTTTGTGACTCTAGAAATGCTTACATTCCCTTTATCTTTTTCATAGATGTAAAATAAGCATTTGCATTGTCCTAGAATCTGTATCGTAGAGCAGTTAAAGCCACTAAAGCTTTACCTTTATAAACACACTTTATAAAAACACTTATCTGTACATGTTTTTTGAACTCTTTGTAAAAACACAGAAAGATTACGCTGACATTTTTCCATCTTCTCATTTACAGTAGTAGAAGTATGAAGTGTATTTGTGCTTGTGTTTGTCTCCAGGTCAACAAGCAGATGCAGAGTGTTTCAGAGGAGCTGTGTGCGTGCAGGAGGGAACTGGGGACTCAAAGCGCGGCCTTAAAGAGAGCGTCCAGTGAGCGGGACGAGCTGGCCAGGGACAGAGCTGCTCTGGAAGTCAAACTGAGCTCTGCTGAGCGAAAGCTTTCCGACCTCATGGAGGAACTGGCAGCACTTAGGTTTGTTTGTGTGCTGCTTTTCATGTGGTCTGACCTACATTTACACCAGGACAAGCACTACTGTTGTGTAGTAGCACTACTTGAACCTTCTCCAAATGTAGATTCCTTATTTCTTTGATAGCTGTTTTGCATAATGCATTCTGTGCAATCAATGGTCTATTGGTTTAACAGAACCAATAGACCATTATATCTGACTTGGGAATAAGAATATGTTTGAGTTTTTCTTAGTTTTTTTGTTAACACTTTAGTTTAAGGACCACATGTTTGTGGCTGACTAGTAGTAAAATGCAGAACCACACTCCCATTTGTTTGTTGCTAGGATTCATTCATGATTACAGTAATTACCAGCTCATACATTTGATTAGGCCAAAGAAAACAACTGAGTGTTTCCAGTCAAATAGTTATGTTTGGATTATTGCATTTTATGGTCTTATACACCTGGTGGTTCAGTCCATTTGAGAGCTAATCCTTGTTTGCGGTGTTTTGCAGGTTGAAGAAGGAGTCGCTGGAGACCTCACTGTTTGAGAGCCAGCAGCTTGTTTCTTCTCTGGAGGCCGAGTGCTGCAGGATGGATGGGGAGAGGCGCAGTTTACTTGCTGCTAACGAGGCCTTGACGCGTGAGTAGCCCGCTCCCTCTGAGACCTCTCTGTCCTCTGTGCCAAGCCCCCGTCCCAGCAGCCCACAGGAGAGCCATATTTCATGTGTGAGCTCCACAGCAGCTGGACCTCAGGATGACCACGCTCCCACCTCCACACTAACACACATGGTTCAGATAAGAGTTGTTAAATCATGGAGAAGCAACCTTTTGTTATTGCCAGAACTACACATTGTCAAGTACAAAGCTATGTCAAATTATTCTGTCTTCCACTTCTATGTGGATTACTACTACTGAATGCTTACATGAATCATATGTTTTATTGTGTTGACTATGGCAGTGACATAAAGTTAAAAGAAAAATCTTTAATTTGAATATTTAAAGGCCCTTTATTATGCAAAACTGACTTCTGTGAGCTTTTTAGCAACGTTAAAAGCTTGAAAGCATACCTGGAGTTGTGTTTTGTTTTCTTCACACATGTTTGAGTAATCCTGCATTATTAGTCTGTCTGCATCTTCAAAGCTCAGATGCTCTGTTCCACCTTGTGATGTCGTGAAGCAGTGGTTTTCAGGTTAACAGTGTTCAGTAGAGGTTGGAAATTTCAGCACTGAAATTATCCAAATGATTCTAGTGAAGGCATATGGGGTTTAAAAACGCAGTGGAATACCTCATGTATTACCACATGACATCACAAGGTGGAACAGAGTGTTTTCAGTTTGAGAAAAGAACACAACCTAAATATGCAGGATCTGTGTTTTAAACACTGTGAATGGAACAAAATACATCATTACATTTATATTATATTATAACATAGGTCAGAAAATAGTGTAATATGGCCCCTTTAAGAGTGCACTATGTGACTTTTCTGGTAGTTATCATCAGCAGATTCTGATTCCAAAGACCTCATTGCTTTGCCTCCATAATTTGTAATATAACAATAAGTGTATCGATCTATTTATTTTCTAAAGAAAGAAAAAAAAAAGTTCTGAACCTGACCTGTATCTTGATCTGTTAGTGTCACCATAGATACGTAGATAGATTTAATGCCATACAGTTGAACATTCCGGGCAAACCAATAACATCACAATTTAATTTTATTTGGAAAGAGCAAATATTTACATATTACTATTTTCCAGTTCAAATGTGATCTTTCCAATTTTTGGTTTACCGTATAACAAAAAAGAAAGAAAAAACATTTACAAAAACAGGGGATCTTACAGGAACAAAAATGCAGCTAAAAATATTATGTTATATAGTGTAAAATAAAATAGAACGAATCTTAACCAGAAATGGAGAAGTTAAAAGAAATCCATAAAGTTAGCAATTTTTTTGTGATATTCTTTTTGTTTGCCACCACGAAGGCTTGTAAAGGCTTCTTATCACTTCTCCTTTCCAAGAAACTAACTCAGAGTTTCAAAATCGAATGGTATATTCATTCCAAAAACAAAATTTAATCTTGTGTGGGTCTCACTGCAATACATTTTTATTTTGGAGCAAACACCATTTAGTTTTTCATTGCATCAACATCTGGGGAGTAAGCAGTACTGCTTAAATTTAGCATTGTAACTGGACCATGAATGCATTTTTTTGTTTCCAGGTGAAGTAGCAGAGATGCGTGCAGATGCTGAGAGTCAGTTTCATGCAGCCACACAAGAGCATTGTAAACTGGAGGAAAAGTTGGAAAGGCTGGAAAGGAACGCAGAAGCAGCTCTGAAACAGAAAGAGCAAAGTCACAGAGAGCAACTGGAGGCTGAACAAAAGCAGAAGGTACACTACAATTAGGAGTACTTTATAGAATTTGTGGTTTGCCATTTTGTAAGCGTATGTAATGTTTTGTACAGGAGCGTGAGTTTGCAGAGCTTGCAGCACTGAGGGATCGGGCTGAGGAGCAGCTGAGGAGACAGTGTGAGGAGCAGCAGTCGCACAGTCAGAAGGAGCTAAAGCAGGTGCAGGAGGAGCTGGCCAAACTTCAGCACGAGTCCAACCAAAGCCTCCTGAACGCAGAGAGCGAAAAGCAGCATGTGTGTGGTTTGACATTCCTCATAGTTTATGAGCCCTTCACAATACAATAATATATAAGTTTTTTTTCTGGTGAGGGAGGGGTTGGAACATGTTTGATTGGGTCAGGGCACTTGTAGAATGACTTATTCAAAAACTTTACTCTTGGACTGCTTTTTGCCAACTTTCCCCTTCTATAGTTTTCTTCTTTTGAAACATAATCTTAATAATGTTTTACAGGGAAACATGAAACTTAAAATTTGAAAACTGTTTTCCTGGTAGTTGCTTTAACAAAAAATATAAGAAATACTGAACCAATGCCAAACTATGTCCTGATACAGTCCATGACTCAGTAAGTCATTAAGCAATTAAAAACATTCAGAGTTTAACATCAGATCTTTCTTAATAGCCTTGAAAAAATACTTGCATACAATACAATGCAATAATAAAATAAAATAGTACAGATAGCACAATATATCGCAATCAAATCAAAATTGCAACTTGAGTTGAAGAAATTATTGCAAAGTCTGCTATTATTTTGATGATAAAATATCTTTTGCAAGGGAAAAATATCCTGCCTTGTTGTACCTATAATCTAGACTCCTTCAAATGTGTACTTCATGGTATTTGTGTTATAGTTTATCAGTTGCTATTTCTTCTTCTTGTCAGAAAAATCAACCAATTTGATTTTTTTTCTCAAAATAAGCAGCCCTACTTAACCATTAGCCCTTTTTCCTTCAAGCTTGGGAGAGCTCAGTTTGTAAAAGAGTAAATAAGTTAGAATAGCATGAACTAAGCTTCCTTTGTTGGTTTACAGTGACCTTGTGGCTTTTCTGTGCAGGCTCTGTCCCAGATGGAGGCTGAGAAGGCTGCCCTTGCTGAGAAGCTGGCAGCTCTGGATCAGGACCTGGCCACTGCAGAGATGGAGCTGGAGCATATTAAGAGGGAGGCTCATAGCAAAGAAGAGCAGGACAAGGTAAAAAGACCACCACGTTGTTATTTGAAGGACAGAGTGTACTGAATGTTGATATTACGTTGATTTTATTTAAATATTAAATAAATGTTTTAGAATGCACTGGATGTCCTTCGCTCTGAGCTGCAACGGCTCCAGGCACACTTTGAGGAGTCGCTGGATGCACATGAGGCTGACAAGAGGAGTTTGACTGAGCAGATAAAAGAGCTGAATGAACTAAAGGAAAGGGCTAAGCTGGAGGTGAGAATATTTAAAACATTTTAGCCCCATACTGCAGTTGGAAACGCACTATTTAAACTCCATTTGCTTCTCTTGTTTGAATACGTACATCCTTGCCAATTTAATATAAGCCAAATTTTGTTTTCAGCTCTTAAACATTAAGATCAACAAACAAATCAAAGTCCTTACAGATTTCAAGTCACCCAATAAATGACACTGAGGGATTGTACAATCATGGAAATGGATGGGAAATTACAGCCATGTTTGTCTTGGCATAAATATAAGTCTTTGGATTTGCCTCTGCTGGGAGGAGGGGGAGTTTGTACCAATTAGTACAGAGTGGGGGAGAGCCATTTACCAAAGACCACTGTTGACATTGGCCTGTGCCGCAGAGCTTTACTAGCATCAGGACGCCTTCAGGTGTGTAGTCCACAGGGCCATAATCTTCAAGGCAAAATTCTCGCTGCACTCTCTGTCTGCAAAGTTCCCCGGTATAAATTTTAGCTCCACTGACCTTAATATAAACAGAAGAGTGCAATTACACTACAATTTAGGCCAAGTGACATACATCTCCAAGTTAAATGAAAGCAGTAAATCTCATCTCTTGGGGTTGGCTGAGGTCAGAAAAGCAGGCCAAGGGTCGTTGGGCGTTTCAGTAAAACAACAACCTCAGAGTCACCTCATTAGACTCAGGCAGAGCTGTAAAGTATTGGCCTAAATGACGGGAAAGTCAGGACCAGGGGATTGTTTATCAGTTTGGTTTTGGTTAAAAAAAATCTAAATGGAGCATCGTCCTGTCTTCACTCTGTCTCTTTAGTCTTGTCAGATTGTTGTGAATGAGGCTGTGTGGAGCCACAGCAGCAGAGTTTGAGGTTTGGACCGCTGTGTTCTGCTGTAGATCAAGTCATGCTCCTGTGACGCTGTCGGATTTGGCTGCCAAGGTCTACTCTATTCAGTGTTTAATTATTTTTACTAATCCCATCTCAGGATTCTCATGTCAAGCTGTGACAAAGGAGGAGTGTGAATGTATGTAGCCCTTCAAGAGAGCATTTAGGAAGGAAAAACCAAATGGAAAGAGTGAGAACAAGATGGGAGGATACGGTCCCTGGTACCAAAATATGAAATCAAAGTTTGAGTTAACCCCTTGTGTAAATAAGCCGGTGGGGGAGTGTTTATTTTCTCCCCTGCAGCAGCGAGAGGCTGGCTCCACTGGGACTCCAGGTCCCTCTGTCTCATCCACATAACACAACACTGCTGCCCTCATATTCTCTGCCCCTTCCTCCACTCCCCTCCACAAAGAATCAGATAAAATAAAGTATAATTGGCTGGATCCGCACTGGCTTGTTTTTTCTCACATTAAAGTTTATGAGAAGAAAAAGCATCTTGTGTGGCCTCTGAGTACAGCACTCCTCCTCACCCTGCTCCTCACCCTCCCTCCACCCCTCTGTGCCGGGGTGGGGGGCTGCTGTTTATCATGTTGCACTCTGTGGATTCTTTACACTTGAAGCAGCAGCACAGAGATGGGGAAAGACAGCACCTGGCTTTGAGCCCAACTGGCTCTTATCCATGCCAAGATAAGCTCCGTCCTCCCTATTCCTCACACTAAACATAATGCCTTAAAACAGAATATAGGTCACAGAGTTGCATGAGATTGTGCATACAACATTTGGACTTTTAAGAAACACCCAATTATGTGAAAATGCCTAAGAAACTAGCTCTAAAGAAATTATTGCTAGACTGAAGACTTGCCCAGTGCATTGATTTATTGCAATTCACAAGTCATTCCCAAATCTCGAGCTAACTTATAACCATATTATTATTCCTTATCTTCTCTCCTGTGAAACCCTGAAATTTTGATGCATATTTATTTTTATGAGAGTTTGTATTATTATTCTTTGTTGAATGTTGCATCAGAATGCCGAAGCAAGATCCTACTTTGTGAAATTTGTTCACTGCCATTTGCAGTAAAACTGATTCCTAAAAGGGCTAGAAAGTGTAGAGTAATGTAATTGTGTTACTGCAGATGAGACATTAATATAATGAAAATTAACTATATAATGTACTTTTCAGTTTGCATACAATGATAGAGATGCTTTTGATACATACATTTGAACTCAAAATGTAATATTTTTTATTGAACATGAAGGTAGAAGGCCTCTGCCAAAAGTTAAAAGAAACTGAAGCTCAAGTGGTCCAACTCCGAGCCGAGCTAATTGAGGCTCATAGAGGGCTTCAGGAGAGTGTTCAGCAGAGAGACAAGCAACACAAAGAAGTGCTGGACCTCAAAAGAGTCTTGACAGATGTGACCAGGGAGAAGGACGCCATTCAAGAGACAAATGATGAGCTGAGGATTCTTATCAAGAAAGCAGAAAGTGACAATAGCAGGTAAGTAAATGTTAGGTGTAATCCTGTGAACATTATTATTTGATGTGGGTGTCAACAAGGGGATTTTGTTTCTGATATGTATTAAAAGCTTGAGACGGAATGCAGAAGAGAGAGAGCAAAAAGTTTCCATCTTAGAAGAATGTAGAAGTTCAATTCAAGAGGAGACCAATACTCTACGGAGCACTTTGAGAGAGCTGGAGAAATCTCGCCTGGAAGCACGTAGAGAGCTGCAGGAGCTGCGGCGACAGGTACAATATGAACTGTTTGATTGTCTTGCACAAATGTACAATTGTGTATAACATCCAGGTGAAGAGTCTTGATGGGGAGAACAAACAGCAGAAGCAGGAGCTGAAGGAGCTTTACGGTCGTATTTGTCAGGAGGAGCGGAAAGAAGAGGAGGCGCGACGTGAGGCTTTCACTCTAAAGCAGAAATTGCTGGAGAGTGACTCTGGTAGAGACGCAGCGCTCAGTGAGGTAGGAGCCACTATAAAAGGATATGTGTATTACAAGGAGCACATTGTTTATATTTCGAGACAGTTAGGCAATGTTAAATGTTCTTTAATTGTTGTATTTTATTTTGAGTTCAGTGGTGGGGTGCCTGCCAGGTCTCTCTCGTTTTACATGAGTTATATGTTATTGCTTTGGCTACAGGGTATTGTCTGTTGGGATAGTCAAGGCAGTTTTATTGTTTGCTTGTTTGTTAGCCCAAACCCACACAAAGACACCCTTCCCAGCAAGTGATAGACAACAAGAATTAAGTTTTCCAAAATAAATTAAATGAATTATGCAACATAAATTGTCTACAGGTTTAAACAATTTCCAGTTTTGTTTTATTCTTTCGTACACTGAAGTTGATGGGTGAACTTGTGCATAGGGCTGCACATTCAGAGATACGTACATGTTGGTGTCAGAGGATTTTACAATGTTACAATCTTTATCCAGGTTGCGGGATTGCAGCGGCGTATGGTTGAACTAGAAACATCTGAGCATCAAAACCAAAAACGTGTGCTACAACTGGAGTCCAATCAGTTGCAACGTGAGCAGAGGCACAGAGAGGCCACTGCCCAGCTGGAGGGGGCGCTAGAGGATGCTATGGTCCAGATAAGGCAGCTCTCAATGCAGGGAGACCTCAGTGAGAGTAAGACGCAGGGCCTGGAAAAGCAGCTCCACTTGGGCAATGTTAGAAGAAGAGATCTGGAGTCACAGCTGGCTGGGCTACACTCAGCACTACGCCGCACGGTTCTTAATCACACACCGGCCACAAATGGTTCTCACAGAAGATCTCCATCTCCATGGAGAAAGCAATTTAAAAGTATGTATATATGTGTGTGTTGGTAATATGTATTTCTGCATTATGATAAAAATTACAAAATATTCTTTATTAGAAAATATTAATCGAGAAGAGTGGAATGCTACAGAGGCTGAGGAAGTGGATGTAGAAACAGTGCAAATTGTACTCCAGGAACTGCAAAAGGAGCTGAAAGAGGCACGGAGAGACAGGGTGAGTTTAAGATGTGCAAATATAATTCTACCATTAACATTAATTTTACTATTCAAAAACACAACTTTTCTTTCTACATTTTTCTACTGTAACCTTAAATGTAGGATGAAGCATGGGCCCAAATTGACAATTTAAGATATCAAGTAACAGAACTTCAGGACAACCTTAAAAAATCTTCTAGTCAAATTGAACTGTTCCAGAAGTCCTTAAAACAATCTGAGGCTGGTATGTAAACTTTGTGATATTCAAGTCAATATTACTTAACCACTGTCTCTTCATCTGAATAAGCGGTTTTATGTTTTAGGAAAAAGAGAGGTGGAAGAGCACTTGCACAAAGCTCTGACTTCTTTAACTCTTCAGGAGGAAACAGTGCACCGAACTGAAAGAGAGAAAAGAGTCCTTCAGGATGAACTGACTCACCTTAAAAATACTCTACAATCAGCAGAAGCAGAGTCGAGAGCACTGCAAGTAAGTGTAAATGTGAAATCACTTCTTTTTTTTTTGCCTTGACTGAATTCAAATGTGTAATCTTATACCTAGGACAAACTGGAGCTGTATCAGAGCTCAGGATCTCAGGCTGATGCTGAGCAGCTGAAGCTGAAGGAGGCTCTTGAGGCAGCTGAGGGTCAGGTGAAATGTCTAGAGCTGTCCAAGCGCACCCTAGAGGGAGAGCTGCAGAGATCTCAGCTGAGAGCGGCCGAGCTAGAGGCCCAGGCAGGAGCACTGCATCTCAGGCTGAAGGATCTCCGGAGGAGGCTGGGAGAGAGTGAGGATCAGTGCTCTGCTTTGAGGCTGAGTGAGGAGAAGCTTAACACACAACTGTCTAGAGCTGAAACACAGGAGGCTCAGCTGAGGGAGCAAATCCACAAACTGTCCTTGTCTGTAAGCGACAGCCACGACAGCACACACTCTCTACAGGAGCAGGTCACTCAACTCCAGAGTGCTCTCAGCGAGTGTGAGCAAGACCGGCGCACACTACAGGTAAGCAGGCTAGGATTCTTTCAACAAGAACATTGTGTCAAATTCCACCTTTTAGGATTGCATTGAACATACTGTATTTACTTGCTTTGATTTACCGTGTCATAATGTAACCTCCTCATATTCAGACAGATCATTTTTATTTACATTACAGCTGAAGTTTTCCTAAAGGTCCTTACACGTGGAGCAGTAAAACGTTTGGGCAGCTCATTAATTCACTTCTCGGGAGAGCTTTGGGGCTGCACATTCAGGGATATTGTGCAAACAAAAACATGCAATACTTAACGTAAATCTATCATTTTACATTGGGTTTCACAGGAAAAGTGTGTTAAGTAATTTTGACTGAGACAGACACTACATAAGAAAGAATTGGGTGAATCACAATTAACTTCATCATTTCATGCTCAACAGGAACATCTGGATAAAACACGAGAAGCTCTTTCTGAGTCTAAAAGGCTGAACCACTCTTTGACAGAGAAGACCCAAAACATTCAAATGAGTCAGGAAGACTCAGAGTTAAAATACTCAGAGCTGGAAAGACTTCATAACACACTGAAGGAGGTAGTTTAAACAAGGCAAGTGTGTAGATTTAGAATATGTATATTAATGTACACTTTGTGTTCCAGAGCTTGACACAGCGACAAAATGCAGACCTTGATGGCCAAAAGAGACTCCAGCAGCTCCAGCAAGAGAAGAATGATCTGCAGGAGAAAATAAAAGCTCTCCAAGGCGCCTTACAAAATGTTCAGAGCGAAAGGGCAGAGATGAAGAGGAAAGTTACACTGCTGAGTAAAGACAAATCAGCTCTGAGGAAGTCCCTGGAGAAGGTCAGACATGTAGCATCATGCAGTGGATCAAAAAAATGTTTTAATGATAATTTAAATTATTTTTTACTTATTAAAACACTTTACCCTGGTTAACATTATCACTTTGCTGTTTTTTTACTGTCATTATTGTTTTTACATTAGATATTATTTATATTTATATGAATATAATGTTTAAATCTTTTTCAAAGTCTACATATTTAGCAGATTGTCCAGCAGGGGATGCCAAGTCCCATTAAAGGAACTTAGATTACTGATATATGACTGGTCACACAATCACCACATGACTTAAGTTTCTACATTTTTCATTTGTAGTGCATAATGTATTGACACCACAGACTGTATAAAGAAGTGGACTAAGGGAGTGTGTTGTCACCCATAACATTTGGCTCCAGACAAATGAAGCTCACAGGAGCAAATTTGCAGCCAAATTAGATATCAGGAATAGGAACTAATTTACAGGCTCACTTCCACTTATGATTAACACTTATAATTAACACTGATACAGTATCTCATTAATTTGTGTACTACTGAAATTAAAATGACTTTCCAAACTGCCCCTTAGTGACCTGAGTATGTCACTCAGTGGAAAGGCAGGCTTTGTATTTCTAAACACCAAAACAAAGCAGTATTTGCTGCCATGACAGCAGCCACAGTGGAAGATGGATTCTTACTGCTACTGTATAGTTTAAACAGTACGCTGAGTCCCAGGACAACACCAGGCCTTAAGTCCTGAAGAGACCTGAAAACTCCCATAGAGTTATATGAGGTAAAAGATCTGAGGTACTAAAAGTTATGCAGCCAAGCCACAAAAGGCTTTAAATGCAATAAAATCATCTTAATGTCAAATCTAAAACTTTTGGAAGCACTTTTAAGCAAAGGGGCCAGAACTAGAGTAATATATGTATTTAAAGTAGTCAGAAGTCATTTTGCCACATTTTGGTGTCGTTAGAAAAGCATTAACACACAAAAATGACCATTTACCTTACATAAATCAAGACAGCGGGAGATCATTTGGATATCACATCTGATTTACTTCATATTAATAGGCTTTGTCACACAGTGCCTGGTGGTGGAAACATGTAGGTGGACTTTGAGAAGTAGTTCTTTGCTTGGCCTCTGCTACATGCATTATAAGACAGCACATAAAAGCAGGGCGATTATGGTAAAGTCGTTCAAGTTGTGTCACTATGTCGCTGTTGTCAGGTGGAGATGGAGAGGCTAAGGAAAGAGGAGGAGGTGGCAGCAGTGACCAGAGACAAGCAGAGACTGGGGGAAACTATCCACGAGCTGGAGCAGGAGATTACAGAAAAGCAGAGAGAAATGCAGGTTAGACTGGGACACAATTAAATATACTATACTTTTAATTCACAAATTATGTAAATGAAATAAAGTTACGTTAATAATAAAACATATGTTTTCCTGGAATTCCAATAGGGACCAGGACACTTAACAGAGCAATCTAACAACCAGAAAGACAGAAGTGTAGGGAGGTTAGAGACAATCACAAAACTGATGAGCTGAAGATGAGTCACAGTGAGCCACTGCAAAGTCCAGTAGAGCAATAAATCATTCATATTCTCACACATGAATTTACTATTGAGGTTCAAGTCATTCCATTGTTGGGTTGTAGAGAGCCTATGGATTATAGTCTACAACATACACAGAGTATCCATTCATATATCTGTTTGAGCTGTTCACCTAGAAACCCGTTGAACCCAGGTTCATGACCTCAGTAACCCCCACACCCCTCACTTACACTCCACCTCCACAGCAACAACAGAAGACAGTTTTGTTCAGTCTCTATTTTTACTTGGTGTAATTCACGTGCACAAATGCATGTATGTAATGCTTGTGTCCAGGCTCATATATCCCAGCTGGAGCATTCTCATGCACAGCGCCTCCTGGAGGTGACAGCACGACATCACCAGGAGTTGGACTTGGAGACAGAGTGTCTGAGAGCAAGCCAGCTCCAGGCAGAGCAGGCTTTAGAGAGCCGGGAGAAGGCCCATCGCCAGAGGGTCAGATGCTTGGAGGAGCAGGTATCATAACAAGAACAATGGTGCTTGCCATGAAAATACTGTAATCTTACCTCATTTTTTTTTTATTTTGCCGGTCAGGTATTGACTCTTAAAGAGCAACTCGATCAGGAGACACGGAGACGACAGTCCTATTTTCATCAGATGCTGCAGCCCGGCGTGTAGGCAGAAAGTATGTAGCACCTCCGACGCCACACTCACTGTTCCTATGGCAGACTCCCAGAAACGCTACATTACGAGCTACATCCACATTTGGGACACAAACAGCCCTCGGCACTTGCTCCCACCCATGCACATGTGCACACGGATTACATTAATCTGCAGAAAAACTTAACAACAACAAACAATGAGTGTTTTGTTTATGAGTGGACTGGATGTGCCAAATTGTTTAAGGATTTCCTCTGGCTCTCTACTGTTGGTGCTTCTAAGTCTGTTTATGCTGTGTCAATTTTTTAGGAAATCGTGTGATGAAAGATTTCCTTAGATGGTGCTTAACTCAACAGAATCATTTGTTTACTTATTGTCATCATGTTTCAGATGTCATTCATGATCAACAATTATGCTAAATATTTATATTTTAATTACAACATGAATAATAATGTGATCTATTATGGTAACAGGGTACCGCATATTTTCATACTTATGAACTTAATTACTGGTGAATGTATGATTGTTTTTAATAAAGCTGGGTGTATCAAAGCAGTTTTTGTTTAAAGCTTGTTGACGTGTGATAATCAATAACATTTCAGCTGGCCACAGAACTGTGTTATGGAAAGAGTTTGTCTGTGAACTTTGTGAAAGACAGCACTGCCCTTTGGAGGCATGTGTTTGGTTCACACCATTAAAAAAGCCTTTGTGGATTTAGTGTTGTGGGTGAGAAGATGACCTTCGCTCTCTGTTGCCAGTGCTGTCTCCAGTGTTGTCTCCCAGCAGATTCCCTCCACTCTCTGTGAAGATCCCCATTCCTTTAAAAATGTTTCTGGCACTCACTTTGTTATCCTTAATGACCCCAAAACTCAGAGATATTTGGTCTTCCCTGCACTGATTACATGTGCTATTTCCCAAGTGCTTAAACATCATGTGTAAGTATTTACTTTTCATTCCTCTCCCTCCATTTCAGCTGTGAGTGGTTCCCCTACAGCACTGCATGTCTTCTCACTGTGTTACCTTGTACGCCGCAGAAACTGTACATAGTAAGAGTTTTGAACCAGGGGGAAAATCCTGTCAAAGTTTCTTTAAAGCAGCCCTTTGATTATCATAGATCCACCCAGCGGTTATCCAGTTACCAGCCTCCTTTCAGCTATTGGCTAGAAAGAGCTAATTATGCAAGGTAGTGAATCCCTGTGGGGGAGGTGGGGCCAAAACTGAAAGAACTCCTTTGGCAGGCAGAATAGAGCTTTTATTGAGGATATTTCTAAGCTTGACCATCAGGGACCAAATCAGTGGATTGTTAGAAAAAAAAGAAAAAACATCTCCGCTGAATCACGCTTACCCTGCTTTTTTCATTCTTGCAGTGAGTCGGGAGTGGACCTCATGCAGCAGCAGGCAGTATGCAAGGAATCTCCAGTATTCCCCGCTTTGACAACACAAGCCCGGTTGACTTTTAAAGAACCAGTGTGGAGAGATAGAGAGCAGCCTGGGGAGCATTCAGACCAGCGTGTCTGAGAGTAGAGGAAGGTACTATTTCTCTGCCTGTGCCGCTCTGCTCTTGTAGCCTCAGGTGCGCGCTCCTCCCTCCACCCATCAGCACTGCATCATCCCAGGGGTGGATAGGGCCATGGTGCTGGTGGTTCTTCTGTCTTGCCTCTGCACCCTGCTCTCCCTGCTGACACCGCCCGGGGTGCTATCAGCCGTGCCCCTGGAGGACTTCTACCCCTTCGGACCGGACAAGGGGGACTCCCAGACTGTGGCTCAGGACGATGGAGGGTCCCGCTTGGTGGAGATTTCGGTGGCTTTCCCTTTCTTTGGAGACAAGCACACAGGACTCTATGTAAGTACGACACCAATGCCACCGGCTCTCCGTGAATGTTATTGCTTTTCTGTATGGCATTAAACCACTAATCTAAATCTGTCTCCATGGAGATAATAAGGTAACTTCTGCAGGGCAAATTACAGATCAGATCAGTGGAGAAGCATCACCACTCACAAATTCATGTTTTTCAAGCATTTCTTAGCAACAAAAACCTATGATGAAGTAAATGTGACATTCAGTAACATCTGACAAGCTGGTGACAGACCCTCCACAAGAAAAGTTACATAGTGCACCTTTGACTGTATGTAAATTCAGACCTAGTTTAGACTGTGTTCACTCTTTTACCGGTGTATGTTTAAATCTTAAAGTTGAAAGTCTAACCATAGCTTTGAAAACCTGTATTTTACATTATCAGTTCATTGAAATATCCAATAAGTTTATTTATATCAGAGTATCCCAAAAAGTCGCATTATTTTTATATTGTGCATCCACATTGCGCATGTGTCTGGATGTGTCAGCGTTTATGAGCGTGTGCATGCTTTTGGCAGTGGGAAATAGAAACTGACATGGTGTGGATTGTATAAGAGCCTCAGGGACATGAAAGTGGGCACACAGCCAAATACTACATTGCTTTGCCCTTTGAGAATTTGTATATGTTTGTATGTGAGTACATGTGTGTGTGTAACCCCATTTGAAGAATATCGCATTTTCCCCCCTCGGCTGGACTCATAACCATCTATAACCTTCTCCTTACTTTACATCTGCTCTCCCTGCACTGTAAAGAGCTCGCAGTGGGAGCGTAAAGCAGGACTATTAGGCGAACAGTGGTTAGTCCTGCTCTAATAAGTCTACAAAGAGCTGTTAAAGGAAGTGACAGTTTGTGTTCGCTCTGTTGCCGCGCAGCATCTGTGAGCAGTTGGTTCTCACAGAGTTGAGGGGGAAAGTATGCACGCTAGAGAGAGAGAGGGAACAGCGCTCATGGGAGGAAGCCCAATGGTTTGACAAGGATTTTCGCGCACCACAATGAAACACACTTTGATCTGCCTTTGTCATGTATTGGGTTCTGTTCCAGCTCGGGGAAAGGCAGAACTCCCTTAAATCAACACCACCTGTTGTGGTTATGCATCCCGTGCGCGCTCCATGAATCCCCCACCTCCTCCTGCCCTGAGCCAGGGGAGGCAGAGGATCCATGGCAACAATGGCCCGGTCAAAGGTTAACTTTCTAATATAAGCGTTTGTGCAATAGAATGAAGTCACTCTTCCAAAGAAGGACCCTCACACTGGGCTCTGTACAGTGACACTGTGGTGATGTGATCTAAACTCTCTAACCTTTCTCAGTGGCATTTCTATTATTGACATGTATCCCACTGACATAATGGCATAATATGTGTATGCTAAATATTAACAAAGGAGAGGTGAAAAGATATTTAGAAACCATTCCAAAGATATTTTTACCACTCAATAGAATCTGTAAAGCAATTGTATAGTGAAATGATCTTAGATTTTTTTTTATTTTAATGGGTCTATTAATCCTGTGTAATCACTTTTCACACCAAATAGAATAAGGATTTGTCCTATTGTCCATATCTGTCAACAACATTGATACTACATTGGTCTAAAACCTCAGACATAAGCAAGCTGTTTATAATTAAGAAATGTGTCAGCAAAAGCTTGTATCTTCAAGGGAGTAGCTACCATGTTTATACTAGGTTATGCAGATTACCCTGTGTTCAAAGAATGTGTAACACAGCTGTGCACTATAATTAATTTTCTTAATTTGCATTGGCATGTGTTTTGGCCTGAATTGCAACATTCCTGCTCTTATCATAAATCTGATATTCCAATTAGACAAGACAAGACAGGATACAGATTGTTTTTCTAGTGAATCCCCGATCAAATGTTCAGGTAATCAAGATACAAAGGCTCTTAATGCTGTGCAGCTTGAGATGTGATATCCCTCCTTAGCTCTGCATCTCATTGGGCTGTAACTTTGTAGTCACGCAGGGCATAACAGATTGTGGCAGGCACTTGAAATTACAGTCACGCTCATTGAAACGCCTCACCTGAATCCATTAAAACATCTGCTATAAAGAGCGCGGCCACATGTTGATCTCTGCCACGAGAGAGCCTTTACTGCTTTGAACAGGCAATATTTCAGCCAGTGCTAAGAGGCAAATTTGTATGAATAGTTTCTCTGAGGACTTCGGTTCAAGTGGACGGCAGCCACATGGAAGCTGCACATCCAGACTAATTGTGGACGGGTTGCGGGTGCTGTCTCATGGTATTATTTTGACTGATACCTCTTTAGCATGCCTCCTTTTCCTCTCAAATGCAATTAGATCCACTAAGCTAGCAACACAGTGGCAGTAATTTGCATTCGCAAGTTCTGCAATTAAGGAGAAATTGTAAGTAGCAGAGTTGCCTATCATTTGCTGTAAAAAGGACTGACTTAGTTGGATCTTTAGTCTTAGTCCTTGGCCCAATCCTGGTTAAGTTCATTGCAGTCCTAGCTTCAGACCTTGGGTTAAGTTTGGTATAGGCCTTGTTTAGATTTTGCTCTGGATTTTGTCTATCTGTGCATTTGTGATGATATGTTTTGAATGGTTGAAAGTCTTCAGGAAGCTGAAACCCATGATTCTAGATTTTTTGGTCTTGACCTGCATGATAATGAATACTTCTACTTACTCAGGTCAAGTTTGTTAAGATTTATTGTTGACATTATGTTAGAATATCCTTTAGTCAACCCCTAAAGTGGATCCACAAGCACACCAAGTTCCACTACTGCTAACTAGCCTGTTATCACCCCATATACCCCCCTCCGATCACCTCACTCCTACGCCTCAGATAAGACAATGGGGATCTTCCCAGCTGTTTTATCTGCAAAATGACCAATCGGTGTAACACAAGGCAGATGTATGTTCAGGAGGAGTTTCCAAACAACACCGGATAAACTTCAACTTATGTATAGAACAAGGAGGAGGACATCCGAGGTCAGAGAGGAAGGAACACAAGCTTTAAAGCAGATGTGAACAGAGAAATCATCAAAGGTATTTATTGTCAAATGAAAAAAAAGAGAGAAAATCTTATCAAATCAACTCCCTCTCCTAATTTATGGGCTCACCCCAAATTATCAACATTTATTCAAATTTAGCATATTTGAATTAATATATCTGAAAGTTGTATATTTTGAATCAAGCAGCTACATGTAAACAAAGGTAAAGTTTGTGCCAAGAATGTGCAATTGTAAACTGCTTTGGGAACATCTGCTAGTGCTCATCTGCCTCGCTCCAGATCTCCAACACTTGTGCAATTTCATTCACTCACTTCAGCTCGTCACCACTGCGTATAGGGCCAAGGATGCGTGCATTCATGATTCTTTGTACTCTGCTTGAGTGCATTTTACTCACCAGATGAATGACATGACTGCTATTACTTGCACAGAGATCTGGTTCACCATACAGAAGACATATGTGCCCATAATATGTTATCATTTTATCACTTTTTACAGGTCATGGTAGGATGGAGTTTATACCAGATGCTTCAGAACTGAGGCTGTGGTTTGCTACGCACAATTAGCTGCTAAACGTATGGATAACACAATACAGACTTCATGAATATAATTGTCTACCTCTCTCTATGGGGTATTCAGTCACTAGTTTTATGGTGTAGATAAGGTTAAGATAATTCCCCTGTAGGGAGATTTGTCCTTTCAATGCTGCTGGGGCAACCTGTCAAGAGCACCTGGCAACCCATCTCCAGATCATGAGCTTTGGGTTGATTTGGGGATCTGGAGTGCCTGGACTAATCCCACCCACCAAGACTGTGAGGCTATTTCCTTTGTTTTGTCAACTGTATGATTATATTTTATTGTTTTATTGTAAGATGTCATAATGATAAACCATTAGTCTTATATGTAGCACTCAGTTATTCAAATTTGCTTTATATTTTCAGGCATTATTCATTCATTCCTCATACTCCATAGAGGTGGGGTTTAGTATGTATTTATATAACTGCTGGTTGTCTTTACGTCCTCACTATGTAGTAGAATCATTCAAATAGTGTGTTTTTATTGTATTTACTTGTATTAGACAGATTTCAAGAATGACCTTTTATAGACTGACTCGTGTCTAGCAACTATTATGTAAAATTATGTGATATTAAGCCATTTGATTTCTTTATATAGACTTTGAGTGGTTAGTGATCATGGTTTTCAACTATTTGATTTGGGTTTGTTTGTGGTAGTTGGATGCCCCTGTTCAGTTATTCCCTGTTTTGTTGATGTTGTGCAGCCACCAAAAATAGTCACATTTTTAAGCGATCATCCTGGAAACCACTTAGTCAGGGCTCTCTACTTCCAGTTGATTTTGAAAAGTTTACATTGCAAACATCCATATTTGCTCCTCCACTTCAGCTTGTTCTCCACTCCCTCTGAGTTGGACTGGATTTATGGCTGATAAAAGTGAACCTAGGTTAAGTGCACACACACTGTCAGGGCCTGGTCTCCTCGTCATGTAACTGGACAAGCTGGTAACTGTGAGCCCTCCTTTTTGACAAGGCAGACTGATGTTTTCCTGACTTGATCCATGGGCACCTTTTCATTGAGGTTTGTTTTGGCCTGAGTTTAGCCAGATGAAAGTTTATTTTAGCCCATAAATTGCTGGGCTCTTAAGAAAACCACCCAAGCAAAATCCTGCATATATCCGGCAAAGAATTCCCCAGACATAACAAGGGTGTTGTGGAGTGAAGGGGCAACATGAAATATGGAGAGAGTGATGCTTTGTGCTGGTAGACAGTTCACACCCAGGTTCAAACACTGGTCATGTTCTAATGGTGTAGTAAAAAGCTGAGCATTGCTTATTAGATTTCTAATGTACTTACCTGCTCTTTCCTGAAACATGTATCTAACTAAAAACACTAATGCTTATGAAGACAGTTGTACTGGTGAGCTTGTAAGGATTTGTTTATTCTTTTGACTTTGCCTACCTACAGTATGCCTGGAATGCAAACAGTATCATAGGGTACTGTGCAGTTAAAATAGATATAGATTTAAGACATGAATGAGAAAAAGTGGGATATTTAGTTGTTCCAATATCGATATTGGAGATATCAGAGTTTCCCCCAGATATCAATATACAATATTGAAAGCCTGTGTGTCAGTCTCAAATTTGAATAGACTATTGAGTAAAAACTGAAATAGAAGAGCAGTTAGGCTAAAAAAAATAAATAAAAATAACTCAAATAAATACATTTGTTAGTTGAGATAGTGTATTCCCTCATTTGTCCAGGAGTTGTTCAATGTAGAGACAGTTTTTAAACAGCAATTGAAAATGGTTTCTGGGTGAGAACTGAAAGTCTTGATTGCAAAAACATTGTCCAGATGAACACCATTAACTTGTGAACTTTCCTATAACCCTAATATACAGTAAGTAGTGGTTAGTGTATAATTAACAATATAGGGCACCAACATCTAAAGACCTTAATCAATTGTAATTTACTCCTAGCAAATAAATGTGAGAAGGATTAGTCTTCTTTCTTAGGCTTTCAACTAAATGGGAACTGTCTTGAGATTCTGTGTAAAGTAAGGGCATTTCACATTCTGTGTTATGCCATAAGGTCAAACCAATGTTGAAATATTTTTCTAAAAACTCAACAGGGAAGACGTATGCTTGTTTAAACAGCCCCAGATGCTACAAGAAATTGGATTAGGCAATAAAATGTACCCCCTGATCGGAGTATGAAGTGTATTTCTTGTAGAGCTTGATCTCTTAACACTAATTTTGTTGTAAGATGGATGCCTTCCCAACCGCTGCCACCACAAGTCCCTCATTAGTGGCATGTGGGTGTGTAGAGTTAGCGCTTCACGGACATCTTTTCATCCATCCCGCCCCTATGTTTTTGTATCAGATGGTGTTTTGGCTGACCCCTGGACTGGACCTCCTCTACCCACATCGGGCCACGCTCTCGCCACATTTGCGCTGATGCAGAGGGGAAGGCTGTGGTCGGGCAATTAACTGAGCTCCGGTGCTGTGCCAAACAAAACTTCCCTTTTTGTTTTTACTGTAAAATCCTTCAAATTATGTTTTTAGACTTGCAGGAAGTAAGGGCCAGCCCATCTGATGTTGCTTTGTCACAGTAACATTGGGCACATTGAGGGGTAAAGTTCATTCGTGATATCAGGAGAAACTGGATACTACCATAGTGGGAATAATGTTGCTTGTAAAAGGCAGAGATGATGAATGAATAGCTTTCATGAACTGCACTTTAGGTTTGTGTGAAAACAATTATTTATACTCAAATTTGACACCTTATTTTGGATACTTGTGTTGTCAGTTCATATAGAGATAGCTAAATACAATTTCCAATCTAAGTCAGATTCCTCATTGTTGGAAATATTCCAGAAATGTTAAACCACTGAATAGGGCCAAATGATTCCCAGAATATACTAGAATTGGCCTCAGATGACCCCATTACAATTATGATCCACCCATTTGCTGTGTAGGAGCCATAATATGCCATATAATATTGTTTACTTATAACTGGCACCACCTACTCTGGCTGATTTTGGAAAAAATTTGCAATACCTCTTTTATTCTCTTCAGAGTGCAAATTGCGAGCCCAAACTGAAAAAAGACTAAAATATAAACTTCTAAACTACAAGCATGACATGCATTTCAAAACATGTTTGTAGAGGTCTAAACTTCAAGGTCAGTAGAGTTTTATAATTTTACATAGGAAATTATATTACTTCAATAAATTACAGGTAATTGCAATTCTATTCGGTTTAGATTAATCTGCATTTTGTCGATTAGGCAAAATAGGAAACACGTTTTTACTGTGGTTTATTGTGATCAAATTAAGTCTGACCACAACTTCCAGAGCTTAAAACAACTGAGATAAATTGTGTTGAGAGAGATATCCAATGTAAACCTTAAGTCATTATTCAATTTATTGAACATTCAAAACGAAGAACATAAAATACCAAACATTTTTCTTTGTGAATTTTAGTAAGTTCTCTGAATGACCTTAATTCTGTCTTTCTGTAGCTGCCTGTTCCTCTGCTCTTCTGCTAACAGTGCATTTCTCACACAGCAGTCATGTGGGCGAGTGGAGGATGGGCGCGTTTATTTGGTTACTCTGCTGTTAGCACACATCTGTGGATTTAAAGGTCCATGAAGGTCTTCTCCAGTGCCATGACTTCACAGGTGTCCCGGCAGCTCAGGCCAGGTTTTCTCATTTCTTCGAATAAAAGTCACGCCTGTTTGTTACACAGGAAGTGCAAACATCCGTTATGGGAACATCCAATACCTCACAGTGCAGTTTGCCAGTCCATTTGACCACTTTTGTCAATGTTTTAGTGAACATACTGTCCATGTTTTTGTTTGTCCTAATGCTGGATTTACTGTTTGGTTTGTTTGGAGTTTGTTGGAGCTTGATAGCTCTTTAAAAGTACAGAATATAGCTTTTCTGGTGGAGTGTCTCACTGCTTATCTCTATTCAGATGTTATTTCTTTCCCTAATATATTCCATAGTGTACCAATAAACTTACCAGTTTTACATGAATTCACTTAGGGTCGTCTCTCCACAGATCTAACCTCTAACTTGGCTTGATTACATTACCTGAGAAAAGCAAATGTTGTATCCTCTAGAAAAGTTAAATTTTACTAATCAGCAACATTTACATAATTTGAGGTGTTAATTTAATTGTGAATCTCCTCTTTCCAGGTTAACAACAACGGCCTGGTTTCTTTCCTGAGGGAGGTTTCTCAGTTCACACCTGTAGCTTTTCCCATCTCTGGAGACCGGAGGGTAGTGGCACCATTTTGGGCCGATGTAGACAACCGTCGCGCTGGAAAAGTGTTTTACAGAGAGAGCCTGGAGTCGGACATCCTGAACAGAGGTTCTAATGATGTTAGGACTTACTTTTCTGAGTTTCCAAACTTCAACGCTTCATGGATCCTCATCTCCACGTGGTACAGGGTTACTTTCTTTGGAGGCAACTCAAGAACACCGGTACTGGATTTTAAAAATACTATATGAGCTCTTGACTGATATGTCAGAAATTAGCTGAGCCTTTTTATTTCTTTTTTATAGGTCAATACATTCCAAGTGGTGCTCATTACCGATGGAGAACTTTCTTTCACCATATTCCAGTACCATAACATCACGTGGACTACAGGCATGCACGCCACCAGTGGAGGGAACCGGGTGGGTTTGGGGGGCATTGCAGCACAGGTAAGAGCACAGAAAAGAAGAATTAAGAAAATGTATGGTATAACTCTTGCTAACATGCAAAAAAAAATTCAAATAGATTCTCATTGCTAGACTAATTACTACTTATTTCATACTATGGATAGTGGGGCATTTAGAGTGTGGTTAATGCCTAAAACATTGAGACTGTAGTAGTTATTTATGTTCAGAACAATAATTTTCTTTCTCTCATTGTGCTGGTCTTTTCCTAGGCAGGTTTTAATGCTGGTGACGGAAAGCGCTACTTCAACATCCCTGGCTCTCGCACAGCTGACATTGTGAACGTAGAAGGCACCACCAATGTAGGATTCCCAGGCAGATGGGTATTTCGGATCGATGATGCAAACGTGGAAGTGGGCAGCTGCAATAATTCTGGTGAGCCAAGATAGACGACTTTATTATAGTCTATATTTGACTGCTTCTGTTGTTTTGTGGACTCAGACTTGTCTCCTGTTATATATCAGGAAGCAGGATATTGATCGGTATTGATGCAAACTTTTCAAATTATGACTAATGGCTGACCATAGTATTTGGTTTTGCACACAGTGACATTGGGTATATGTTTTTTGAATTGTCTTTTAATGTTGACCAATTAAAAATACTATAAATACAACTTGCTATATATTTAATAGACTTTAAATTATCTTTTCAGTTTAGGTATGTTTAGTTTATTAAATTCAGAGACAGTTTAACATTGTTTATTTTATCTGACCTAATACAAAAGTGAAATGCTTTGGAATTCAATATTTATTATTATAAACTATTCAAAGTCATTTTTTGTTTTGAACTAGACTTAACCTCTAGAAAACCTTTTCATGCATTTACCTACCGTGAATTCCTTTTTGAGTGATTCTTGACTTTTGGGTGACTGGTCTTGGAGGTAAACAATTAAATTAAGTGACTCATTTAAACACATCCAGTGAGATTGTGCTTTCGCGTAATTCGTGACGCTGAAGGATTGCTCTGAAGAGTGCCATTTTTCCACAGCCTCTGTTTGCCCACACTTGCGTCCTTGTTTGAATGGTGGTCAGTGCATTGATGACTGCATCACGGGAAACCCCTCCTTCACCTGCTCCTGTCTGGCCGGATTCACTGGGCGGAGGTGCCAAATCGGTGAGTTATGGCTAATGCTACTTCCTGCCTTGTTTAACTTGACACACTACACACTGTGAATTGATACTGATGTTTCAAATAGGATTAGCCAGGAAAAATACTATCAGCTTGTAAAAACAGAACGATTTTGTGTGCCTTGCCAGAGGGACACATTGACATATAGACTTTTCCAAAGGCTTTGCATAGTTGCCGAGTATCAGTTGCATTTTTGAACTTTCTAGGAACCCTTCAACCTGGTCAGATGTTTGTTAATTAAAAAGGACTTATTTGGTTCATTGTTATCCTGTTTTAGATGTCAACGAGTGCGCCTCCAACCCGTGCCAAAACGGAGGAACGTGTGAAGACCAGATTAACAGTTTTGTGTGTCAGTGTCTACCGGGATACACTGGAGTCCGCTGTGAAACTGGTAAATGTGACTCTAAAAACTGGGTCATTTAAATTATGGGATATGCTTAAAATGTGGAGGGCATTTTGTAAAATAAAAAAAATAAAAAAATCAATGTACAAAGGTTTTAGCTGCCTTTATACATGTATATATTTTTTTTTTATTTACTTATTTTTTGTTTGACTATTGCAGAATTGCTGAATTTCTTGTCAAACTTGTCACTAGTTTTGTCCTGGGAAAACAAGAAAAGAAAATTACTCAGAATGTCTGTCCTTTTTGTCATAATCAAACACAATTTCAATTTGATTTGATTTGATCTTAGTAGAAACAAATAAAATTATCTTTCAGTATTAATTTCCTTAAGATGAAAGGTCCTGTATTACACAAAATGGATTCTTGTGAGCTTTAAGGCATGTTGTAATGCTGTTACTTCCTCAAAAATGTGCGCAGAGTCACAAAATTTTTCCATATGATTTTAGGGAAGTTGTATGGAGTTTAAAAACCTAGTGGAGCACTTTCTGTATTACCACGTAACATCACAAGGTGGAATAGAGTGTTCCACCTTGTGATGGAAATCAGATGGACCTCAGCCTAAATATGAAAGATTTGTGTGTTAAACATGTGCAAATGAATCAAAACACATCTCTGGGTATTTTAACAATGAGGAAAGAACAAATTATAACAAAGATCAGAAAATATTGTAATAAAAATACAGTCTTTTAATCATTGACATTTAGTATAACACATTTGAAATGACTCAATCTTGATTTAAACTGAATTTGTTGCACTGCTTAGAATAGTTTTAAGCATTTCAGATTAAGAATAGAATTATTTGTGTGCATGCAATCCTGCTTTTTTGCAACAATATCAATGCTCATGCTGTGGGATGTTCAACATCAACAAGTTCAACATCTTACCATCATTGTGTTGTGCCCCATTTCACTATAAAAGCTTAGTCTCTAGAATTATGGTAAATATTTATATTAGTCAAGAATATTCTAAAGACAAACTTTGATTCAAATTAGACTCTACAGCTTGGGAACTAATGTCTACCTCTGTGTTTCAGACATCGACGAGTGCAAAGACAAACCCTGCTTCAACAGCGCCCAGTGTGTCCAAGGAGTGGGCAACTTCACCTGTGTGTGTGAACCCGGATACACCGGGCTCCTGTGTGAGATTGGTTAGTATGATATGTTATTTGTGTATTGTTATATAGTATTAGATTTAATTTATTATGATGAGATTTAGCTACTGCGCTGAACCTTTATTTCAGTAATATAGACTAGGCCAAAGCAGCGTATGTATTTTTTTTGGTTATTTAGGTTCACATCCCTGTAAAAACAATGTGTATGCAATAGGTTCTGAAAAATTATGTAAATTCCAATGAGAGCAGGAGCAGACATTTATTTGGCAAATTGTCAAGCCATCAACATTTTTTCCTTAATACAGATTCATTTGGTAGAATTATAACTATGCATTGATACATTAGGTTTATGGCTGAGCTGATAGACACATATTATTTCCATGGGTCAAATAGAGCAGCAGCAGTGAATTACTTGGTGTAATATTTCCGAGACCTCATCTTTTATCTAGCTCCTTATGGAGTTATTAATGAAACCCAAGACTCCCAGAGGAATGAACTGATCAGGCTTTGAATCCGTGTTCGTACATGAGACCGGATTAGTCCTAATACAGCACACCTGGTCAGTGAAACCCAATGCTCTCTGAAGGGAAGCTCACGGTGTTTAATCCTGGGACCTGGAGAGTGAACTGACAGATTCTTCTTTTCTCTGGACATTTGTGTTTCTTACAGACATAAATGAATGTGACTCGCAGCCCTGCCTGAACGGAGCAGAGTGTGTTGACCACGTGACCAATTTTACCTGTGTATGTCCAGCAGCCTTCACAGGACCCCTCTGTGAGACTGGTGAGCTCTTACCTCTTTTACTGTAGTATTTTTGGTATAATAATTACACTATTTGCAGCCTTAGCAAGGACTTATGAATAAAGACTTAAGTCATAGTGAACAAATTGTTTATTGACAGTGATTCAGGCTTCGTAATAACTTCATTTGGAAGTTTGGGTTAGGAGTTAAGGGTTAGATTATAAATTAAGTAATTACTAAACTGGAATCAAGCATGAAGACTTAATTCGTAATGAGTATTTGTTCATTATTAATTAAGTCTTCATGCTTTATTATGGTAAATTATGGTGTAGTTACTCTAATATGTCTCCATATATATATTTTATAAACAAGCACGATCTTATACAAACATAAACTGTGACATTTGATTGATTTCATTAAAAAAAAAAAAAATCACTTAGTTAATAGACTTTTCTACATTTCCAAAATAAGGCAAATGTTTTGTTTTTTTTTGATATCAAGACTACTGGATTGGTGCCAATAGTTTTTTTCAGTAAATACCTGTGATTTTATTTCCCCACTATATAATTATAAGTTGTTTACAAGTTCAGATGAGGTTGCCAAAATGTTATTCCAACAAGGTGTCAAAATAGCTGATTAGATAGCTGTTTTATGATAAAATGTGTTTACTTTACTCTCACTTAATGCCAGGGCTAATGTTTCTCGGTCAGAGTTTGTTGTAAAGCATTTTCTGATTTGAATGACACTTTAAGCACCGTCTTGTTTTGCTTGTCCTTACAGAGCTTGTAGTACTTGAGGTGAACACGACCGAAGCAAATAACCAAACAGGTAAAAACAAGTACAGAGACTTTGCCCTTTACTTTTCATTGCACTCTGTTGGCACCATGGATCAATAATTCTAACCTTCTAATCTCTCAGTGTATCAGATTTAAGTGCATATGACAGATTAGAATAAGTTTTCATAAGTACACTTTTTTTTATTTTAGTAAAGTTTATAATTTGACTTCTTGGTTTGACATAGGGCAGCAGACCTGACATGTAAATTGTCTTTGTATCTTGGACAGAATTTTAAGTGTTGATGACATATGTTGATGTATTTTATTTTTTCAGCTTTACTACCTGTATTTCTGTAATTTTTTTTTTCCCACAGACTGCCACGTAATTGAAGTAAAACTATGATAAATATTTGCCGCAGGTACTATCCCACCAAGCCAAGTAATAATTGTGAAAAAACCTGGCATATGCACTTAAATATATTTAAATATAAACACAATTTGGAGCAATAAAGAGATACCACCAAATAAGTATAGACAGTAATGACCATTTGGACCAGAACTTCCGTCTGAGAAGTACTGACTGAAACAAGCACTTTTGCCTGCTACTGTTTTCATGATTTGAGGTAGTGACCGTTGTGGAGCTCAGGCACAGGGGCTTTTTCTGCTGCAGCGTGGCAGGTAGCAGGCAGACTCGGGTATGTGGAGAGGAGCCGTGTTATGCCACAGGAATTTGGCCTGGTGCCCTGGAAGAGGCTGCTGTGCTGATGGATTATTGTAATTATCAAAACTGACACAGCCTCACCCAGTTTACTACCACAACCTGGAGTAGCAGCCGCTTGATGTTGCAAATAATCACTTTATTAGCACATTTTATTAGTTTACCATCAAAGAGGAAATACGTTGTCTAGACTTAAGTTGCCATTTATGAGTCAAAGCCTGTCTATGGCATTCAGGCTATTTGTGTGGACTGAACTGCTGAAATATGCATGCTCCACACTGCTGCTTACTTGCTGGAAGTTGGCCATGGCACTACACTTTCAAACACAGCTGCTTCTTGCATAATCATTGCACAATTTGTTCACAAATATGAGGTATGTTATTATCCTACCTCAATCCTCATACCTTCCATTCATAAAAGATTATATTAGGGCATTATACTTGTTTTTGGAAAGAATTACTGGAGTTGTAAGTAGTACACTCCAAAAAGTAATAGTTTACATCAGATTAATAGTATTAATGTAAGTAGTTTTAAGTAGTTGAGATTTATCTACATGACAGACCTAGATTATTTGACTTGTTTCAAGATGCTTCTGTCCATAGCACATTGCAAACAGACATTTGGTAACAATGTTTAAAAGATTCTGAGTTGTTGCCTCATCAAAAACATGTCTGAAGAGGTTTTAGATGTCATCCATGCATGTTTGAGTATTTTAGCAATCTCTCCCGGGCCCTATTCAAACCCTCCTTACGGTTAACTGTAAGATTTAGTCCAATGCTCAGCCCACATGACTACGTCATCCATGCTCCCACATGACAATTCTCCATAAATATACAAAAACATGATACAAAGCTGTACATAGCAACTTAAAAAACGATGTGCGATGTGCATTTGTTTTTGTAGCGGGATGCACACTGATTGTGTTGTGATAATGCTCTGAAGGGGGAGTGACTTAGTGGGGGGAGCACAGGTAGGTCAGTTTCAGGGCAGCAAAAATTCTAGTGAAACTTACAAAATGCAGTTTGCTGCAAATATAGTATTTTCAAAACAATTAAAGGTGATGGTTAAATCTAAATATGTTATGTGTTAACAGTTAATACCCCACAGAAATAAAATACCTCCTCTTTAAACAAAAGCTGAATGGACCATAGAAGTGAACAGAGCAGGAATGTTACTGTATACTTGTGTTTGTAAGATTTCTCTGCATGTTTGTTTCTGTTTCTGTCTTTTTATTTTCATACAACTCTTATTTGTTGCCTATTTAACAGTTTCTATTTTAGAATATGTATTTGATGGGTCCCCCAAACAGCAATATGTTTGATAAATCTCCCACGTCTATGTCATATAAGCACTTAAATCTAACCAAGTCACTTTAACCATGGCTAGATATTCATTTTTGAAGTGCACTTGTCAAGCTATGATTACAGTTTCCCTCAAAACCTCCTTAATAGGATTTGAGCAATTGCAAATGTATTTTGCTTCTCACCCTTAAGCTGAAATAACTATTACAGCTTATATAGGCTCTCTTAAATCCCCCACATACTTTCCTGCCTGGCTCACTTGGACAGCACTGCGGAAAAACAACACTATCCTCCGAGGAAGAGAAAGTCGCGGGACACAGGAGCTCCTAATCAGGCCGGATCAAAAGGGCCGACCTGCACAGGTGGCTAGTGAAAAGTGGCTCTAGCAAATTAACAGTGCATTTATTGCCCCCAAGGTCTTGCGTGTTGGTCACAAAATATGCTCTTTATCATCAGAAAAATAAAACCCTCCACCACGCTGCCGGGACTTCAAACAAAAGGCATTTAGCTGCGATACGGCTGCCTCCTTTGATCCACTGCTGCAATTAGGAAGTAGAGGAAAATAAAAACATTCGTACAATTTGCACGCAGCGGATGTGCATTGCTCTGACTTGTAATCTTCTGCTCTTGTGAACTTTGTTGGGAAAGATGAAGGAAAGAGGGATGACAGTGAATCAATATGAGTTTACAGAAGAGCAGATGAAAGAAGCGGCGCATCTGGAGCCTATGCTGACGGGGCAAACTCTGTGCATGTTTACCCTACGACCAACCCCCCAAAACGTAACATTCAAGAACAGAGGCTACTTTCAGAAATGCAGTGTACCTAAAGGTGCACTTTTTAGTGGAGGGTCTGCCACCTGCTTTTCTCCATGGAGATCACACCTTGTGGTTGTATTCCATGATATAGCCTTACCAATCATTGTTCAACTACAGATGTTTCATACAGGGTCTCCTCTCCACTGATAAATCAGCCTAACTGCATCACATTCTTGCCTCCATGGAGAAAGATAAGTTTGTGGAACATTCCAGGCAAAACAAGGACTTCTACATTAACAATAACACCTGCAGCTTAGAGCACCTTCGAGTCAAGCTTAGATATCTAATAATATTAAAAGTAAAATCCACACAGATTGTTCAAGTCATCTCCTAAATTTATGTCTCATTGTTGTCAAAAATAAACAAATTGTGGATAATTTATGTTTTTTGTTGCTTATAGTTTCTGTGAATGTATTTGTGTGTTCTCTCTGTGTAGTGAATACCCAGCTTAGCACAAATATTTGCTTTATACATGTTGGCAATAATTCTCATTGAAATAAGAAGCATAATAAACATCTTGAGACAATAATCTAAATCCCAAATGTAAATACATTTCAGCTTGTCAAACTATAGCCTACGAATTGAGATGCAACTGCCGTGTACATAAACCATCTAAAAAGCGCCCTTTGAATCTTTTGTTTATAGCCCTCTGTGTGTCTCTGTGTGTCTCTGTGCAGAAGAATGCCTTTGTCAGAACGGTGGCGTCTGTGTGGACCTCAATGGGACGTGTGAATGCCCCGCAGGCTACACTGGACTCTACTGTCAGTTTGGTGGGTATTATCTGCTCACAGTCTTATCCTCTCAAATATCTCACTACACCTTTGATCAAAACATCACAATCATGTCCTCTCAGAAGTAACCCATACTCCATGCAGTCACAGCCGGCCCTGTCCCGACGGCGGCCCCTGTCTGGAGTATGGAGGGACCTACTTGTGCACATGTCAGACCAGCGGGCCAGAGCTAGACCACAAAGACTACTACCCCTATGGTAAGGACCTCGGACCAACACAACAACAGGGCATTTTGCACATATGTGTGATTGGCCTCAGCTGACGGTTACTATAGCAACCAACTCATTTTTAAACCTGGTGTCACTTTCTGTTTAGAAATGGCTCCACATAGTTTACATCATCCAAACAAGGCCTGTTCTGTTAGTATAGGGTATATGGTGAGAATGTCCCTTCAATCATCTTAGTTCACTTTTGCTGACTTTGTGCCATTTTGGTTCATGTATACCAACGATGTAGACCCTACATTTTTACCATATTTAAAATAAACTGGGTCAAAACTGGCACTGACAGCTAAGCCAAATTCTGTCATAGAATTCAGGCCTCCTTTCCACCTTAATTGTAAACTAACAAGTCTTTAGTATGTTCTTCTGATGTTATTAACTAACCATTTGTGAATCAAACCCACAGTCATGTACATTGTTTTGCTATAACCTGACATGTATGGTTACAAATTACTTACAACAAAGTAATTTAATATACAATTGTCAATTTTAAATTCTCATTTAAGTCCCAACCCATCAGTTTGAAATCACTGGTAATTTTGCACTGTGGTATCTCGATTTGACTGAACGTACTTAATATGACTTCACTGATTCATTATATTCTTTTGCTTTGGATCCTGTCATATAATATAATATGACTATAGCTTAGGTTGTTTTGTCTATGCCCTGGGACACAGTCAAGTGTCTGTATGTTTTTCAGTACAGCCCCAGTCGGTGTGCGACTCGTCTCCGTGTCTGAACGGAGGCTACTGCTACGAGCGAGATGGAGGCTACAGCTGTGAGTGCAAGCATGGATACTGGGGCAAGCACTGCCAGAAAGGTAACTTCACTTGAGAAACCTAAAAATGTATGTTAATGTTTCCATTTCACACAGCCCATGTTTCATGCATTAGTGAAAAATACTTGACGGTCCTGTATTAGGTAAAATTTACAGGTTGAAATTAAAAGCACTTTAACACTAATACTTACCACATAACATCACAAGGTGGAACAGAGTGTTTTCAGTTTGGAAAAGAGAACACCGCTTAAATATGCAGAGTTTGTGTGTTAAACATGTCAGTGAAACAAAACATAGCTCCAGGTATGTTTCTGAAGAGGAAATACCATTATAACAGATAAGAAGATTGCGTAATATGGGCCCATTAATGAAATTTTGTACACACAAGAGAAAAGAGATGCATGTATTCTGCAGTATTTACTGATGGACAAGCCAGATTTCTAAAGTATGCATACAGATGGCAAAATCTGTTAGTATTAGAATATACAGTAGTTCATTTTGAGGTCTGTTTAGTGATTTGTACCTTATTTACACTTAAAAAATATGACAATGGAAAAACATAATTAAGTGACTCAATAAAAACTCTAAAATGTCTCCAGGCCAGTTATAGTGGGCTATAACTCAGGCTTACCCCTAGCATTAGTTTTATGCACCAGGAAGCGCGCCATAACTCGTAATGCTGTTTGAAATGTTCCATAGCTAAAAGGCTTATGCTAATAAGTACTTAAGAGTAACTTATGGGCTTCTTCCTTGAATTATTATTTTGAGATGAAATTTACTGAAACTGATGTATTTAGTGCGATTCAATATTTCTGATTTCTTCTTCTTTACAGTTAGACTCAATACCTGTGCCGCTTTGCCCTGTCGAAATGGGGGCACGTGTAAAGAAGAGCACGGGATGTACCACTGTGTGTGCCCCTACCGGTTCACTGGGAAGCACTGTGAAGTCGGTCAGTGACTGCAGACTCAGAATGTCCAAGAGAAGTGGGGCGATATGTCCTTACAAGATTTTACCAAAATAAATATTCAAGATTAGACTATTATCCAATCTATTATGTAAGATATTTGAACCTCATTCTAGGCAGCATAGCATACACTATGTTTGAATGCAAAAATATTACATTAGTTATTAAAAGAATATCACCCACCTCTACAGCCCATTTATAGTAATTTCCTGTGGATGGATGCCTACAGTCCATAATGTATTGTGTCCTTCAGGAAGACCAGACCCCTGCTCCTCCAGCCCGTGTCTAAATGGAGGAACGTGTTTTCATTACATCGGAAAGTACAAGTGTGAGTGCACAGAGGACTTCTTTGGGAGACACTGTGAGATCAACATGAGTCTGACACACGCCTCCCCTGGTGAGACTGCGTATTTTGTATGAATGACATTTTGAATGGCTTACTTGATATTGGTATATTGTCTATTTGAATGTCTAAAATGGCAGTTCTACCATGCTCACACTAAAAGGTTGAAACTGAACATAGTTATTAATTCTTTGCTTACATGGATCTCTTTGTGACTCAAGATTATCAGTGTTGTTGTTGTATGGAAATTTTAAAATGATTGGTTTGGTTTGGGTAAGGAGTTGTGCACGATTGTTGTTTGCATGTCCTGCATACGTCAAACGGTTCTCCTTTGTAACTATTAACCCTTACAACTGTTACCCAACCTAGCATCCCATAGCACTGTTTAACAAAATCTGGTTGTGTTTCAGATGAGGGCTGTGGAGACCCGCCACATGTTGAACATGCTGAAGTCCACTTCTCCAAAACCACCCCAGGCTCCATGGCTGTGTACATCTGCCATTCAGGCTTCCAGCCTGTGCCCCGTGCCACTCAGAGCATCTGCGGTCTGCAGGGAGACTGGAGTCAGCCCCCTGTCTGCGAAGGTCTGTCTATACAATAACAATACAATGAGTTTACCTGCATGAAGGAAAAATATATTACTGTCATGCTCTCTGACTTTACAGTGAACAACTAGAAAAATAAGGTGTACTCACTTTTATACCAGCAAAGACACTTTCCTTCATAGCAGCTTGTATTCCATTGTTTTGGTACATTGTCCTATTCTGTCCTCTGTTTATAATGTTAATGCTTTCTCATAGAGATTAATGAGTGCCGCTCACAGCCCTGTTTAAATGGAGCAACGTGTCGGGACCAGGTGGGGTCCTTTCTCTGTGAGTGTGAAAAAGGCTTCAGTGGAAACCGCTGTCAAAATGGTACAATGCAAGTGTAATTCAGACTTTTATTATCTACCAAAGATATTGATGAATTATTATTTCTGCAGCTGTCAGTCAGTGCTCATCGGACACATGTAAGAATGGAGGCACTTGTGAGAATGAGTCTGGCTCGTATTTCTGTCACTGTCCTGCAGGATTTAAAGGACTGCACTGTGAAAAAGGTACAGTACTTTACTTTTGATATCTGAAATACTTATGTATATCGATGTAAAGATAACAGATGTGTCCTGTGTGTGTTTGTGCAGAGCAGGATGTTTGTGACTCCAGCCCCTGTTTAAATGGAGGAGTGTGTCGAAGCTACAGGAGAAACTATCTGTGTCTGTGCAAGGAGGGCTTCTTTGGAGATCAGTGCCAAATGTGTAAGCAGCTTCATTTCAAGGTGTCCTGCATGGCTGAATGTGTTCGACCCTTGGCTTGATTTTTTAATTCAGTCAACTAGCTCTTTAACCAACTAACTTTTTAACTAAACTTCCAGCCACTGTCCAAATAATTTATAACTCCAGCTGTCCTTTTATATGCCCACATACAAAGAACAATATAAAATCTGGCAAGGGAATCTGATTTTCGAAAACCAACCATCTTTCACATCAGTTATATGCGTTTGTCTCCCCCTAGTGGAAGACCCCTGCGTGCTCAACCCTTGTGGAAACCGTGGCCTGTGCACCAGTGACAAAAGAGGCAACTACAACTGTGTGTGCAACGTGGGGCACACAGGGAAGGACTGTGAAAAAGGTAAGGGTGAATGTACACTCCTCAAAGCTTGTTTTGGCAAACAACAAAATAATTATTTAGTGGGATAGCCTTTGGGGAGTGATCAGCTTTTGTGTTTTGATGTGTGATTATTTGATATGAAGCTGAACACCCTGCTTCTGTGTCGTAAGGGCCTCTGAGTATATAATTTTTTCAGTTTTAGTCATTTAAGTTGTTTTATGTGGTGTGCTTTAATGTTTAATATACATCTTTATGCTATTTTTGTGTTATTTTCTTGTGAACACTAATGTAAAATGTACTTTATAAACCAGGATTAATATGGATATGATATTCTCAGACCTCCTGCCACCTTCTGGTCTCCGTGTGGTGCGTGTGGAAGAGAGTGAAGTGGAGTTACGATGGGATCCTCCTGAGCCCTCTCAGAGCCTGGTCAGTGGGTTTGCAGTGAAGTACGCTCCTCTGGGGCGTGGCAGTAGAAAGACTGACTTGCTGGACCGAAGACAACACACCCACGTCATGAGAGGTCTGCTGCCTGGGCTCCTCTATAACATCTCCACCCTCTCCCTCAAACACAACATCAACAACAGCGACTACAGCCGGCCTGCCACCGCACTCATACGAACCAGTGAGAAGCTTTTGTTTATTCTATACAATATAAATGGTCAATGTAGGATGGCACAAAGAGGCCTGAAAGAGCTGCATGGCCAGGTAGATTTGTAAAATAAGTATCGAATAAGAACATGTAAAGGTTAAGTAGGCTAAATTGATAAAAACTGAATTCTGAATGTATGAATAAACTAATAATAATTGATACATTTACAACAGCACCAACGTGAAATAGGCTAAATATTGAACATTAAAATAAGTTATGTAAAATTGCAAGACATTATATTATTTGTTTAAGCCACTTAAATTAGGACTATAGTGAACCTTTGAGTAACTATGAAATTACTGGAAAATTACAAATAAATGTATTGTATTTGCTATAGCTTATGTAACAATTCTGAATTTGGAGTCTTGTTATCAAAACTCAAAATACTGTACTCATTAATTTAAATAAATCTATATTTCATCACCTGTACTCTTCTCTGTGTGTGCAGGGCCGCGGCGGGTGGAGCAGCTGACTGTAGCCAATGTGTCGTCCTCTGCCGTGTGGCTGCGGTGGCAGGTGCAGGCGGCTCGTCACGCAGCTGTGAGCAGAGTCCTGGTCTCTGTGTTTCCTTCCGGAAACCACACGGAGGTGCTGTCTGCTGTCCTGAACGCCAGTGCCACAGAGCACAGCTTCAGGTGAGGTGCTGGAGAGAGGCTGTTACAGTTATTCAAATAGGGGAAAGTAAAAGAGAATAAAGTAACTCAAAACTACTCAAAACTAGTATTAAGTTCTACAATCATATACATTTGTAAATTCACCTTTGCTATTTTACCTATTTATGTGTTTATTTTTTACTTTATTTTAGTTTTGACATTATTTTGTCATTGCATAAGAGTTTTAATGTTTTCACTGTTTTCATCTTTAAATATACTGAACTATGACTTGCTCATTGCAAAGTTACCATTCATGTCTATCACTGGGATTATGGTTGGATACAAATGCAGTACAGGTTTTCATCACTAGATGACACCAGTCTACCTCTGTTGAATGAAGTCTTTCACTTTTCCACTGAGTTTCAACTCAAGTCTGTTTGTGTTTCCCAGTTCATTACTTCCTGGTCACAAATACACAGTGGATGTTTTGAGTCAAAGTGGTGTCAGGCCTGACGAGTTTCCCTCCACCAGCCACTCAGCTGGACCGCTGAACTTCTGGACAAGTAATATTACACACATTTCTGTTTTACAATTAAATATATATTGATAAAAGGTAAATACTAGATTAATTCTATTTTTATTAATTAATGTAAGTAAGTTTATAATATGAAAAGTTAAATAATTAAAACAGTTAAAACATTTAACCAATGCTTCAAAGATTTTTTTGTGCTCTAAGTATTTAAACACTCTCATGTTTAACCTAATGCGTATCTTTAAGGACCCCTCCCCCCTCTGAACTTGTCCCTTTCCCACGTGAGCTCTACCTCGGCCCTCATCACTTGGGCACGCCCCTCCAGGATGCTTCCGGATGGTTTTGTGGTGAACGTAACGCGGGGTCTGAACACAAGGAGCCGCTTTCTGCCTAATGGAAAACTACAATCCTACACTTTGAGAGAGCTCACTCCAGGACAGCTGTACTATGTGTCTCTCACTTCAGTGAAAAACACAGGCCACGAGCAGGTGCACAGTGCACCCCAGCACCTCACATTCTCCACATGTAAGTATCTGTGTGCTCTTCTGAAACATCCAAAAAACATGGGGCATACGCATTTGGTCTAGATATTGTATTGCATTACAGTGTCTATAAGACAATTTTGCCAGAAAGTATACCGGGCATGATCCACATACTTGTATCTCTATATTCAGCCTCTGGTGGGCAAAGTGTATTGCTTAAGTACACTGTAACAGTTTCCTGTGTTTGCCATGGGGATTACACCATTATCATTTGGCATGGGTTGGATGAATGCCTGAGCTGACAGCTGTCTGAGCCAAAGAGAACTCATTAATCCAAATAATGTACTATTCATTATTTATTTGTTCACAGTACCAATGCAAAGTAGGACAGGCAGAAGAAGAGAAGAAAGGCAACGAGCTACAGGTGCCTATAATGGACAAACAGCTCCTCCATCACACACTCAGGACCTGCTAGTGAATAAAGAGACAGAAAACTCACAAGAACTGCCCAGGTAGGTCCAAAATTCAACAATAATATGCCACTGTATTATATAATATGTGATGGTTATCTGCTGCTAAAATAATGTGATTTCTGTTTGATTCCATAGATACACAGAACTCATTGATAGAAGGGGGAAGATAACAACTAGATTAACTAATATGCCCAGAAAAGCAATTCGACATCGAACAAGTAAGTTACTGACTGAAAAGCAATTTACCTAAAGAAGACATATGTACAGTGGTCAAAACATCATATATATTGTATTAATGTATTTATTGAGTTTACGTACTTTAATCCTACTTAAGTCTTGATTTAAACTTGATCTTTAACAAAATACTATTATTCATACTTCATTTTGTATGAGTCTGGATAAATCCCTAATCATCATCATATTAATGTGATACAAATTGTGCTTGTAAAGCCAAATATTCTGAGAGATTATTCTTATGGTTAGTCTTTCTAGATCACCTAAACATGTTAAATGCATTCTTTCATTTTCTTCACTGCATAAAGGTCACAAAACTACAGCTCTAAATCTGAAGTGCTTAAACTTTTATGAATACAAAACCATAAATAATTTCTTGGAAATGGAAATTCTCTTGATATTTCTCCAGTAAATAAGCTTTGGCCAAATGACTTCACATATGTGTTTGTGTGCATATGTGTTTGTATTTAGTCATCTGCTGCTTTCTGTTTGATCACATGGTATGAAGTTTTTGTTTGTAATTTGCACGTCTAAAGCAAAGATTAAATATACAAACGTTGTACATCAAATATTTAGTAAAGACGTTGTGTATTAATATTTAAACATTTGTTCTGCTTCAAAGTATTTTTCTAACACAACTGTTTTGATTTGGTCTAAACATGGCTTTCTTTTTCATGTCATGTTGCAGATGGAATATTTTAGACCAAATATTTTGTAAACCAGAGTTCTGCCAACGAGTAATATGAACCATAATATTCAACAAACATGTGCATTATATTTTCCACATAGTCTTTATGCTTGCACTATAGTTTTTTTAAAAACATTTTTAACACCTTTCTTTCATTTTCACTATTTGATTAATTGTACTTTGGAGGCATTGGGCCTATAGCTCACAATACAGCTATTACAATTTTGTAGTGCAGACAACAACGGACATATCAAAAGATAAATGCTCATTGAGCCTATTAGACTAAACTATTATCTTACATTTGATTTGATTTTCATGTTAATGTTTTTTTTGTTTTTACAAATATTTCTATGGACAGCCAACTTGTTTATAGTCATAGGCTTGTTAATAGTTAGATAGTAATAACCATCTCCACATGCCATGATGCGCTTGAGTGATTCTTCTATTGGGGATTTTCAGATTTTAGACTGCATTGACGTCATACTCCAGGTGGGGAGCAAGAGTCAGTTTTTCCAGTTGATAGTGTTGCACTTTGCCATGAAATATTCAAATGGCAAATGCACAAATGCTGTAGCTTTATCATTTGTGTATATTTGAGTGACTAGATGCAAGAATTCACTGTATCACAACAAAAATCTGAACACTGTTAATTATAGCTTCTCCTCATTTGTATAAAATACTACTAGCCTATATAGAATGTTGTTATATGATCTCTTTTACATTTATTATTGATTCATTTGATTATTTTTCTAAATTACAATAAAGGTTGATAACAAATAGTCTTTCTTTCCCCCTGTTTCAAATCCTGTCTGTGTTTAATTTTGACCTATTACAGACAGTGTTTAATGCTCGGAAACGTTTTGCCTTGCAGAACCTGACCCTCCAATTAGATTAGAGAAGATGGAGGAGACAACGAACAAAATCAGCCTGGCTCTACAGCTCCAGGAGGAGGAGGGCGTGCGGACAGCGCCTGGTAGGTGTCCTGGAGATGACTCTAATTATCACATCTGGTTGTGTTTAAGGGCATAGCTGATCCAACACACAAACTGTACTGAAGCAAATATATTGTAAGCAGTCAGATGGGATTTCATTTTGATGGTGGACAAATAAAGAATAAATACTAGTACTACTATTATAGGATCATCATTTATTAAATAAGACAGGCTAATGCTTAATACTACAGCTCCCCATTTACATGCCACAGTACCTTCCTTTGAGTCAATGTTAATATTATGGAAACTTTCTAAAAGGTTTAAGGATGTCAGTGTTATTGATTCTCTGCCTAACAAATAAACTTTTTGAACAGAATGAGATCATCTGTGTTTTCATAATGTTTATTAATTATAAAGACAAAGACAACCAACCTATATGTGACTTAATCCAAATATAACTTTGAGCAAATTGGTGGTTTTCAGATTAGAATGTTCTGTTTTCATTAATAATATCCAGTGGAATAATACACAAATGTTGAACCAGATACTTTCCAGTATACTTAAAGAATGTTATGATGAAATCTAAAATCTAACAACTCTGTATATTTTATTTTATTTTAAGTATGAATCATGTTAGCGTATGCACTTGGTATGTCAGTCGTGAACAATAATAAAGTTAATGTAACTTTTGTATTTGACGGGCCAAAAACAATGTTTGGTCTTTGTAACCGGAGCCTGTGTGCTGTGTGGATGTTGATTGCAGCTGTTGTTCCAGAGCTGCCTCAGGACTGTCGTCGCCTGTCCTGTCTGAACGGGGGCACATGCGTGGGCGCGGGGGACTCCTTCATCTGCGACTGCGCCACGGGATTCAAGGGCAGGCAGTGTGAGCTCTGTGAGTGTCCACACACATACTGTACATGTCAGCGGCTACAATTTAAATGGACAGTGCCTCAGCTTATTTTGGTCGCCCTTGTTGACACACATTTAATTTTCTCACATTTTTGATGGGTACAGGACATGGGTGGCTTATTGGAGGATTTAGCAAGTATCTCACTATAATACTAGGGTGTAATGTGTGTGTTGCTGTTTTGGCAATTTGCCTGCGTCAGACATGCCTGAGGATTCTCCTGTAACTACTGATTTACAGATTATATTCAGGCTTTCACAGTGAAATGTGCTTCATAGATAACAAATAAATACCATAATAAAATGTTATAAAAATACATAAGCGGAACAACTCAAAAGGAAAAAAACATTTGTAGTAGAGTTTAAGACTTTGAGTTTGAGTATCAGTAGACTCAGTATTGAATCAAGCTAAATGGAATGAACTACATTATTTACATGAAATGCCATTTGCACAGAGTTAGTGACACATTCAAATTGCATTATTCCAAAACATCTTGGTGTGACAAGAATTAAACTAAATCTAATGGACCTTACTTGAGCAAACAAATTCAGATAATGCAATAAACCTTCAGCTTCACTTCTCAGAAAAGTCAAAGTTTTACGTACAAATAGTTAAAAAAATACATGAAGATGTGGAATTAAGTTATATATGCTGTTTATTTTTTCACTTTTTCTCCATAGCCTTGCAAAGTATTGATATGTTTGTCGAAAATAAAATACTAATCAATACTAAAACTAGTATCGAACTAGATACTCATTAGAGCAGGTATCGATACTAAAAACCTCACATTCACAGGATCTTGAGCTGTATCAGAACAAGTATAACCTTGACTATGGAACACACCTGGACAACAGAGGAATTACACAGAAACTGCATGGTATTAGAAAAGAAAGTACTATGATTTCATGTTGAAGAGTGAAGACTCCATAAGGTTTAGTTGGTGTTTATTCACAATTTGTAACAACAGCATCATATTGTAAGTACTTGCAAATACAGCGCACTTTTAGGTGGAACATCTACAAAGTACGACATGTAATATTGTACGCATATAAATCATAACCAGAATGATCTACGTAAAGAAAGATAATTTTTTATTATCATTGTCGTATCGGAATCTGTATCGAGTATCAAGTCTGTTCCTTAGTATTGAATTAGAGTTTTAAATTTTAGTCATGACACCAGTATTTAAACAAATTATAATTGGGAATATTTAAATTCACTTGATATTTTTGATGTACCTGATTGTTTATAGGATTATTATATTTCAGTCCATAGTGTGTCCATAATCCATACCTGAGTATACTGGTCCAATGATGTCCCATGTGAAATACTCAGCTCTGTGGGTCAGCTGTGGAGAGTGCCACGACTCCAGCTCTTTCTCTTAAAAGCAGGAAACTCGCTCCAATGACATTTATGAATGGCCTGGTTAACTTAAAGGCTGCAGGGCACGAATGTATAACATGAATACACGCTGCTGTTGAAAGAGGCACAAAGAAACATAGTATTTTCCTTACACAGCCACAGAGAGGACCCCAGTTACATTATAACCTCTGATTTTCTTCGCTAGATCCTGAATACAAAAGAGGCCTCTGCTGTCTCTATCAGGCTTATGTAAAAAGTGTGGTAAAATGTGCAGTGCCTGAAGGAAACATAAGCACTAATACTTTATCTATAAAGACCATTTCCTTGACAAACAAAGATTACATTATATTAATAAGTTTTATAGACTTATGAGTGGGATAAACAAATATGGATACATAGACTTAAAGAAATAAAGCATGTTTTAAATTTGTTCTGTTGCCTAAATGAGAAAAAAATATTGCTTTTACATTTGCATTTAGGACATTACTACTTAGTGTTTCCCACTACTAGAAAGAGAAACAATTAGGTATAACAACATATTTTTCTTGTATTTGTAATAAAATTTTCTACTGTTCAGATAAAAGAAAATGAAAGAAATAAACTTTTTTTTTTTTTTTTTTTTTTTTACAAATTTTTAAAAAGCAAAACACTGACAAACACTACGCTACATTTAGACTGACCATGCAATCTGGATTATAAAGCATTTGCTGAGTGTATTTGCCTGTGATTCTTAATGCAAATACAACATGTTTAGGCTGCATGTCTTTTGACCATAGATAGACACGACATAGACATATTATAGACCTTCATTGCCTTAAGGGGACCAAAGTGTCACTGTACTTTTCTTTCTCCTCCTGAGCCCCTTTCTTCACCTAAACATCAACATTAGATTGTTTAAACATTCCTTTCCTAAAATCATCCATCAACAGGTCAGGATCACCCAGCCAGCCCATCCCACAAGTTCCCCAAAGACCCCCAAAACCATCTAACAGACTTCCCCCACTTAGCGGCAAATAATGTTTTTTCTCTATTCTGTATGTTCCAGTGTGCCAAAGAGTCCAGCACCCATGCACGCGGCTATATTCAGAAACCAAAAGTGTGCCAGTTTGGGAGGGAGGAGTCTGTCATTACCTGTAAGTTATATCAGATACTGAAGCTTTCCCGCGGCCTTGAAACTGATTAAAAAGACATATGTTGAATTTGGAGCAATCTATTTAGGATGTTGTATTTTTTGCAGATACAAGCGAACATATAAGGTCCAGCAGGATGTGTGCTACAGAGAGATTTGTGAACCTTCACTCCCAAAGAAAAGTCAGAGTAAGTGCTTTTTCTTTTGCAGTTTTCCCGTATTAGTCCATTTTCCACACTAAAGTTATTTATACTTACTAATATATTTGACCTTTACATTTACAGACAGAAGAACAAACAGGCAACAATAAAGGTTTGTATTACAATGTTGTTATTAATTATAGATAATAAATATAGTACAGTATTACAGTATAACTATTTGTTAACAAAGTGAGTTATACTTCTCTTCTATCTAGAAACTGTGGTTTAATATATGCATTTTCTTTTTTTCCTACAGAGCACTCAGATTCTGACAGAAGTACTGACGTGACTGTCATGTGAAAACCTCCAAGCTTCAATGTTGTTGTTTATAATCTTCTACTTGAAGTGACTGATTATGGACATTTTTGTGCTGTTGAACCCACTGTAAGGTCTTTTATTTCAAAAACAGACAAATGCGTTTGATCCCTCTCAAGTTAACATGGTGTGGAAATAGTTATTCTTTATTGGTAAATAATCGCAAATTTTTACAGTCCATAATAGAAAGTATACCATATTACCTCATGTCCACGACAGTGCTGACACAGGAGCAGGTTTGTCCCTCAGGGAAGTGTGCCCCACCGCTGTTTTTACCAAAAAACATCTTATTTTAAAATCCGGACTTGTTCTTGACAATGACGCACAGTGGTGTCTCTGTAAAAAATATCTCACTTTGTGTCTTAGCAGGCGTTTTTGCTTGCTACTCTGTAAATAGTGTTAATAGGTTGTTTTGTAGGTGACTATTTTAATAATAAAAATCTTAAAATGTTTTCTTTGGGTCTTTTCATGTGTGTCTTGTCCAGTGTTGAAAGTGAGAAATATTGTCCTGATTTATTAAAAAAATATATAATATTTCTAGATTCTCCAGAAAGCATGCAAGACAGAGAAAATTAGTGTCACTCGATAGAATAGTAAAGCATGGACTACTAAACTTTGTCTAAACTAAAAGAGGCTAGGAGGCTGCAATAAGAACGAACCAGAACTGAGACTGACAAGGGCCAAGAAGCTACTTCTGCACTCAAACTAAAATAACAGTGAAATCTATGAAACAATCCATCTCTTACAAACCAGCCCAGGACTAAAATATGCTCTTGCAGATCTATATCCTTCATTGTATAAGAATCTGCTTCGCACCCAAGATTTAAATAGGGCAGGGCAGTGGGCCACAACCTTGCATTTCACTTGTGGCACATGATTGAAGACCGCTGACCGGAGTGACCCCGAGACCACCAAGCATACAAAATAAGCTGCATTCAAAATCAAGTTTGCCCAAAACGCATACTCATTAGTTTTACAACAATTGTTCTTTATTATCTTGCTTCACACATCAGAAATCTATAGGCTGAAGCTAAGTTTATTTTTGTATTTTGTAAAGATCATAATTGTAATTTCCCAAACTCAAGTTGTGTTTATTGACGCACGGAATGTAACACCTCTGCGGGCATGTTCATCTGTCAGTACGCATTCACAGAAATAATGTCCGCTTTAAAAAAAAAAAAAAAAAAAAAAAAAAAAAAAAGAGCAGAGATTACAGTTTTGATTCTACTTAAATGCACAGTCTGCCTCTTTGTGACTAAAATTGCTGGTTTAAACTTAGCGTACTTCAATCGGGTTGGCTCATATATTCCCTACAGCCCTTGAAAGCCGTCCTCTTGTGGAGACGGAGGAGTGTGCGCCCTCTCTGCCCCCTCCTTTCTCTCCCAGTGAAAACTGAGATAGTGAGAAAAACCAACGGGGACGGGACCATGGAGGAAGAAGTCTGGATGTATTAGCGACTTTTTACACGCCATTGCACTTATTATAATGATACCTGTGCGGGAATAAATCGTGTCGCGTACATGTGACCAAATGCTGGTGTTTGGGAATCCGTGGTGAGCGTTTTGGTGCGCGTAAAAGCTTGGAGAGGAACTTAGCAAAGGAAAGTTAGCCTATTGATGCTAACAAACTTAGCCTGCGTCTGCTAAAGCGAGGGAGACGGGACAAAAACGGCGCATTGGGACAAGGATCGTGAATTTTACACACTGGAGCAGAGCTAAGTAGTTATGTTGCTTCGAGGGATTAACTTTCGATACGGATGAGACAGCGTTTGGCGGAGGAGGAACACCGAGTGCGCGGAGGAGGCGAGCCCAGCGGAGCGGTGCCATGTCGGGCTCTGGGTCCCCGGGCTGGCCGCTGTCGGTGCTCTGCAGACTGGGGGGCTTGTGCCTGCTCCTGCTGCTGGAGGGGGCCGTGTGTCTGGCGAGTCCGAGCAGTCCTTCTGGCGTCAACAACAACAACAACCAGCCCTATGTCAACATTTACATGAGCGTGGAGGAGGTCAAGAAGCTCCTGGGTAAGACACGGACACGATCATTGCAGATGTTTGGGGAGATTGGGTCCTCTGAGTTGTGTGGAGTTGGATTGGAGTCTGAGAAATGGAAACATGAACTCAGATTACACAACATTATTCCAAATTGTGTCACATATCCAAATCCTTAACATATCCTTATCCTTAAAGTGTTATCCTAATATGCAAACTTAATCCAGGGGTTAGATCAGGTGCCTGTATTTAAATTGGGAAAAGAGATAGACATGTACCAGTTTTGTTCTCAGAAATGCATTTTAGAGGAAAAAAATATAGGCTGTAGTCTCTATACATGTATAAAGATAATCTAGACTAAATTGTCACCTTGTTAATCGGGGTTTAGCTGGCATTGTGCATTAAATTATATTGCAAAAGAGCTGTGATTGGATGATTTTTGATTGTTTGTTAGTTGTGTGTGTGTGAGAGGAGGGGGTGTATGTTTAGGTTTTTAAGTCCAGGAATGTTGTCCGTATAACTTAACCATCACATTGTCCATTGTCCTACTCACAGTGCTGTGCAGGGATGCTCCAGGAAAATAGTTTTGCCTGGTTTGAAATGGGAATATGAATACATTTTCAAGTATATCACATTTCTATTGCCTTGAAGACTGTAATGGTGAGAAGCTGCGGTTGACCTTAAACTGTGTCAGGTTTTTGTGGAGTATGTACATCAGACAAAAGCCCCGTGCATCTAAACTGTAGTTATTCTATAATAGAGCTACACACACTCACTATAACAATACAAAAGAATGTTCACTTATGCAACAAACATATGGGCCAAATGTGACACTTCAGTCAATAATAATAATTGCTCTTATAAATATGTCATTCATTACAGATTTCAATTGATCTTTGAGTGTATCATGATGCCATTTAAAACATGCATCTTCAAGGAAAATACTAACAAAACTGTGAGAAATACAATAATAACTCTGATTACGAAGCAGGTATTCTCCATTCCAGTTCATTAGATAAAACAGTTCGACTCCAAATTGCTCCTCATATTAAGTGCTCTTAGGTGTGCTATTGTAGGTCTAAAATTAGCTCCTGTGTTAATGCACCAGGCCAGTTTTGGACACGTCCTTGGCACTGTCTTCTAAACTGTGGTGGATATTAAGCTTCACTGTTTTGTGTGGAAAATTTGGAACCACATCACAGGTCGCTACGCCACCAGCAGTGACAAGGAGGAAGTGACCTAACCATGCTTTAACCACCTCAAAGTAAAGGGTGGGGTCAGGAATGGGCCAAGGACAACATGATTATTTTTGTGGGGAGGCTTATCAAGTAGTGTTTTAGAAGAATCTTTACTATTTTGGACCATATTTAGCATTCTTTTTTTGCTTTGCATACCCTTCATTTTATCAGGGATTTCAAACAATCGCTTATTTATTTACTGGATACCTTGTTGTTGCTGTCACATTTTTGTAACTTTTTGTAAGACATTTTATGTTCAAGACACAATAGGAAGAGTTTGATCTGGTAAAACTGGTTCAATGATTGGATTTGTCACCAGACTAGAAGTACTAACTTAACTCAAGATAGATTCAATCAATAATCCGACTAATTAAAATGTTGGTCGCTGCAGTCTCATGAACAGGGCTGCTATAGGACGTAATGACATTGAATGCAGAGGAAGCGTGAGCTGCACTTTTCCATTGACTGATGAGGGCCACAAATAAAAAGCTTGTGATCAGCATTTTGGAGCAGGTCTGCAGCCGACATCAGTATTCACTGCACAGGCTGCTCTGAACGGAGAGTTTTTGGGAACGCTCCACCTGTGCCGCTGCTGCTGCTGTGTGCTCTGCCAGACCACAGACTCAAAATACAAAGTAGGTAAAGTATGACAGAGGGTGGACGACTGTTGGGAGAATAGTTTTTAACCTAAATATCTTTATACTAAGATCAATCTTTACAAAAGCCATTAGCAAGAAGACTTAAAAACCAGATGGACCGGTTGTGCCTATTCAGTGTACTGTGAGCTGCTTGATAAAGGAGGTTTATAAATTAATCCTTTTACATGTAAATCTGTTACTGAATTGAAATCACTACTATGACTATTCAAAAGCAAGGTTCGTACTTCTGCTGTAATGCTTTGTAATTTCATAATAGTTGACAATAACAAACTATAGGCTTACATGTCATTACCTCAACACTAAAGTCATTTGTGAGCTTATTTTATCAACACGGTTGGATACTTTTTGGTTCATAATGTATAGGTAGACATTTTTAAATAATTTGTAGGTTAAAAGTCAGTTCACATGAATAAATGGTGACATGGTTAGCTTTACTTTTTGTGTTTAAAACATTTTACTTCCTCCTCGCTATAATCATAAGGCCGTTCAACCATGTTCCTGCTTTGTCTGTCCTGATTCCTTTCCATTTCTTTCCATGCTTCAGACTGGGCCTCTTTTGTGGTTTGCTCTATAATCTTGTCCCACTGAACAAGGACATCTCAAAATGTTTTAAAGACTGAGTGAAGCTGAAATGGGCAGTGATGAAGTTGCTGTAGATTCATTTTGCAACAGGACCTAGGAGCTGCTAACACCAGTTTTATTTTTAAAATATGCCTTTTTGGTACCCACCCTATCTACACAGCATAACCATGCATTATACAGTATGCCAACCGTTTCCTGTGAATGAAAAAGAGCAGCAACCAAATGTATAGCCCGTAATGCTTAGGTGTCTGTGGTGCCTGTGTTTTGTCAACACAGTAGGGTGGAGAGCGACTCATGGATGCCAAACAGGATTTTTTTGACCAGATAAGGCTTTCAATATAGATCTGAGTAGTATTTATTCAGTCACTTGATGCTGATTTTGAATATTGAAGAAGATCTAAGTTGTCATAAAAAAATAAATAAAACAAATCAGTCGTCTAAGATGGGGGTTGGATTTAAGCATTCACTCTTGAGCCAGGTCCTCAACAAGCACTTGTCATTCCAACCCTGGGTAAAACACTGCACCATCAGCCACCTTTGTTCCACATTAGTGTTTGTTTTTTTTAGGTCTATGGTATACTTTAGTAATCAGTTATGTATGTAGAGAACATTTTAGTGGACAAATACATCATCAAGGATACATACAGTACATGCTTGTATTATGATAAGAGCATGATTTTTGTAGACAGCTTAAATAAATGTTGATACAGATAGCCCTTTGAGGAAATGGGACTAGTTCAGTTTGTATTTTTCAATTTTTAAAAGTGTAAATCCTCAAACATAAAAAAAAAAAAAACTAATGATGCACATGACGGCAGCCCCTGTGTGTTTATTAGCCTGAGTACTGTCCTGCTGCAGCTGGCCCCTGAGCTCATTAGTGAAGGCGACCACACGTGGACCATGTTAAACTGTGAACTGGACGTAATGAGCAGGTTACAAACATGAGCATCTGAGAAGCAATGCCTCCCTGTCATCTCTTAGTCACCACTTCCTTTTTGTAACGTGATCATTTCCCATTGCCCTGTGTCATTTTTGTCTAATCTGGCTGCGTGACTGCCGCTTCGATTCCTGGAGGCATTTGTGGGATTTCTGAGTTTAGCCTACTCCTTTTCCTCATCCTATCTAAACACTCAGACTACTTTGGCATGCTTGGTGGAGATTTGGTTGGAGGATTTTTGAAAATTAATAGAGATCAACCGATATGTTTTTCCTCGGGATGAATAAAGTATCTCACTCTCTCTCTCATTTTCCATGGCAGCTGCTGATATCGATTGTTTAGAATTCAAGCTCAAGGCCGATGATCTCTGCCGATATTTTTGGGCAAATGTGTACGGCAGATTTAGGTAATTTTCCGCAAATAACCTAATTTAAATTTATTACAAGCTCATCCATGACCTTGTTCTAGTACACACACTGGATGAGGTCATTTTTTGTACTATCCTCTTTGGTCTTAAGTGTTCAGATTCAGATTCAGATAGGCTTTATGCAGATGTTCTTAATGCATATTTAGGCAGCTGGTTGGGTCAAACAAAATATTGGCCTATGCTGGAGATTTAAATACATTGTGTAACTTTTCCAGGGCCCGTCAAATACTTTTCTCCATGGAGATGTTATTGCTTTGTCTGTAATGTTTCACCTTTTTATCTTCCTGACCAAACCAGACCAAGTTGCAGGTCAGATCTGTGGAGAGGGAACCCACTTTCTGACTCGCAGTCAGAAAGTATGTTTTTCTAGACATTTTTGTGCTGTAAAACCACCTGTGATTTAATAATGTAAGATAGAGCTGTGTAATGTCATACTGTGGGACATTCCAGGCAGAGCAATGACATCTCCATAGAAATAATCAGGTGACGGATACAGAACCAAAAAGTTACTTAGTGCACTTTTTAAAGCCTAAATGCTAAAAAGTGTAAATATCGGTCTATCTCTAGTAAGTAAAATGAATTCTAAACTAAGAATCATAAAATACCATACCGACCTTATTTATAAAGCACATTAAAAAACTTTACAGCTGGCCAAAGTGCTGCACATAAACACAGAATAGACAAGGACAATCGCAGTACAACACAATACTCAATAGAAACACAATACAACTACCAAAAAACACAGAAAACAATAAGATATTCAACAACAAGAAATATACGTCACTTGTTAAAAACAATGAAAAAATTTGCGTTTTTAGGAGTGGTTTAAAAACAGGTACCGACTCTGCCTGGCTAATCTCTAATGGCAAATGGTTCCACGGCCATGAGGCAGCAGCAGAAAACGCACGGTCTCCACGAAACTTGCATTTAATCTTTGGGACGACGAGCTGAGTGCGAGAGGGGACGTAAGGGTGGATCAAGACAGCGAGGTAGGAGGGCGCCATGAAAACACTTAAAAGTAAATTAAAGTTAAAAGAATTTTAAAATCGACTCAAAAAGTCGAGCCATTGAGTTTTGGAACTGTGACTGAAATTATCAATGTTTGTAGAGATCAAAACAACAAGAAACATATTTGACAAAAAAATATCTTGAGCGATTTCTGGTTTGAACAAATTCATTGCCATTACAAG